AGAGATTTGACCTCTACATGTGACGTTAGAGATTTGACCTCTACATGTGACGTTAGAGATTTGACCTTTGACGTTAGAGATTTGACCTCTACATGTGACGTTAGAGATTTGACCTCTACATGTGACGTTAGAGATTTGACCTTTGACGTTAGAGATTTGAGCTCTACATGTGACGTTAGAAATTTGGCCTCTACCTGTGAGAGATTTGACCTCTACATGTGACGTCATAGATTTGACCTCTACATGGGACGTTTTGCCCAATGGTGACAACATGTAAATAATGTTCCCAATGTTGAGAAAATCTGAATAAAGTTCCCAATGAGGACTCAACACACTGACAAAAATATTCCACATTTGTTTTTATTTTTTTAAAGTTAAAAAACACACAGCAAGAATTTATTTTGACGGCTGCCGAATTTCTACGCCACGACCTGACCTTGGTTATATGACCTTCACCTCTGTTAACCCGCTGGTGTAGACTCCCCAGTGGCGTTAAGACCATTCAGGGGCCAATGTCGTAAAATTCGTACTCCTGTTGATGTGTGACGTCTGTGTAGACATTTAGAGCTTTGTTTACATAGACATTATGTTGGGGCTCTGGGGGCGGGGGGTGGGGGAGGGACGTCGTCGGATCGAACCATAGGTCACGTTACTCAAGGTCACTTGTGTAGGCCTGCATATATCAGAACTTGCAGAGTGCAATGTACTTTGATCATTTTATTTCATTTAGAGAGTGTTGAGTGATAGTATATGGGTAATATGGTGCTAGGTTGAGGAAGTAAAATATAAACCATCCAACTTCTACTTTCAGTATCGTGTTCCTTCGATGTAACGCTTCAACGTCGCTCCGTTGTGTTTTGATATGTGTGTAACAGCGAGTGGATTGTTGACATGATTGAATATAAAATATGAATAGTCTGTTGATTGGTCACCATTGGTCACTATTAGTCACCAATCGTCAACAGTGGTCATAATTGATCAACATTGTTAGGTGTTGGTCAACATTTATCACCAATAGTAACCATGGATCAAAACTGCTCAACATTGGTCAATATTTATCACCAATGGTAACCATGGATCAAAACTGGTCAACATCGGTCAATATTTATCATCATTGGTCAACACTGGTCACCATTGGTCACCATTAGTAAACATTGGTCAACATACGTCGAATTTAAAAATTGTGTGCTTAGTGCTCATCAATATATATATATATATATATATATATATATATATATATATATATATATATATATATATATATATATATATATGTAACGAGACTATTTGCCTGTAGTGCCAAATGTTAACGAGTTCTGCTCGACAACGCCAAATGTTACCGAGTCTAACCACTCATTCTACACAACATCGACCACAGTATAGATACTCGAAGATGCAGGTTCGCTATTGATCCTTTTATTACATGAATCAAAGAAATGCTTCACAATAATATAATAAATCAAAAGGAATGCTTCACAATAATAGTCTGAATCAACTGACCCCCAACAGTCCTCGCTAGTCTTCACATAACTGAATGCACATGTCTATCGTCCTTCTTAACACAATACGGCTAACCCGTTCAATAACCAACTTGATACTGCCTCACTGACTGACTGATCGAGAGAGAGAGACTGAGAGACTGCGAGCTCAGCCGTCGCCTTCCTATATATCCCCTTCGTATTCGTAATCGTATTCGGTTCTATCATAATCGTAATCGTACTCGATTCTAATCGTTGCATCAGAATGTTAATTACGCCGCTTCTGTCGTACAGTCCGATTTAATAAGCCATCTGCATCCTGTCACATCAAAGTTGACAGACCGTATTGCGTTCTTATCGTATCGCTTCCCAAGATACTACGCCTTGGCTTTCTGATCGTTATCAGCCAACACCTGCGTTATTGCATCAGTCGTGTCAAAGTTGACAGCGCTGTACTGCGTTCTTATGTCTCTGGTAACTTCCCCTAGTTACATATATATATATATATATACATTAGGCTCAGTATGGTCACAACTGGTCAACATTTTAAGGCCAATTTGGTCGATATTGAGTGCATTGTGTTCAACATTCGGTCAACATTGGTCTAGATAAGGGACAAGTGTGGCCGATACTAAAGGACAGTGTGGTCAAGCGTCTGGCTAGTATAGGTGCCAGTGTGATCGAGTGTGTCTTAACGAAGCCATCCGTCTTCATAATGACCGTTCCGGTTTGGGGTGGTGACGGGAGGTTGTGTGTGTGTTGGGGGAGGGGTGGGGGGGTTCTATTGTGGGGGTGGGAGAAGTTGACATGCACTTGCAACCTTTACATAGATATGTTGTATGCTGCAACACACATATCACTGTCATCAATACACAGACCATAAAACCCCATTCTACCCAGCAGAATATTCTGTTCATTACTCGGTGATAATTACTAAAAATTGAATTTCTGTTTTATGGTTCGTAAAAATCGTTTATGGATTTGGATTTAGATTACGACGTGGATTATGTGGAGAAATATATTGTGTAAATATTTAATGGCGGATTATTTTTATAGACACAATGGCAGATCGATTGGATAGTTCTCCACAAGAGTGTTTTATATAAACACGATCGAATTATTTTGGTTTTTAGTCATTATTTTGTTAGAATATAAATTAATTAACATAATTATTACTTTTACTTGCTGTCTACAAACACCCCACAAAAAAGTTGCACTGTATTCATACATGCTAAACTTACCGACATGATAAGATAAACCTCCTCTTCCAACCACACGAAACCACACTCACACTTCCTCACTATTCTCCACATAAAGCTACAGAATGACGAAACACAAACACTAATTAGTCAGACACACACCCAAACCTACATCTGCACACAAACTGCCCAGATACCTACACCACAATATAAACCAACACAGCACCCCCCCCCACACATACACCCATATAACGAAAACACATAAAGGGCCCCACCACACACACACACACACACCAAGAGACCACCCACACACAAGCCTCACACAGAACATATGGGGCATGTCTGATAGCAAACGCCCACCCAAAAATATTGATTGTATTAGCGGCAATCAGATGCTCTGTTGTCTCAAAAATCTGGCCACGCTGATTTTCTGCCAGTTGGCCCCGCTTACATCTGACACACTGTCCTGTTTTCACGCTGATTTTCTGCCTGTTTGGCCCCGCTTACATCTGACACACGGTCGTGTTTTCACAGGGAATATTGATAGAAATATTAGGAAGGGACAGGGGTGGTTCCATTTGGGGAATTGCCCAATTCTTAAATTATCGAACGATATAACAGTTTACGATTATAAATGTTTGTGTATATGTGTGGTTGTGGGAGTATCTATGTATGTGCGTGTGCGTCTGTTGTGTGTGCGTATACGTATACGTATTTGAGTGTGTTTTAGTGTGTCAATGTGGGTGTGTGTCTGAATGTATATCGAAGAAGTGTGCGTGTGTGTGTCTATGTATGTGTATGTTTGCATGTTTGTGTTTGCGTACTTGCGTGTGTGCATAATGATGGATGGGCATAATGGGTTTAAATACTTCTATCTTAAGAATAACCCCTTGTTTTTTCCGCCTTAGCTAAATTTTACTGCAGTACTATGCATCGTGTTTAGTTTTTTTTTTCTTTCAGGCTCAATAATATAATGCATTGTCTAAGGGTTTTTTGCCTGCTTTATACTAGGCATCGCATCCATATATTCTCTTGCATACTTTATATTAGGCATTATATTAGGCATCGTCTACAGTTTTCTCTTGCCTACTTTATGTTAGGCATAGCCTACAGTTTCTTCTTGTTTGATTATTTACACCACTGCTATGTTAATTATTTCCTACTCTGTTTTACATCACATCAATGCTAATTAACACCCATGCTAATTCACCTACCCCAGCCATGCGTGCATCCTGCCCATGTAAAATGTAAAACATGTTAACGAGACTATGCAAATAAAGTAATGTAACCAAGTTCAGGTTTTACTTCAATCGATGACCTGTGCTTATATCAGAGATTTTAAATGTAGACATGGAATATGTGAAGTTATACACAAATGTGTGGTCCACTAGGTCACTTTGTAGACCTAATAAAGTGGTCCTTACTATCGATTAGCGGTCCTAATAAACTGACCAACGGGATATCGTTCTGTATGACAACCGGAAGAAATTTGTATAATAAGAGCCGTTGTTTTATTTTCTACTTTTCAGTAATTCATAATTTGTGAATTCGACACTACCCTCCCCCTCTCCACACCCCCCCCCCCCTCCCCCCGTGAAACCAGCCATAGGTCGCGACAGTTTACAGACGACAATGAAAAGATCAAGCAGAACTTGTTACCTCCCCTTAGTTTCAAATCGTTTAAAAACTAAATTATCTGCCCCTAATTACCGTCACTAATTGGACCCGGCTCTACGATTGTAAACATTCAGCGTGAACCACAGCTCACCAGACTGGTGGGGATGGGAATAGGGGTGATATCGATATGGTTTGTTGCGCATGCCTGGAGAACGAGGGAGTGGGCGGAAGGCGGGTTAGATAGTCGGCGTGCGTGGTGGTGTCCACGTATAGAATTATATATATAGAAGATAGATAGAAAATCATATTTAGTCCGTGTGGTGATAGGTAGCTTCATGACGAGACAAATGAAATAAACATCCATTATGTCTAAAAGACATCGTGACAGAAAATTCTATTTTTTAAAAGTAAAAACTGTATGGAGTTGTACAATAGCATTAATGCTTGCTCGCTGCAAAAGTAATAACTAAATTAAAATACTTGACCAATGAAAATTAAGATTAGTAAAAGCATTTCAACGAGAAACTATTTTTTCAAATGAATATAAATTAACATGTGTAACAAATTTCGTTTAAATTTTGGTAAAGTTTACACATTTCTTTATACAGCTTTTAAAACCGGAGGAGACGTTTTGATTTTGGAATCTACTTCGGTTCCAGCTCATGTCCTTTTGATCTAATTTTATTACTTTTTTACTTGCCAGGAGATGAGTGCGGGTGTATCCCATGACGAGGGTGGTGGAGCCACCGAGGACGATCTAGGCTCCAACAGACACACACCAGGGCAGGGAAACAACTCTCTCAAACCACAACAGACAACACAAGGTGCTGATGGCCATTCGAAAAATGTTGTTAGCCACTCGCTACATCTGGATGGCCAGTCTTTAAATTTAGATGGTCAATCTCAACATTTTGTTGACCATTCTTTAAATTTAGATGGCGATTCTTTAAATTTAGATGTTCATTCTCTAAATTTAGATGGTCAATCTCAACATTTAGATGGCCATTCTTTAAATTTAGATGGCGGTTGTCTAAATTTAGAAGTCCAATCACTGAATGAAGAAGACCAGTTACGTCACTCTAACGATCTGGCTAATGATGGAGATCAATCAAAAAAATCAGACCACCAAGACCAATCTACTGACCATTATCTACAATTGGGAAAGTTAAATAGCGAGCAACAAAAATTTGGCCGTCAATCGCCACAATCACTACAATCTCAACAAGACGAGGATTGTGTAAACACAGATGTCCAATCACAATCATTGGACATCGCATCTAAAAAATCAAGTCACCGCTCACATAAGTCACGAGGTCAGTCACCTGTCGTCCAGGTACACAATTCGTCTGACCAGTCTTCTAAGTCAGAAGAACTCTCTCTCAAGTCATCTCACCAAGTCCAACTACCCCCTGGCCAGTCAGATAACACAGACGGACACTCAGTCAAGTCAATGACCCAGTCAGACAAGCCAAATGATCAATTACAAAACAACGACGAACATTCAGATCAACTCTCAATAAAGTCATTGAAACACACAGATAGACTAATAGATGGTTCTCAAACGCGTCTTGATCAGTTACAAAACCAAGGTGAGATTCCTCACAATTCGGATGCCCATTTAAAGGAGTCAGATGAACTTTCAGTAAAATCATACGGCCAGTCACGGACTCTACTTCACCTGTCATCGCGTAACTCCGATAGCCTTTCACACAAGTCGGATAATGACTCTATCAAATCAGATAAAAATTTAATTAAATCTTACAACCAGTCAACAAAACCATCGGACAATTATCCAAATGACGGTCAATCTCCAAAGTCAGACAATAAATTACTTAAGTCACAAAAGCCAGGTGACGTATCCCACAGTAATGATAGCCAATCGCTAAAGTCAGATGGAGACTCTTTAAAATCAATTGATCAGTCGCCAAAACCAACAGACCAGTCAATTAATTCCAATGGAGGGGCGGACAAGTCAGATACACATTCCCTTAAGTCATATAAGCAGTCAGGAAAACAAGGTCAGTCAGGCAGTTATGACCGTCAGTCACGACAATCAGAGAACAGCTCATTAAAGTCATTTGGTCAGTCAAATCTAGTGGGCAAGTCACAATCTGATACAGATGTGAAGGAATTAAATCATCATACGCATGTATTAGGTGACCAGTCGGTAGAATCTGACGAACGATTGCACAAGTCGGATGGGAAATCTCAGGATAAAGATGATTATTCAAAGAAATTACAAGGTCATACAGAGAAATTAGATGGTCATTCAGATAAATTAGATGGTCATTCAGAGAAATTAGATGGTCATTCAAATAAATTAGATGGTCATTCAAATAAATTAGATGATCATTCAGATAAATTAGATGGTCATTCAGATAAATTAGATGGTCATTCAGATAAATTAGCTGGTCATTCAGATAAATTAGAAGGTCATTCGGAAAAATTAGATGACAATTTAGATAACTTAGATCGTCAGTCTGACAAGTTTAATGAACAGTCTAATAAATCAGAAGGTCTGTCACGGGATGTAGATAACAATTTAAATAAATCAGACACCATATCCACTACACACGATAGCAGTAAACAAAAAGCAGACGAAGGGCTTGAAACAGAAGATAAACAGTCACCACCATCAAAGAGTCACAACAATTTAGTGAATCATCCGTCTAAACCACCCGAAAGCCAAATATCACGTGATCAACTGCAGAAATCACATGATCAGTCGAAGGATTCACATGAGCAGCTAAAGGAATCCACTGGTCTTTCACAAGAATCAAGTCTGACACAGGAACCACATCTCTCACAAGCATCCACTAGTTCTACACGAGAATCACGTGATGTGCCTCAAGAATCACATGATGTGTCTCAAGAATCACACGATGTGCCTCAAGAATCACATGATGTGTCTCAAAAATCACATGATGTGTCTCAAAAATCACATGATGTGTCTCAAAAATCACATGATGTGTCTCAAGAATCACATGATGTGCCTCAAGAACCAAATGTTCAGCAACTCAACTCAGCCGAGCTGCAACAAACTTCACAAGACCCAGCCGATACGGCGGACAACCGATCCAGAATCTCGGACGACCAGTCCCAAAAATCTGACCGGAAGTCCCTCCTGAGGGAGGCTCGGAGGAAACGGATTCGTGAACTGACCAGCGAGCTGAGACGACAAGAGCAGGAGGAGGAGGAGGTGAAGAGGCGTAAACAGGAGGAGGCGTTAAAACAACGGACAGCGGCGGAACCTAAGCTAGACACGAAAGCGTTAGGTAATTTTTTTTTTGTTTTTTTTTGTTCTGGTATTGATAGAATAGAAAAATTGTTCTGGTGTTATAGAAAAGATCAATTTTTTGTGTGTTATAGAAAAGATGAATTGTACTGGCGCTAGAGAACAGATTAGGTGTTCTTGTCTGATAAACAAAGAGCAATAGTTTTAGGTTTTTAAGAATAGAGGTTTATATTGAATAGAACAATTGTTCTGTTGTTGTTGTTTTTTTATTATTATTTTTAAATAGAGGATGTTATACAATAGAACAATTATTTTTCTGCTTTTTTATAGAATAACAAATTGTTCTGATTTTTTTGCAAAAGAACTATTGTTCTTGTTTTTGCAGAATAGAAGATTTAATAGGCTCTAGTTGCTTTGGAATAGAATTATTGTTGTTGTTATTATACAAAGATGTTTTTTTATAGATTAGAACAATAGATTTACCTTTTATAGAATAGAACAATTATTCTGGTTTTATTCAATAGAGTAATTTATCCACATCCAGTAGTTTTTCTTCTTAATATAATAAAAGATTATTCAACTACGCACAAGTCAAAATGTACAAAAAGTTTTAATCCTGCAAACGAAGTTATCGTTATGAGATCAAATTATAACATTTAGTTGAAGTTACACAAGCGCAAACATTCAGACGGAAAATATTGTTCTTAGATGATGTGAGCAGAGTTATTGTTTTTAGATGATGTGTCAAGCGCCATTTTTACAGTAATTGTTCGGGTTTATGGACCTTGTAAAATGGGGTACATGTGGGTAAAGAACTGTCTGTTACGTTTTAATATGTGATCTATTTATTTAAAACCTAAATGATTCATTAGTCTGAGCTTGGCAAATGCAAAACAAAGGTAGATGTCGAAAGTAATAATTAAGTGTCTAATCATTTAATGTGGTTTATTGCCTATTAGTATCTGCATTAAATAGCTTCAGCATGCACTCCTGATAAAGGATCTTCCGATTTAATTAGTGTTAAAATTATTTGCAAAGGATAGTGAATTTTTAATACAACTTTTGCACTTTTTTAACGAAACTTAGTGCATGATATATATATATATATATATATATATATATATATATATATATATATATATATATATATATATATATATATATATATATATATATATATATATATATATATTATAATATGTGGAACAAAATATTGCTAGAGAAATTAAGTCTATATTTAAGCCTAATTAAACCTCAAATTAAAAAATGAGCGCATTTCAATTCACCTCAATATTTCTCACTATCAAGACATTCTCGTTATAATCAAAGCAATTTTTTTTCTTTTGAAGTTATTAAAAAGACAAATTAACTCACTGAAAATAGCTAAAAGTTATTGAAAAGAAAAGATAACTCACAAATGCTAAAAAAGATATTGAAAAGAAAAGATAACTCATCAATGCTAAAATAGATATTGAAAAGAAGAGATAACTCACAAATGCTAAAAAAGATATTGAAAAGAAAAGATAACTCACCAATGCTAACATATATATTGAAAAAAAAAGATAACTCACCGACGCTAAAATAGATATTGACAAGAAAAGATAACTCCCCGATGCTCAAATAAATATTGAAAAGAAAAGATAACTCCCCAATGCTAAAATATATATTGAAAAGAAAAGATAACTCACCAATGCTAAAATAGATATTTAAAAAAGAGAAGATAACTCACCATTGCTGAGAATCACTAAAGAGCGTAGCCATGCATGGTGGTCGCCCGTTGTCTAATTGCCTCCCTTCCTCACCCTCTCCACGCCAACAACTCCCCACCGGAAACGTAACGGGCCGTCCGCATTCATCGGGAATGTCCGTTCGAGACGCCGAACAAGCCACTCGTCGAGTTGGCTCCAAAAATTCAAACCGGCAACTTGCCTTCTTGGCCGAGTCAAATCGCGAGAAGGGAAGAAAAAAAAAATCCTGGCAATAATAATATTCAAACACAAGATAAGGGGAGATCAATACTGGGGCTGCGATAATCACAACACCACCTCATAGCCGACTGCCGGCTCATGTTTAGTGTATCAATTCGATTGCTACGTCTGTTGGAAAGGGGGGAGGGGGAGGGGGTATTAATCAAGTACGGGGGGAATTCGTTTGTATGTGGTATTTGTTACTTTCGTGGTCTAGTTGTTTGGGTGCGTAGTCTATCTGTGAAAATAAGATAAGCCTGTTGTTATAGTTTGTTTTTTCTGTGAGTTCTGTTATGCAAGCCCCGCATTGAATTATGGTTTGCACGTGATAAATGTTTATATCCAAGCACTGTCTAGCGTGGGTTTGATACGGCACCGTGTATTGGAGGGGTTATGATAAGGTATAATCTTATATCAAAGCCATCTTTCTATCATGGGGTGTGATATGATACAATCTTATATTAAAGCCATATTTCTATTATGGGATGTGATATGATACAATCTTATATCAAATGCATCCTTTTAGTATGGGATGTGATATAATACAATCTGATGTATAAGCCATCTTTTTAGCATGGGATGTGATATTTTATGGCCTTTTATCAAAGACCTATTTCCAGTGCGAGTTGGATACGATTTAATCTTATATCAAAGTCGTGTTTCTATCATGGGTTTAAATAAGATACAATGTTATTACAAAGATATTTTTATAACATGGGTTTAGATAATAATATGATATAATCTTATATCAATGCTATGTTTCAATCATAAGTTTCGACATGATATACTCTTATATCAAAGCCATGTTTTTATCATGTGTTAGATATTATATAATCTTATATTAAAGCCATGTTTATATTATGGCTCTGATATTATATAGAATTATAATTATATCAAAGCCCCATGTCTAGTGTGGGTTGTGATATGATATAATTTTGTACTGAAGCCATTGTTTAGCATGTGATGTGAATTTTCTTTTTAACAATAACTTCATGTAAAAGATGTATTGACGTCATTATTTTCTAACACTTTTTCCCTTTCTTCAGTGTCTTCTCTTGGCCAACGTCTAGACATCTTGAGCATGTACATCGATGTCATGCACGAGGATGAGCTGTTCCTGGGTGAGTAAAGATGAACCGGGTCACGTGTGGGTGTATTGCGGCGTGGTCGGGAGATAGAGACTACCCGAAAGTCTAGAGTTCGATTCCAGAACTTGATATCCGTAGCCTAATCTACTTTGACGTGTACTTGACTGAGATTTGGAAATGTCAGATTAGGATGGCAGTTTTGTGATGGTACTATATGTCAGGTGATGGTACTATATGTCTGGTGATGTTTCTATATGTGAGGTGATGGTAAAGTATGTCAGGTGATGGTACAGTTTTTCTGGTGATGGTACTATATTTCAGGTGATGGTACTATATGTGTGGTGATGGTACAGTATGGCTTGTGATGGTACTTTTATGACTTATGATGGTACTTTATGTCTGGTGATGGTACAGTATTTCCAGTGATGGTACAGTATTTCTAGTGATGGTACAGTATTTCTAGTGATGGTACAGTATGTCTAGTGATGGTACAGTATGTCTAGTGATGGTAGTCTGGTGATGGTACTATATGTCCGGTGATGTTATATGTGATGATACTATATGTTTATAGATAGTACGATAGAGATTTGAACATTTAAGACAGTGGGTAAAGCGGGCTACATCACTCCTGCTAGGAAACAATGAAAATCAATGTAGAAAAAAAAATTGAAGTAAGATTGATCTATGCTTCAATGACCCACCACTTTTTGACATCTAATTCTTATGATTGTATCGACAGTAAATGAACAGCCAGACAGTTCGAATAGACAGACTGTAGCTTCATCAAATAAATATATGGCTACAAGTTATGTATGCGTCGTGTGAGTTTGGGAATAAACTAGATTACATTTTTTTTAAACTGCTTAAACTGCTAACACATCTAAACCAACTGATTCAGTCTGGATACCCCGTTATGTGTTTACAATGTTTAGTTTTTTCTATCTTCACCTACTTGCATCATTGTCACAAATATCCCTCTATAATCTTACAGCTTGTTATGTACAGCGATCAAGCAGAATTATTGATGCAAATGGTTAATGAGAAATAGTGGTTCGATTGAATGATTTGATAACATAAATCTCTCCTCCAGAGAAGAAACCGCCCTGTCACAATTTTTATGGCCTAGTGCCATTAAACGTTGTAAACATCACAATCCCCAATCTGCTTGTGTCAAACAGACATCGATTCCATTTAATATGCAAGCTTAGGTAGATGAATCAATTGTTTCTGGATTCGGTGTTGGTCTTTCATTTCCTGAATCCTGTAGTACAAGCTTAACAATAGAGCTAGACAGCTATGGAATTAGATTGGTCATCATATTGTGCGTCGTGTCGGGTTATACTGGTACAAGCGTTTTATTGATTTGTAAGCGATGCTAACATTGCTCAGAAGTATATATATATATATATATATATATATATATATATATATATATATAAAATTTGTATTGCTTTTTATATGTGGGTGTTGGTTATTGGTATCGATACATATAGTTAATGATTTCTCATGATTTTCTGATGCATATAACTGGATGACTGATGCATATGACTGGATGACTGATGCATATGACTGGATGACTGATGCATATAACTGGATGACTGTTGCACATAACTAAATGACTGATGCATATAACTGGATGACTGTTACATATAACTGGATGACTGATGCTTATGAGTGGATGACTGATGCTTATACCTGGATGACTGATGCTTATGACTGGATGACTGATGCTTATGACTGGATGACTGATGCTTATACCTGGATGACTGATGCTAATACTGGATGACTGATGCTTATGACTGGATGACTGATGCATATGACTGGATGACTTATGCATATGACTGGATGACTTTTGCAGCCCGACGCGAGATGGTACCGTGGAAGTTCAAGAGAGGAAATGCCTTGATGAAAAAGTGGGCGGGGCTACACAAGAAGGTCATGATTCAGGAGGTCATCGACTCAGGGGAGGAAATCATCGAGGAGATTCGTCAAGTAGGTGATGATGTTGTTGGTAATTGATGCTGCTGTTGTTTGATGGTGTTGGTAGTTGATGCTGCTGTTGTTTGATGGTGTTGGTAGTTGATGCTGCTGTTGTTTGATGGTGTTGGTAGTTGATGCTGCTGTTGTTTGATGGTGTTGGTAGTCGATGCTGCTGTTGTTTGATGGTGTTGTTAGTTGATGCTGCTGTTGCTTGATGTATTGGTAGTTGATGGTTTTGTTGGTTGATGCTGTTGGTAGTTGATGGTGTTGGTAGTTGATGGTGTTGTTGGTAGTTGATGCTGCTGTTGCTTGATGGTTTTGGTAGGTGATGGTGTTGGTAGTTGATGGTTTTGGTAGCTGATGGTGTTGGTAGTTGATGCTGTTGGTAGTTGATGCTGCTGTTGCTTGATGCTGTTGGTAGTTGATGCTGCTGTTGCTTGATGGTTTTGGTAGTTGATGCTGCTGTTGCTTGATGGTTTTGGTAGGTGATGGTGTTGGTAGTTGATGGTTTTGGTAGCTGATGGTGTTGGTAGTTGATGCTGTTGGTAGTTGATGCTGCTGTTGCTTGATGCTGTTGGTAGTTGATGCTGCTGTTGCTTGATGGTTTTGGTAGTTGATGCTGCTGTTGCTTGATGGTTTTGGTAGTTGATGCTGCTGTTGCTTGATGGTTTTGGTAGTTGATGCTGCTGTTGCTTGATGGTTTTGGTAGTTGATGCTGCTGTTGCTTGATGGTTTTGGAAGTTGATGCTGCTGTTGCTTGATGGTTTTGGTAGTTGATGCTGTTGGTAGCTGATGGTATTAGTAGCTGATGGTATTGGTAGATGATGCTGTTGGTAGTTGATGCTATTGATAGTTGATGCTGTTGGTAGTTGATGCTGTTAAATAAATTAGATTATAACAAAAGTGTAATTGTATAACAAGCTGCTGTTTATTGATGCTCATTAGGTTCTACTGAATATTGTCAGTCTACAGATTTTAAAACATCGGTATGGATCTTAAATTTGACTTTTTCTTGTCTTCTATTGAAGGAGAAAGCTGCTGTCGCTGCCGCTGATGCTGCCGCTGCTTTGGAAGAGCTGAAAAACTCAGAGAAAGTTCCAGAGTCTGAGGAACCACGAGACGAGGCTGAGACCTCGGCCGGCTCCCCGCGAGATCGGACGTCCAAGAAAACCAAGACGAAAGATGGCAAGCAGAAGAAATCTAAGAACAAAAACAAAGAAGGGAAAGTTAAGAAACCCAAGGCTAAGGATGGGAAACTGAAAAAGTCGAAGGAGCGCATGAACGAGTCCCACAGAGCTGCTCAACCAAAAAAATCTAAATCCAAATCCCGGAAAGCAAAGAACAAGAACTCAGAAAAGGAAAATACGGAAGTAGCAGATGTAGATGAATTAAACAATGAATCCAACTCTGAAGATTCAGGACAAGAAAGCGAAGAAGTCATCTCTTCCTATTCCGTAAAGCCTGATAAAACTAAATCAAGAAAATCAAAAACAACGACGGCAGGAAAACATGACTCGAAAGCAGATGATAGCGACAACAAAGATGATGGGATTATCGCTACCAATTCTGAATCTCCATCCGCAAATCCTGAAAAATCAAGAAAATCAAGAAAAAAGAAGACGGAAGATTCTAAGCGAAAGGATGCTGAGACTAACGTGGATGAAAGTGATGACGAAAAAAGCTCGGAGTCAGGTGTCAAAGACAGAGACACAGACCCGCGCGCGGAAATGGACAGCGGAGTCCATTCAAATTTCGAGGAATCCAGCCAAGCCAGCGAAGACGTGGCTGGAAACGAGACGGACGCCTCTGCCGACCAGACAGAGGGGCGTGTCAGAGTCATCGGCACCACCCCGTACCCCGTCGTCGGCCAGGGTCTACTGTACAAGAGCCGGGTTCGAACCGTCACCTCAATAACCACCCCCTTACGCCCGATTCAACCAAAACAAAGGACAAAGTCCAGCAAACCAGCGGTCAAGGGCAGGCAGAATCCTGGACAACCCCAGCACTCAACGGTAGCCTTCGGCACCCACCACCACGCAGACACCTGCATGTACTGCCTGAGCAACGGGTTCTCGGAATTCTGGGAGCGGACGCACACGAAGATAGAAACCAGGAAACACAGCAAAACCTCGACGACACCCATGATCAAGGCTCGTATCGAGGACATCACGGGCATCTACGAGCTGACCCGCCTGAAGACGATGGAGGTGGGGCAGAGGGCGCTGCAGCGATCGAAAACTCTCGGTCACATGGTCACGAGGTAGCCGTAACTCGTTATACACACACTGACACACGGACACACGGACACACGGACACGCGGACACACGGACACACAATGTTATACTGGCAAAAACTGTTATGTTGGAACCGTTGCAATAACTGTTGTTATTTATTATTGAACATTTCTAAACTAAAAGCGCATAAGCGTAGCGATATAGCAACATACTTGGCGACCTAGGAGAATTCAATTATCTGATATACAAGTACACGTACAAGAAAACGCGTACACATGCACTAATGCAACTAAATGTTGTCTATAAACCCTTTACACATAATTAGGATATATATCACCTAAGAGCAGATCTACCCCTCTGCACCCTATTACGACGCCCCCTCTGCGCCCCATAGCGACGCCCTCTCTGCACCCCATATCAACGCCACCCTCTGCACCCCATAACGACGCCCCCCTCTGCACCCCATATCAACGCCACCCTCTACACCCCATAACGACGCCACCCTCTGCACCCCATAGCGACGACATTTCAAACTCTATTTTGCCTTATGAACCTCTAAGAATTAGAACAGTTGTGTTTTGCTACAGCCTAGAATAAAATAACATAACTATCACACAACAGAAATATATCAACAACACTGAGTATATTTTAATAAATTTTTATTGACAGTTTTTTTTTTAAATCTCAACTATTTGGGGATCGAATACTAGTCACGCTGAGTACTGAGTCTAAGTATCCCGGGTAACACCTAGCCACTCAGCTTTAATCTGTACTCAGCAAACCCACCAGTACCATTGTAGACGTTTTTTAAAGCTTCACATATTCATTCTCATCATCATCACAAAATAATTTTCTTATTCCTAATAACACAAACAGGATTTCCTTTCAATTTTTTAACGTTCCGTAGGATTGATTTCCCACAATGCTAAGACATTTCTTCATTATCTATCAAATTTCAAAGACTCTCAAGAATATTTTTGACTCAGTATTTCACCTGGAATCACACAATTACAAGTTTGGAATATTTATTGATGGGGAAATTTCAATCCACAATTTTCTATAAGTCAGCTGTCATGTCCTCTAATTTTTTCTTATGCCAAAATGTAGAAAGACAGTCAAATTTACCCAACCTTGACGGGGCTTGACTCGATTCAAAACCATGTCAGGCATAAATGGCTTATACGAAAACATTTTGATATATCGGTATTTTTTAACCTATGTACGTATACCATTGCACTGGCTCTTTATTAACTGGAATAAGATTTTGCCTGGTTTTTCGCATGATTTTATTCCATCCTTACTGTGGAGATTGTTATTTATAAAAATTATCAATGTATTACCAAGCCAAAATATGAACGGGAACACAACTAGGGGTCGTCCATAAACTAAATGTATACAATTACTGTAAGGATTAAAGGGAAGGGGAATTAGAGTGTTACATACTTGTAGTGATGTTGTTATAATAAGGGTGTTGCCACAATATTTGACGTCATTTATATAATATCATCCAGTAATTGACGGCAATAGGCATCTCTCGACTCGGGTCGATGAGGAATAATTTTTACATGTATAATGTCTCCTCTTTGGCTTGTTTCTTAGACAATATGTTACTTTTCTTAGCGGTGGAGAGACAGAAGACACCCAGGTATTCTTATTGAATTCGTTTATATCACTTAAACTAGTGTTGGGGGGGGGGGGGGTTGTTAAAGGGTTCTTTATTCAGAGATTCTTAAGTAGGAGAATATGGCTCTCAAGTGTTAGAGTTGGTTAACATAACTTGGGTAGTAGCTAGTGAGATTTTAAAATCAATATCGCTGGTTCAAAAATTGTTTGCTAGAGACTGACTTATGGTTTCATTATATGGACGAATACTAACTGTAAAAAAAAACATACTATATATTTTATATGTTAATAAATTTGTAATATTATAAATATATGATTTTGTTTTTTTTTTCTTTTTTCTTTTAGATAAAATTGTGTTTTCACTAGATTAATTGATAACACCTACTGAGGTAATTAAGTGGTAATGGTTGTATGAATATATTTGAGAGACGCATCTACAAGTAGAGATGGCGAATGCTGGTTGTCAGAGGTCGGTTCCACAAGGGTGTCATTGAGTCCACCCAGCTCTAAATGGGTACCTAGAACACTCGGTGAGATTAACGGCACTGAGCCTAAATATCCTCATATACCGAGTTGAAAGAAACAGGTAAACTCTACGTCATCTACCCTATAATCGTCCATTTAATTAACTTCTACGTTTTTCAAACGGCTAATGCAATTTTAAGATTAGGAAACGAATGTACTCATCTATTACCGTATACTGAAACGTTCATATTTTTATGCCTTTAAGCGTACATGCACCTTCGCAAAAATAAGAACACAAATTCAGACCAGCAGTATAAAACTGTACAGCTTCTGTTTAGTGCGATGTAATTCTAAGCTGGGCCAAAACGTATGTAGGTTACTGACCTCCCTTTGACAATGAACTCAACTCTCCTGCATAACATTACAAAGAGCCTGTGAAAAAAATGGATGGAATAGAAGAAAATGGCATGGACTCGCCTGTCAAAAACTTCTATTGTACACAATCATGTTTATTCCTCTAAAAAAACGGCTCCCAAAAAACGGCTGCCAAGAAAAAAACGGCTCCCAAAAAAACGGCTCCCAAGAAATCCGCTCGCACCTATAAAGTAGTGGGGAGCCCTAATAACGGAAGCCATTTTGTCGGGACTGTTTTATCACTGGCCTTTTTGACTAGGTACCAACATTCACCTAAATCACTCGGTGTTGGTTGTGTTAAACTTTCCAATAAACCAAGAAAACATTGAAATATTGTGGCCGCTCATGACACATTTTAACCTCTGCAGATATTTTTATCTTTTTTTTAAAAAATACAACTTTACCCCCGTTTATTTTTATCAGGGAAATATCGACCAGAGTATTTTAAGCTGGGTGTTTGCTGGTTATCAATGGAGAGATAATTTTATTGCTTGACCGGAAGTGGGCATGTCAGCAACAGAAGCTGGTGGGTGTCCTGTTAATGGCAGCCTGCTCAGTGGGGCTTCTTGTTGTTGGCTGGTTTCTGGGTGGTTGGTTACCTCAGGTTGGTGGGTGGTTGTCTGGTTGGTGGGTGGTTGTCTGGTTGGTGGGTGGTTGTCTGGTTGGTGGGTGGTTGTCTGGTTGGTGGGTGGTGGGTGGTTGTCTGGCTGGTGGGTGTGGTTGGTGGGTGTGGTTGGTGGGTGTGGTTGGTGGGTGGTTGTCTGGTTGCTGGGTGGTTGTCTGGTTGGTGGGTGGTTGTCTGGTTGGGGGGTGGTTGTCTGGTTGGTGGGTGGTTGTCTGGTTGGTGGGTGGTTGTCTGGTTGGTAGGTGGTTGTCTGGTTGGGGGGTGGTTGTCTGGTTGGTGGGTGGTTGTCTGGTTGTCTGGTTGGTGGGTGGTTGTCTGGTTGGTGGGTGGTTGTCTGGTTGGTGGGTGGTTGTCTGGTTGGTGGGTGGTTGTCTGGTTGGTTGTCTGGTTGGTGGGTGGTTGTCTGGTTGGGGGGTGGTTGTCTGGTTGGTGGGTGGTTGTCTGGTTGTCTGGTTGGTGGGTGGTTGTCTGGTTGGTGGGTGGTTGTCTGGTTGGTGGGTGGTTGTCTGGTTGGTGGGTGGTTGTCTGGTTGGTGGGTGGTTTGGTTTTGTCTCATTTTTATCTCATTTGCTGGGGGATTGTTTTCGGAGAGGGGGGGGGTCTCGTTCGTGAGTTTTTTGTCGCGTTGGTGAGTTTTTGTCTTTATCTTATTGTGGGTGGTTGGTTTTGTATTGTTGGTCGGTTATTGACTTTGTCCTGTTGGTGAGTTTTTGTTTTTTATCTCGTAGGTGGGTTTTTGTCTTGTTGTTTGGTTTGTTTTTCGTCAGTAAAGTCGATCTAGCTGTGATTGGTTCTTGTTTTGTGGCCGGATGTTTTGGTTTGTTTTTTATTTATTCATTACTTTGTCTGTTTGTTTTTTGGAGGAGGTACTCAGATTTAAAGAAAGTTTATTGATTATGTGTAATACATTGTCTATAATACTACTTTAACTTAAATGCATCACTGAAATATCAGATTGAAAGTTTTTTGTTTTTTTTTTTTTTTATAAAACGGGTTAAATTTGAATGTGGCTTTTTTCATATTACCCTTAAAGCTGAAATATTTATTTTTTTGTTTTGGAAGTACAACCGGCCAAAATCTCACGAAGCTAAAGTAAAAATAAGATTCTACCCCATTGCAAAATTTATGTTTAGATTAGGACTAATTTGGAAACCATTATCATTCAAATAAAACTAGGACACACGACTGATCTTATCATCTAAATATTTTTGTTTATTTTTCTTAACAAATTCTACATTAAAACTTTAATGAAAATCAGAAAAACATTACAGTTTATGTTATTAGTTATTAGTACTGCAATGTACTCAAATACGAAATAGTTTATTCATTACGTATACCTTTATTAGATATTTGACTATCATTAGTATGCCTACATTTTAAAGAGGTTTAAGGTACTCTAACGTTCATAAGTTAAAATAAAATGAAATCTAAATGCCATTAACCAACACCAATTGTCAGTACAACAAACCGGGAGGGGTGGGGGAGATGCATATAGTTGTTTTTTTTAAACTCAGCTATAGTGCATCGTGTCGATATTTTATTACAGGGGATATAATCAAGAAAATTTAAATGATGCACTTGCACACTAGCCTCCCCTCGAAGTGTGCAGAGAAAATATAAAACTTTACAGACCCAAAAATCCTTGGAGCAAATAAAGTTGAGTTCACAACAAGTCATATGGCCGTCAAGGCCAAATAGACCATGTAACCATACTATAAAAATGTATTTCAAAAATTAAAAAGACCATTTTTAGCAAGAGAGGTCCCATGACAATTTTGAGACAGCCGTCATAATCTACCCTAGCTGTCCTCAAATAGATTTAATTTATAGACAGTCATATGTAAAAACAAAAGTCTATACATTCCTTATTACATGAGCATAAGTTAATTATTGGACTATGTAAATGTTCGTTGTTTTAAAAGCTTTCCTTTTCAAAAGGTTGTGAATTATCTTATATAATAATTTAAAGATGAGGGTTCACAGCTTTAAAGCCAACACCACATATGTTGTTGACAGCCACATACGTCTTCGACAGCCAAAGAGCACAGGAAAGTGCACTTATGTTTTACTTTATCACCCCGCTCGTACGTCTGCATCTTATCAATAAGAAAACAGTTATAACCTAATTAGGCGTGTTATATAATATCTCCCTGATAAGATAACCTGCTATTATTTTTCCTAGTGCGAATTAGATGTGTAATTATATAGGTGGTGTTGAGTTCAGCTGTGCGCGGTTCGGTTTTAACTGGACAGTTTAGCGACCTCTTTACCTGTACATTTTCGACCTTTACGGCTGATAGGCGTTTATTGTGTAATTTTCACACTTCGACTATTGTGCAACGCTTTCAAGTTTTTGAATGTTGTGTAGAAACTGTTTCTTACTGATTTCAACATTTTGACGTTGTGTTAATTTTTGTGATTTTTTTATTACAGTCCCTGCTGTTTTAATATTTTGACGTATCGTAATTTTTTTACCGTGTCCCCACTATTTAGTGGTTTGAAAATTTTGACGTCCTGTGATGTTTAACACCTGCGTGTCGGTCGTAGTTGCATGCGTGGTTTGAACTCTCACCTATGGGAAGTACAAAAATTTAAACCTTTTACTTTCTGTGGTATTGTTTAACTAGCTGAACCTTCCAACAGACTGCGGTATGTTTAAAATCTTCTGACGGAAGTGTGTTGTGTCCCTTGTGTGGTATAGACATAGGTGAAGACCTCTTGTGTTGAGGACAGACTGGTGTGTTATAAGATTCGATACTTTTTGACTCCCCCGTGAGTAGGTTTGTGGTAAAGTGTCAAGGTCATGAAGGAGTCACTGGTCAAAGGTGACCTTGGCGGGTCACTGACCGGTGGTGACAGCAAGGTGAAGGTTTATTACGTCAACGAATGTGTTAGCTTGGATGAGGTACTGCCGTCAACAGATAAACAAAGTAAGTTTTTATTTATTTATTTTTCTGTAACTACGTTTTCTCTGTTTGTAAATACGAATCACAAGCATTGGGGTTGTGTTTTATGTAACATAAGTTGCCATATGTGTAGTAAAGCAAAGTTCGTTTTAAATTTTACATCACATCAAATTCTGATCACATTTAGCTCGGATCACATTTTATGTCTGTGATCTGTGATCGAATATGCTGATTGGTTATAGCATTATTTTAACAAATGTAATATAGCGTAGTACATTTGGCTTATAACATTTTCATTTAATTAGCTAACAATAAAGCTGTACAGTTTCCACTCTTTCTCTCCGTTTATATATATATATATATATATATATATATATATATATATATATATATATATATATATATATATATATATATATATATATATATATATATATATATATATATATATATATATATATATATACACACATATATATATATGTATATATATATATGATTATATTTTATGACCAGAGGAAGCAAATGAAGGCCAGAAAGAGGAAACAGGTGTTAAAACAGAAATCAAGGTAATGTTCGATCTAAACTCTTCATTGGCTTACACTCTCTTCCACCCGATATACATTTTTTTGTGTTGTCCTGCGCCGTGTCATCATGACCTCCTGATGACATTTTGAAAATGTCGAACCTTTTATATCAGGAAATGGTGTCGATGACCCTTATTAATTTACTGGTTTTCCAATCATGCTACAGTTCTGTACATAATGCAAATGTGCATCTGTTACTTCATACAAAGGAAGTTGTCTTCAAAGCTGCTAATGCCGTCTATTGTATTGTTATTTTAATTGCCATCATTTACTCCATATTTTCATTAACAAACAATAAAAGTGTCGTCTGAACACTAAGCACCACATCATGTCAAAATTATCATCTGAACAGCTTTGACATATAGCCTGCTTCCCAGGTGTTTGTGTACACACGCAAATATATACACACACACATATATATATATATAAATGTGTGTATGCATATGTATATATATATATATATATATATATATATATATATATATATATATATATATATATATAATATGTATGATTATATTTATATATATATAGTATATATATATATATATATTATATATATATATATATATATATATATATATATATATATATATATATATATATATATATATATATATATATATATATATATACATATATACATATATCCCACCTGCCACCCAGGTGTTCAAGCGCAGGTGGTACGTCCTGCTCATCTTCAGCCTGTACGCCATGACCCAATGTGCCGTCTGGAACACGTGGGGGCCCATCGCCACCACCAGCAAGGACGCCTTTGGCTGGAGCAACGCCACTGTCGCGTGGATGACCAACTGGGGGCCCATCTCGTTCGTCTTGTGTGGCTTCCTGTTTCCGTGGATCCTGCAAGTCAAAGGTACCAAAACCACTGGGAATGGGGAGGGGGGGGATTGGTTATAGAAAACAGCATGGGTACCTCATAGTCTAACTAACATTGTTACCTGTAAATGTTACCTGTTGTCTTATCTCTAAATGTTACCACTTGTTTTACCTGTAAATGTTACCTCTTGTTTAACCTGTAAATGTTACCTCTTGTTTTACCTGTAAATGTTACCTCTTGTTTTACCTGTAAATGTTACCTCTTGTTTTACCTGTAAATGTTACTCTTGTTTTACCTGTAAATGTTACTCTTATTTTACCTGTAAATGTTACCTCTTGTTTAACTGTAAATGTTACTCTTGTTTTATCTGTACATGTTACTCTTGTTTTACCTGTAAATGTTACTCTTGTTTTACCTGTAAATGTTACCTCTTGTTTTACCTGTAAATGTTACCTCTTGTTTTACCTGTAAATGTTACTCTTGTTTTACCTGTAAATGTTACCTCTTGTTTTACCTGTAAATGTTACCACTTGTTTTACCTGTAAATGTTACCTCTTGTTTTACCTGTAAATGTTACTCTTGTTTTACCTGTAAATGTTACTCTTGTTTTACCTGTAAATGTTACCTCTTGTTTTACCTGTAAATGTTACCTCTTGTTTTACCTGTAAATGTTACTCTTGTTTTACCTGTAAATGTTACCTCTTGTTTTACCTGTAAATGTTACTCTTGTTTAACCTGTAAATGTTACCTCTTGTTTTACCTGTAAATGTTACTCTTGTTTTACCTGTAAATGTTACCTCTTGTTTTACCTGTAAATGTTACTCTTGTTTAACCTGTAAATGTTACTCTTGTTTTACCTGTAAATGTTACCTCTTGTTTTACCTGTAAATGTTACTCTTGTTTTATCTGTAAACGTTACTCTTGTTTTACCTGTAAATGTTACTCTTGTTTTACCTGTAAATGTTACCTCTTGTTTTACCTGTAAATGTTACCTCTTGTTTTATCTGTAAATGTTACCTCTTGTTTTGCCTGTAAATGTTACCTCTTGTTTTACCTGTAAATGTTACTCTTGTTTTACCTGTAAATGTTACCTCTTGTTTTACCTGTAAATGTTACCACTTGTTTTACCTGTAAATGTTACCTCTTGTTTTACCTGTAAATGTTACCTCTTGTTCTGTTACCTGTTAATGTTACCTCTTGTTTTACCTGTAAATGTTACCTCTTGTTCTGTTACCTGTTAATGTTACCTCTTGTTTTACCTGTTAATGTTACCTCTTGTTTTACCTGTAAATGTTACCACTCGTGTTACCTGTAAATGTTACCACTTGTTTTACCTGTTAATGTTACCTCTTGTTTTACCTGTAAATGTTACCTCTTGTTTTACCTGTAAATGTTACCACTTGTTTTACCTGTAAATGTTACCTCTTGTTGTGTTACCCCAGGTCTCAGGTGGGCGACGTTACCCAGTATGCTATTGGTATTTCTCGGCACATGCTGTAGAGTCATCACGTCTGACTCGGAGTCAGCCACAATGTAAGTCTTTACCACCAATCAGACCATTACTCATGTAGCCTCGATAGAAATTTGCATATACGTTTTTGTATTGTTACGTTATTGTTATAGTTGTTGTTTTTTTTTGTTATTGTTTTGTTTGTTTTTTGTAAATTAATTACAATTTTTAATCAGTTTGTTTTAACTAGATGTAAATATAGTAACGTGTAAGAAAGCAAGATTTTTCTGATTCCAGACTCATCCACATCGGTCAGTTCCTGAATGGACTGGCCGGACCGATAGCCATGGGGGGATTCCCGACACTGTCGGCTGCTTGGTTCCCGCCTGGACAGAGGGTCACGGCCACCGCCATAGGGGTCAGCCTCACGTTCTGTGGAGGAGCCCTCTCCTTTGTCTTAGGTGAGACCGTGTGTCTTCTGTGTGTGGTGAGACAGCTGTCTCGTGTGTGTAGTGAGACAGGTGTCTCGTGTGTGTAGTGAGACAGGTGTCTCGTGTGTGTAGTGAGACAGGTGTCTCGTGTGTGTAGTGAGACAGGTGTCTCGTGTGTGTAGTGAGACAGGTGTCTCGTGTGTGTAGTGAGACAGGTGTCTCGTGTGTGTAGTGAGACAGGTGTCTCGTGTGTGTAGTGAGACAGGTGTCTCGTGTGTGTAGTGAGACAGGTGTCTCGTGTGTGTAGTGAGACAGGTGTCTCGTGTGTGTTGTGAGACAGATGTCTCGTGTGTGCATGGCTGGCACTACCAGGCCCCTTGAGGTGGGGGCGCAAAATGTTTAATCGCTATTATCAAAAAGTACCTAATAATTAATAACTTTTATAAATGAGTAGCGATCTATTTCGGCACCCAGGACGAACAATCAATTTTGCCCCCCACCTCAAAGTTAGGTTTATTTAGGCCTATATTTATTCGTGATGGTGAAAATGCAACCCCACCTCCCTAATTTGGAAAGGTCGGGGCGCATCCGGCCCGCGGGCCGTAGTTTGGAGACCCCTGGTATAAAGTATCGAAGTGTTAAAGTGTCAAAATTTTAATTCGGCTGTTTTGTAGTTGAAGGTCTAATGGAATTATATTGGTAGTAGATGAAGTATCGTAGTTCTGAAGTTCGGGAGTATTGATTCTTGTGGTATTAAGGTATCGAATTATATTGACTGTTAAAATGTAGTAGTAGGTCCAGTGAAATTGTTGTTGATTGGGAGTATCGTTTGTAGAGCTTGGTGAAGTTAAGCGAGGTGGTGCCGTAGTTCTGGAGCTTCGAGTCTAGTTATGTTTAGGTATCGAAGTTTGATGTGTTGTGAATGTAGTGGAGTATATCGAGTAGTCGAGTTTCTCGTAAGTTAGATGATTTCAATTCACACAATACAAAGAAAGGTAGACCAGGGGTCGGCAACCTGCGGCTCGCGAGCCGCATGCGGCTCTTTTGATATCAAGATGCGACTCTCCAGCTCTTTGAACATATACTAATAATCTTAATAAAAAAAAAAAATATTTTAAATAAAAAAAATGTTAGTGGCTCTTTAAAACCAGGGAAATTTTGAAAATTGTAACTTTTGGCTCTTCCGCTTCAAAAGGTTGCCGACCCCTGAGGTAGACGATCTCTAGTTGAAAAATCTTGTTTTTTAGGAATCTATATTACCACTCTTAAAGTATTAATATATAATATTAAATAGGATGGAAACTATAACTTACCGAAAACTTTGTTTTTGTCAAATTATATTTTTTTTATATTTAATCGATTATTCTAGCAATGTCCCTTTAATTAGGGGATCCAAAATTTTAAATGCATTGTGAATATGAAATGTACAATTAAATAGTAGTGTCATCAAAATTTAATAGAAGCATGTTATAATAAAGCTATCATTTTTAGACTTTCAAACAAAACCAACAGTTAAGTAATCATTAGGTAAAATATATTGCTTTCACAAGACTACCTAGCTAATATAAAAGATTTGTTATAATTATTTCATAATGAAATTTAGAGCGTTTTATTGTGTTTTCTTAGTTAAATTTGGTTTATTTAGCTATTCTTGTGAAAGTTATTTCCCTTGAATAATATTTTGTTATTTGGATTTTCAAATGGGAGATAATTCGTTGCTTAACTTTACATTCCTTTCAAAATCCTGCACCTTAGGTTGACCGCTTACATATAAATACAACTTAAAGTTATTATTTGCTGTTGTAAAAATTATATAGAGCTTAAGTTCTAAACAAAATAATTTATTGGCTACTAAAGTGGATTGGGATTGTCATATAGTTATATTATTTGATTACTAATTTTAATATTTGATCATAGCAGAGGTAGCTAAAACACGTATTCTGCTAAACATTTATGTTTTATATAAATCAGTATAAGTTCATATTTAACGCTATTTATTTCAAAAATCAAATATAATAACTTAATCCTAGTCAAATACCAAATCATTTTAAAAAAATGTTATTGGCTCTTTATAACTTGGAAAGTTTTAAAATTGTAACTTTTGGATCTTCCGTCTCAAAAGGTTGCCGACCCCTCCGATAGACTTATAAACTGTAACACAGAGGCGTAGCGAAGGGGGCGTGGGGGGGGGTCCCCGGGCGCCGACCCTAGGGGCGCCAAATTGGGTTGAAAAAAATTAAAAGCTCGTTTTAGCTGCAGTTTTGCATTATAAATATAAAAATATATGAGAGGGGGGTGCCAAATTGAAGGTTTGTCCCTGGACATCGGGAAGGGTCGCTACGCCTCTGCTGTAACATCATTTATTCATTTGGTATTTATTTTCCCTACAGTAGCAGGGTTTGAAAAATAGAGTTTTAGACTCATTATTTTGCTCCTCTCCATGGAAATCTTTAGTTTTTTTGTTGTTTTTTATAAAAGTTTATTTCTGAAATTATTTACATCAACACCAACATAACATTGCACACATATTTGTTACACAAGGAGATCAGTTGCATACATTTCTACAATAAACCGGGAGTGATCTCCCCTAAACTTTCTCGAATATTTTTATATACAATAACAGGGGATGGGAACTCGGGCTATAGACATGATTTTTAATCCATTTTAAACACTTAAAATTTTAATAATAGAATAAAATCTCATAGACAAAAGAATTGCACACCAAATGAACGCTAAATAAAAAAAGTGCATAATAGTGCGCAATATTATTAGTACTTTAAAAATTTACAATAGTTTTTTGAGAAATCGGAAGTAGCGTAAATTACTACTTCCGTTCAACGGAAATGACTCAAAATTTAACAGAAGGTAGAGAATTATATCTTTTACTTACTTGTGAAATTTCGTTTATCTATCTGAAATAGTACTCAAGTTATAGGCTTTTGAAAAATTCAAAGTAGGAAAAGTACCACTTCCGATTATCGGAAATCGCTCAAAAGTTGATACGGATCTACGATTTTGATAAAATACTTATATATGAAATTTCATCAACCTAGCTATAACGGTAGTCAAGTTATCGTGTTTACACACACACAGACAGACAGACACACAGACAGACACACAGACATACACACAGACATACGGACAAGATTGCAAAATTATGTTTTTCCGTATCAGTGAGGTGTAAAACGTCGAGATTTGTAAAAATCGTGATTTTTTTTTGCACGATTACAATACTATCTCTATACTTAGTATATACGAGAAAGTAAAAAAAAAAGTGGTATTCAACATTCAGACATATTTGTTCGTACTCTCATAAAAAATTGTCTTTAGTATTTTGCTGGTGTATTTCTTCTTGTCATACTTTGCCTTGTTCCTTGTTTGCCAGACAGTCTGTCTGTATGTCGCCAAGGCATAAATGTTTTTGTCTCTCTCTGTAGCCACGGGCTTTTTGGGTATTTTATTTAGAGTTATCGCCTCGTCAATAGTCAGGGCTTTATTGTCTACCTTGATTTCTTCTTCTAATGCCAGTTTCGCCATCTGTATTGTGGGGCATGTTAGGAATAAATGGGTTTCTGTCTCTCTGATATCTTGTCCACACAGTACACAACCTGTGTTTCTCTTCTTGTTAGCTGGCATAATTTGGTAGATCGGAGTCAAATTAAAGATTGATTGGTCTATCTCTAAACCTAACCTAAATCTAAATCTAACGCTATAGCTAATGCTAACCTAAACACTAACACTAGCCCTAGCTCTAATACATGTGTGTGTATATGTGTGTGTGTTATTGTGTGTAATTTTATTTTAATTTTATTTATAGTGCAATGTTGAAAATAAAAAGAATCTAAAACCGAACATTAATGTAGCAACACTTCCAGCGTTCTTAAATATCCAGGGGAGATAACCCAATGCTGGGTTATACTAAAGCGCTAAAATACAAACGAAATTCAACGGTAACACATCAAAGAAGAGATTAATATCTTTAATTTTGTTAAATATGATAATCTATTCTTGTAAATTAACTTTTGGTAAAGATGTTTTTAATTCTTTGAACTGTTGTATTTTTTAAACTCAAATCTAAATAGGAAACTGTTAGCGGTTTTAAAACTTTAATTAATATATATTTGAAAGATTCTTGTTGTAATCAGTCGGTCCTCTTCTCGGTTGTAAACTGTAGTAATTTTACATTATAATTACGGAAAAAATATTAGATCTAGATCAGGGGTCGGCAACCCTTTGATACGCAAGAGCCAAAAGTTACAATTTACAAACTTTCCCAGTTTTAAAAGAGCCACAACATTTTTAGTTCAGTATTGGGTATTTGATTAGGATTAGGTAAATAAAGTTGATTTGTTATTTTAAATAAATAGCTTTAAATATGAAATAATATGTATTCATATAAAAACATAGACATTTTCCCCAGAATAGTAAAATTAGTAATCAAATAATAGTATTATTCTAGGACTATCTCAATTTACTTTAGAAGCTGTTAATTTTAATTTTATTTTCTCTTTACGGATATCACCGGCTCAGGAGGTGTCTCCCATTAGCCAGTCAGGCCTCAACACGGCAAACGCCGACTAACTGGCTTGGATATCGGTTTGAATAACTTGCATCGTTCGCTTCTATCCTTTGGTTCTCACCAGGCTTATCTTCAATCCCATTGAACGCAGGGTAAAGTCGTACCCCACCGTCCAGTAAAAATGAAATTATATAACTATTAATATTTGTGCAAGGAGCTGGACGTCAAAAGAGCCACATGCGGCTCGCGAGCCGCAGGTTGCCGACCCCTGATCTAGATCTATGTCTAAGTAAACCATCTTAAATGAATGAAAGTAGGCTGCAAGTAAGAAAGAAGTATTACTATTGTAAATCTGGATCAGTCCTCACAAGCCGATGATGAAAACCGTAACACTAAAGCGAACATGCAAGGCAAACTGACGCTGTAAATTACATGTCTGAGGCAAAAAAAAAACGGGAGATGTCGCGGTCAAAATCAGTGGAACGTCCTTGAGCCCACCCAGCCCTGATGAGTACCCAACATTAGGGACCCAAAGGCGGCTGGGCATAGTGCCGACAATAATATCCATTCATATGCCGAGCAGAGCTTCTTCCCCCCCGAAGAAAGTCTACCGCCCCCCCCCCCGAACGAGATGGAACCTATATAGTAAAAATATACTTCTACTAGTGGCCGCCCCCTTCCCCCCGGAAAATGTTGACCCCCCCCCCCCCTCCCGAAAATATCAAGTGGCGAAACACTGATGCCGGGGTCATTAAAGCAGATGAACCCCCGTTCTTCCCCATGTGTCTTGGACAGGAACTGGAAATGATGATGACATAGTGTACATTTTTTCAGGCATCTAGTGGAACCGAAAGATTTTACAGCTGTACTTAATTGAATAATTAGGGCCTACATTTAAAAAAATATAATTATTACATGTCTGAAACTGTATTTTTCTAAATGCTTTTTACGCAGTCGGGAATTATTTCTTGTGGACAATGTTGTTTGTCTAAAAATAGCTTTCGCCGTCAGTTTATTGTCATCATCGGTTTTGTTTTTGGATTTGGTTATGTTTTTGCGGGTAATTGTTTCGTTTTGTGCAAATGCTTTATTTTGAGTATTGTTCCTAATGTTCGTTTAGCTTGCTGTTGCATTCTAAGAAAATGTGTTTTTCGGTTGTTTTTTATTTACTTACCACACATTTGGCATGTTATATTGATGTTTCTGTTTGCCTTTGTGATTATTGTGATGGGTGTTGAATTGTAGATAAGTCTGCAACCTACGTCTCTTTCTTTGGGTGTGATGTGTTTACTTTGTAAGTTTCTAAAGTGATGTGTTTACTTTGTAAGTTTCTAAAGTGATGTGTTTACTTTGTAAGTTTCTAAAGTGATGTGTTTACTTTGTAAGTTTCTAAAGTGATGTGTTTACTTTGTAAGTTTCTAAAGTGATGTGTTTACTTTGTAAGTTTCTAAAGTGATGTGTTTACTTTGTAAGTTTCTAAAGTGATGTGTTTACTTTGTAAGTTTCTAAAGTGATGTGTTTACTTTGTAAGTTTCTAAAGTGATGTGTTTACTTTGTAAGTTTCTAAAGTGATGTGTTTACTTTGTAAGTTTCTAAAGTGATGTGTTTACTTTGTAAGTTTCTAAAGTGATGTGTTTACTTTGTAAGTTTCTAAAGTGATGTGTTTACTTTGTAAGTTTCTAAAGTGATGTGTTTACTTTGTAAGTTTCTAAAGTGATGTGTTTACTTTGTAAGTTTCTAAAGTGATGTGTTTACTTTGTAAGTTTCTAAAGTGATGTGTTTACTTTGTAAGTTTCTAAAGTGATGTGTTTACTTTGTAAGTTTCTAAAGTGATGTGTTTACTTTGTAAGTTTCTAAAGGTGTCAACAATGTCTTTTGTGTTGTGTTCTCTAGCCCATTGTATTCTATTGTTTAGTGGTTGTAGTTGTCGTTTGACCAGTGTCATATATTTTCTTGGAGTTTTCCCCTCTAATGTTTTTGTTAGTTTTGAAAATTGCTTGCGTGTCTGCGTAAAATCGACCCCGTAGTGTGGGGTGGTATTATTTTGTTTTAGGTTAGGTTTGGTTTGCCTGTCGCCCCTCCTGGGACATAGGCCGCTGACAAGAGCTTTCCAGGCGTCTCTGTCCTGGGCTAGTCTCTCCAACTGTCCCCAGGTGTGTCCAATCATCTTGGTGTCTTCTTCCAGGTCACGTCTCCAGGTCTTTCTTGGTCTGCCACTGTTTCTTTTGCCCTATGGATTCCAGGTGAGGGCCTGTCTTGTTATGCTGGATACAGGTTTCCTGAGTGTGTGGCCAATCCCTTTCCATTTTCTCTGGAGGATCTCTTCTTCAGCTTGCATTTGATTTGTCCGTTGCCATAGTACCTCATTTCTGTCGGTTTTAGGCCAGCATATTCCGAGGTTGTTTTGTTTTAGTTTTGCTTTAATTCTTTGTCCCATATAGTATTGTGCTAATCGTGGGTAGTGTAGCTCTATTCTGGCTCGATCTAAATGTTTGAGTCTTAAGGTGTTAATTTTTGTGTTGAAATCATGCAGTCCTAATCCTCCATTTAGTTTGCTCTGTATTAAATTGTTGTGGCAAATGTTCCTGATAGTGTGTTCTTCTGCATAGAATATTGTATAATGTCTCTCAAAAGATGTGTGTGGTCCTGGATGATTCTTCATGGGATGTTGTACCTTTGGTCTCTGTGAATTATATTTTACATGTACTGTTCTACGTTTCTGACTAATGTTTTTGTAAATATTTTATAGTCGCTGTTTACCAGCTTTCTATATGGGTCTATAATTTGTGACTTTTGATTTGATCGTGTCGGGTTTGGGTTTAAGTGTAATGTGGGTTTTGTTGAAATCTGTCGCATAGTATTCTCTTCCATGTAGGCCTATATCTTATAGTGCTGCGTTTAGTAGCTGTAGAATATCATTTTTAAAGGTTTGATAAAATTAGTTAGTCAGTCCGTCTGGTCCTGGTGCTTTGTTTAGTTTAGTTTTAGACCATCGAGTGTTTTCTTCCATGGTTAGAGGATTGCTGATTTTTTTGCCCTCTTCTTCTTTTAATTCCATTGTGAATTTTAGATATTTTTCTTGGGTTTCGTTTTTAGTGTCATCTTTATCAAACAGCTGTCGGTGGTAATCAGTGAAGCGTGTCTGTATTTATTTCTTTAGTCTGGGCGTGTATTTGCTGTAATATTATGTTATACTGTGAGCGTTTTTATATTGTCTATATTGTTTATTGTATGTATTTATTCTACTTCTAATAAGCGCTATTTTTTTGATGAGATTTATCAGTTTTGACGACGATTTCATAAATACTTATTTAAAAAATTCATTTTCTGTACTGCTTTTAAAATGTTAGATAGCTGGGCATATGTATATAAATATGTACATCTGTCTGACTGTTAAAAGGAAACAATTAGAAAACGCTCACTATGACAAATTCTTGACAACGATACAACTAAAATATACTCATATTTTTCAGGACCCAAGCTTGTATCCGTAGGGCCTCCAAACACAGGGAATCAGTCTGGTCACGCTCTACTGAATGTCACGGGTTGCTCGCCGGCTGATGAGTGTGAAGTGTGAGTACACATCCGATGCACGTGCACACCATTACAATCACATGCATAACAAAATGTTAGGGATATATTGGTGTAGCATAAATCTATCTGATGTTAACTTGTTAATTTTTTATGTCTGCAGGTTTGATGTTTTCAATATATCTTCATCAAACTCCACGTTAGCTGCAGGTGGGGATATAAAAATATATATTAATAAATGTATACATATATACATATATATATATATATATATATATATATATATATATATATATATATATATATATATATATATATATATATATATATATAATATAGGCTGTAATATATATATATATATATATATATATATATATATATATATATATATATATATATATACATATATATATATATATATATATATATATATATATATATATATATATATATATATATATATATATATATATATATATATATATATAAAAAGCAATGTATGTCTGTGTGTGTGTGTCTGTGTGTGTCTGTGTGTCCTTTATGCATTACTACACCTCTCATCACATCGCCGTGAAACTTTGGGAAGTTGTTGAAAATATTCCTGGGGAGGTTTCTGCGAAAAAAAAAATTCAAATTCGCAGGGGTGGCGCCCCGACAGGGCGCGATTTGTTTTTTTCTATATACGGTATATAAAAATAAAAGTTGATTTTGCTTTGGCATCGTTCATCCGATAGCCATGAGACTTTGGGGAGTTCATTATACCACTCTAGGGAAGGGTTCTGTAAAAAAATCATTTTTAATATCGCAAGGGCGGCGCCACGGGAGGGTCCGATTTTTCTCTATATACGGTATATAAAAATAATAAAAGTGAATTGCAGTGACACCATTCGTTCTATAGGCATGAAACTTTGGGGGTGTTGATTAGGACACTCTGGGGAAGGGTTCTGTAAAAAAAAATCATATTTAATTTCGCAAGGGCGGCGCCACAGTAGGGTGCGATTTTTCTCTATATACGTTATATAAAAAAAAGTGAATTGCGGTGACACCGTTCACACGATCGCCATGAAACTTTGGGAACATGTAGAGAATATTACTGGGGAGATTTCTGCGCTAAAAACATTTTCAAATTTGCAGGGGTGGCGCCCCGGCAGGGCGCGATTTGTTTTTTCTCTTTATGCGGTATATAAAAATAATAAAAGTGAATTGAGGTGACACCGTTCACACGATCGCCATGAAACTTTGGGGAGTTCATTATAAAACTCTAGGAAAGGGTTCTGTAAAAATCATTTTTAATTTTGCAAGGGCGGCGCCACGGCAGGGTGCGATTTTTCTCTATATACGGTATATAAAAATAAAAGTCGATTTTGGTATGACACCGTTATCCGATAGCCATGAGACTTTGAGGGAGATGATTAGAACAATTCAGGGAAGGTTTCTGTAAAAGAATAATTTTTAATTTCGCAAGGGCGGCGCCAGGGGAGGGTCCAATTTCTCTCTTTTTACGGTATATAAAAAAAATAAAAGTGAATTGCAGTGACACCGTTTATCCGATAGGCATGAAACTTTGGGGAGTTCGTTATAACCCTCTAGGAAAGGGTTATGTAAAAAAATAATTTTTAATTTCGCAAGGGCGGCGCCACGGGAGGGTGCGATTTTTCTCTATATACGGTATATAAAATTTCGTTTTCACACCGTTCATCCGTGTACCATGAAACTTTGGGGAGATGATTAGATCACTCAATGGTAGGGTTCTGCAAAAAATAGTTTTATATTGCAAGGGCGGCGCACCACCGGGGGGGGCAATTTTTTTTCTCTATACACGGTATATAAAAAATAAAACTCGGATGCGGTTCATCCGAGTGCCATGAAACTTTAGGGAGTAGATGTGAATACTCCCGAGAATATTTCTGCGAAAAAGAAAACCAAAGTTTCTTACGGGCGGCGCCATATAGGGTACAACTTTCGTCAATACACGGTTTGGCGCCCAGAGTTTTAGAGCGATTTAGTTGGAACTTGGCATCCGTTAATCGAGCGTCCTGCATAGCTAGTAAGGGGTACTACTATATTCAGCGGTAAAACTACAACAGGCTTCTAAAAATAACTTTGTAACGCGAGGAAATCCTTCTGTACAGTTTCGTCACCTTGAGAAAGATGAAAAAATAAATTTTGAATATGAGGAGCCTACTGTAGAGTTTCGTCACTTTGCGAATGATGCAATAAGCATCTATTGTTAGACAATTCAGTCAGAAATTGAGATCAAGCGTCTAATAATAGACCATTAGTAACGCTAGCATATTGCATCAGTAAAATCCTGTTCATTTGTGTCACTTAAGCGAATGACGAAATCTGCATCATTATTAACAGGATACTATTTGGCACGATGGCGCCTGTTAGTTTTAAGGAGTCAGGGGTCGAACGCCGCGCCAATGCAGTAGTGTAATCGGGGGGGGGGGGCCTTTAGAGCGCCCCTCTACGTCTCTGACACAGAGGCTGTCACCGAAGTGTGTTGCACCATATTATTTGGGTTAGTGATTAATGTACACTCAAGGTTTTCATGCGGTAGTGTAGGTAAACCCGTGTCCTGATATTTATGATCCAAGAACAGGCATTGTTTACATTTAAATAACTCATTTTTAGAAAAGAAGGTCACGCGTCTAAGAACATATAATTATAATTGATAACGCGTTGGTGAAATCCTAATACATTTCGTCAAACTTTCTTCTATCCCCGCGGCAACGCGCGGGGTCGGGTACGCAAGTATATATATATATATATATATATATATATATATATATATATATATATATATATATATATATATATATATATATATATATATATATATATATATATGTGTGTGTGTGTGTGTGTGTGTGTGTATGTGTGTGTGTGTATGTGTATATATATATATATATATATATATATATATATATATATATATATATATATATATATATATACATATATATATATATATATATCATATAACTGATGTGTATGTTTTTTAAGCATTACATTAGTATAGAAGAATTATTCTGCCAAGCTAACCCATCCTTTCATAGTTTTTGGCTAACCTTATAAAGTTCTTAATCAACTGCCTCTGTCACAATATATCATTATTCCTAGTCACATGTACTCTCATACCTTACATGTTAAACTTTACTCAATCGGGGTTTTAAAATAAAACAATAGAAAATTATTTCCTTCCAGATAGAAGAGTTCGCCTAGAGAAGGAAGAAATCTTGAAGTACATGTACTACGGTATGTTTCCTTTGTATAATTTTCTTCATAATAAATGGAGAGATCACCTTATGTATATGTCATCTGTAAGGCTAAAAGTTTGGTCAAGGTTGTTACCACTGTAAGACTGGTATTTGGGTCAAGGTTGATATCAAAGGTAGTAACCCCAATGTATTACCCTCATGGCAATTACCCCTCTCCATTACCACATGGTAATTACCTCTTGAAAATACATATAAAAAAAATTAATTTGAGAAAAACAACAACGCTAGACACTCCATCTAATGCCACACAGTGAAACTAACGAATATAAAAGCTTATTGCATCCAAAACACTTACTAAACTAACCCTATCCCTATCCCTAAGCCTAACCTTAGCCCTACCCCCCGAACCTTGCCCAAACCCTATTAGGTCAGTTGGGTCAATTAATAAAGTGGATGGGTTGGTCTCATATCTTTTACTCCCCAGAATGTGGATGGGCTGGTCTCATATCTCCCCAGAATGTGGATGGGCTGGTCTCATATCTTTTACTCCCCAGAATGTGGATGGGCTGGTCTCATATCTTTTACTCCCCAGAATGTGGATGGGCTGGTCTCATAATGCTGGCGTTACTGCTCTACTTCCCCTCTACGCCGCCCCAGCCCCCCAGTGTCACAGCAACTACAAGCAGGGACGTGTACTGGCCAGGCCTCTGGTCACTCAGAAAGTGAGTACCTAAACGATTCTGGTCACATAGAAAGTGAGTACCTAAACGATTCTGGTCACATAGAAAGTGAGTACCTAAACGATTCTGGTCACATAGAAAGTGAGTACCTAAACGATTCTGGTCACATAGAAAGTGAGTACCTAAACGATTCTGGTCACATAGAAAGTGAGTACCTAAACGATTCTGGTCACATAGAAAGTGAGTACCTAAACGATTCTGGTCACATAGAAAGTGAGTACCTAAACGATTCTGGTCACTCAGAAAGTGAGTACCTAAACGATTCTGGTCACATAGAAAGTGAGTACCTAAACGATTCTGGTCACATAGAAAGTAAGTACCTAAACGATTCTGGTCACATAGAAAGTGAGTACCTAAACGATTCTGGTCACATAGAAAGTGAGTACCTAAACGATTCTGGTCACATAGAAAGTGAGTACCTAAACGATTCTGGTTACATAGAAAGTGAGTACCTAAACGATTCTGGTCACATAGCAAGTGAGTACCTAAACGATTCTGGTTACATAGAAAGTGAGTACCTAAACGATTCTGGTTACATAGAAAGTGAGTACCTAAACGATTCTGGTTACATAGAAAGTGAGTACCTAAACGATTCTGGTCACATAGCAAGTGAGTACCTAAACGATTCTGGTTACATAGAAAGTGAGTACCTAAACGATTCTGGTTACATAGAAAGTGAGTACCTAAACGATTCTGGTCACATAGCAAGTGAGTACCTAAACGATTCTGGTTACATAGAAAGTGAGTACCTAAACGATTCTGGTCACATAGAAAGTGAGTGCCTAAACTATTCTCCTCCTCTCCTCTCGTTCCGTTGATGCCTGTCTGTGTATCTGGTACCTTCTTTTTTTTCTCAAATAACACATGAAAATTTTAAATATACGGAGCACTAATTACAAACACATGTATAAACAGTAATAAAAGTTTTTAATTCCTTAACAATTAATTTTTTATTGTTATGTGATTGACAACAGGTGTGGATGGAATCTTGCTAACAAGTTTTTACCACGTTTTCTTTAACTTGCTTTCTCTGTGTGTTTATTTATTTGTTTGTCTTTCCAATCAAATCTTGCGATCGAAATTTCTGGCACTTCCCAGTTAGCTAGCGCGCTGAAATTTTCAGGGAAGCTTTCTTTTGGATGACCATTGAATATTCAATTGTTATTATTACTAAATTGATCAATGGAAACATTTTATTGAGCATTTTAGACCGCTATATAATCTATATATATAATTCTCCTCTGCTAGCCATTACAAAAATAATAATCATTAAAAAAGTTTTTAAAAACCCACGTTTTCTGATTGAACTAAAAAGTAGAAAATAAATGCTATAGGCCCTACATCACAATAATGCAAGCGATCACTCTACTATAAGCGATCAAAAACGTGGGGCGCCGAAGTAAAAGTTATATTACTATTGATTAGATAATACTATTGACTTTTATTAGGGAGCTTGTAGAGAGTCAACAGTATTAGAAACTGTAAGAAAATCACGGCGCCCCACGTTTTTGCTCGCTTATAGTAGAGTGATCGCTTGCATTATTGTGATGTAGGGCCTATAGCATTTATTTTCTACTTTTTAGTTCAATCAGAAAACGTGGGTTTTTAAAAACTTTTTTAATGATTATTATTTTCTACTTTTTAGTCTTTGTCTGTTTGTTTGCATTAAAATCTTGCTATCGATTTTATCTTTTCACTTTTTTTGGGTAAACGAAGACAACTCGTAAAAAGACAACTCGTAAAAAGACAACTCGTAAAAAGACAACTCGTAAAAAACACGTTGTTTGAATACGTTACTGACTAGAACACATAGATTTGAACCCGTGTCGAGTGGGATAGCAATCGTGTGCCCAACCACTCGACCATATCGTCTCCCCCAAACTGGCCTACCTCCTGTAAGTTTAAACTCGGTTCAAGCTAAATTCTCTGCCCCTAAGCCTGTGGCGACATGTGATCGTTCGCTTCACTGCGCGCGAGGTACGCGTCGCTGGTTTTTTTTTGTAATGGCTAGCAGAGGAGAATTATATATATAGATTATATAGCGGTCTAAAATGCTCAATAAAATGTTTCCATTGATCAATTTAGTAATAATAACAATTGAATATTCAATGGTCATCCAAAAGAAAGCTTCCCTGAAAATTTCAGCGCGCTAGCTAACTGGGAAGTGCCAGAAATTTCGATCGCAAGATTGGATTGGAAAGACAAACAAATAAATAAATAAACACACAGAGAAAGCAAGTTAAAGAAAACGTGGTAAAAAACCAGCGACGCGTACCTCGCGCGCAGTGAAGCGAACGATCACATGTCGCCACAGGCTTAGGGGCAGAGAATTTAGCTTGAACCGAGTTTAAACTTACAGGAGGTAGGCCAGTTTGGGGGAGACGATATGGTCGAGTGGTTGGGCACACGATTGCTATCCCACTCGACACGGGTTCAAATCTATGTGTTCTAGTCAGTAACGTATTCAAACAACGTGTTTTTTACGAGTTGTCTTTTTACGAGTTGTCTTTTTACGAGTTGTCTTTTTACGAGTTGTCTTCGTTTACCCAAAAAAAGTGAAAAGATAAAATCGATAGCAAGATTTTAATGCAAACAAACAGACAAAGACTAAAAAGTAGAAAATAATAATCATTAAAAAAGTTTTTAAAAACCCACGTTTTCTGATTGAACTAAAAAGTAGAAAATAAATGCTATAGGCCCTACATCACAATAATGCAAGCGATCACTCTACTATAAGCGAGCAAAAACGTGGGGCGCCGTGATTTTCTTACAGTTTCTAATACTGTTGACTCTCTACAAGCTCCCTAATAAAAGTCAATAGTATTATCTAATCAATAGTAATATAACTTTTACTTCGGCGCCCCACGTTTTTGATCGCTTATAGTAGAGTGATCGCTTGCATTATTGTGATGTAGGGCCTATAGCATTTATTTTCTACTTTTTAGTTCAATCAGAAAACGTGGGTTTTTAAAAACTTTTTTAATGATTATTATTATAAACTGTTATTTAGTTGACAACGTCTGTTTGTGGGTTGTGGCAAATTTTCTAACTCTATTTTGAAAAACTTCTAATCCAGCGATTTCGTTAACAATATTCAGACACGTTCATCTTTGATGACAATGCAAGAATATTTAATTTTTCATTTAAAAAGATATTAAATTATTACTTAAAACGAATATAAATCACACTATTTTGAATAATAAAAGGGGAGATAACAACAGAATTAATCTCAAGCGATCACTCAATCAGTCTGTTGACAACACTGAACTGTTTGTTACGGACGGTTGATTTTCATGCGCGATAAGAAGGGGCAGATAACTGTCACGAGTTACTGATCGAGCTTTACATATACTACCAAAAGTTGTTGGTTATGTCGGGTAAAACAAGATACACAATTCAGCCTAACCTGACAAAGGGTTTTTTAAACCGAATTCCGGTAGATCAAACAAATATTCAGACTTTCCTCCAGGCATCTCTTCGCCCCCCCCCCCCCCCCCCCCATGAACGAAATGAAATTGTTATAATTTATATAAAAAATATATACTTTCAATAGTGTCCGCCCGCCCCCCCTCCGAAGAAAGTCTACCGCCCCCCCCCCCCCCCGAAAATTTCAAGTCTCCCCCCCCCCCCCCCAGAGAAAAAAGTCTGGAATAAACATTGCTCTTTCTCCTTGAATTTTACTTATGTCTTATGCTTAACTCTCCTTGTATTCTACTAATGTCGAACAAAACTCGCATATCTATTTATAGAAACACCCACTTCCTGTTGCTGACCTCTGTCTATGGTGTGTCTACTGGGGTCATGGCCTGCTGGGGTACCGTCCTGAATGTCATTCTGGAACCGTTTGGTGTCAGTGAGGTCAGTAGGGGCATGGGTTTTTTTTTCTACATTGCTATTACATCTCTTGATGGTAGCTGGAATAGGGCTGGTAAGTAGGTCAATAAACAGTTCTATGGCACATACAGGTTTTATTGAGCCGTAGAACTGGTTGGTGACCTACTTACCAGCCCTATTGGTAGGTCTATGATATATACGGATAGTAGGGAGCACGGCGTGGTAGGAAGGTAGAGCACTCTACTGCGACCTCGTAAGTCTTCTGTTCGGTTCACTTAGTTGGGACCAGAGGCGTAGCGAGGGGGGGGGGGCGGACCGCACCTGGTGACACCATTTAGGGGGGGGGTGACACCAAGGCAAAAAATAGCATAATATATACAGAAAAATGATAATTCCACTTAATTAAGAGATTAATTAGAGTGAGTTAAATAGTCTTTTAAGAGCGAAGTTGACAAATCCTGACAAGGGTGGAGAGGGGGGGGGGGGGGGGGGGGGTTGACACCATGACGTAAACCTGCTAATGATAGAGACAACACGCTAAATCAAGCTGTATTTATAACGTTCAGTAGTCAGGATTCAACTTCTCACCCATCTAATGGAATCTCAAAGAGAGTCAACATACTATAGTATGATAAAAAAAAAAATTTAATGGAATCCCACAAAGAAAGTTCAAATGATGCTGAATAAAAGGAGGGTGCAACAGTAACACTTATAGGCACTGGCCTATTTATGTGACTTCGACATATGGGAATATGAAATGACGTGCATTGCGTATAAACAGCATGTTATAAAAATAACAATTAATTATTTTAAAAAAAAATTTAAAAACAAATCTACCTTCTTGCCCGCAAGTAAAATTAAAAATTATACTTTTTAAAAATATATTTTAAAGGATCCTCAAGCGTAGGTTTATCATTAAAACAAAAAGGTTAGTTTGTTGAGGATGAATCTCATATATCGTGGTATTAAGTGCAAATGAATTATCTCCCATTTGAAAACTAGCCAAGGGATGTAACGTAGATTTGAATAGCTAAAATAACAAAAAAAGAACAAAGACACCTATAAAAAATATAAAACAGCGGCGTAAATGTAGACGCACAATTTATTCAATTAATCAAATATGTGGATTATCGAAATTTATAAAAATCATATTATTAAATTAATGACTTCTAAAAACAATATAAAATTTATAAGCTTAAACACATTAGCATTATTTTTAGACATGGTAATACAAGTACAATCCATTTCTTGGCAATGAGGGACATTATATAGCAAATAAAAATATTTTGGCTCCCCTAAAAGGGGGAAACCATTGCAGTGATAGGACGTAACTAAGTACTCCAATACAGGGGTCGGCAACCTGCGGCTCGCGAGCCGCATGCGGCTCCCTTGATATCAAGATGCGGCTCTCCAGCTCCTTAAACAAATACTAATAATCTTAATAAAAAAATAAAATATTTGAAATAAAAAAATGTTAGTGGCTCTTTAAAACCAGGAAATATTGAAAATTGTAACTTTTGGCTCTTCCGCTTCAAAAGGTTGCCGACCCCTGCTCCAATAGAATGGCGAGCGCTTATTGTCTATTATTTTATCGTTCATTACCGGTTGTTGCAGAACAATATTTTTATGAGTTTTGAAAATAAAATAAAACATTTATTAATATTTGTGCATAGAGCTGAAGAGCCGCATCTGGACATCAAAAGAGCCGCATGCGGCTCACGAGCCGCAGGTTGCCCCAAGAACACCACATAACAGCCAATCACCACTTAATTAATCATTCAAATTCTCAAAATTTTTATATAAACCTAAGCGGAGCTAGGCACTATGCCTACCTAATATATATAAATATAAATAAATATATAACTCTGAGGCAATATCCATATCCACACAGTGGCGAAACACGGGTATACGCGCAGCGCGGTAAACTGAAGGAATAAAATGATTCACTGTGGCGGAGCACGGGTATGCAGCTAATATATATATATATATATATATATATATATATATATATATATATATATATATATATATATATATATATATATATGTATATATATATATATATATATATATATATATATATATATATATATATATATATATATATATATATACATATATATATATATATACATATATATATATATATATATATATATATATATATATATACACACATATATATATATATATATATACACACACATATATATATATATACACACACATATATATATATATATATATATATATATATATATATATATATATATATATATATATATATATATAATTTTTTACGGTGGGGGGGGGGCTGACACCATTTAGTGCCGCACCGGGTGACACCCGACCTCGCTACGCCACTGGTTGAGACTCTGATTTCTTTGATTCCATGCAGCTCTGATACTTGTAGAGGCCATCATATGTTGTTCAGTAGATAGGTTCAGTAGATGGAAGTGGAACTTTTTCTACTTTGAATTTTTCAAAAGCATATAACTTGAGTACTATTTCAGATAGATAAATGAAATTTCACATGTAAGTAAAAAATCTAATTCTCTGCCCTCTATCAAATTTTTTGTAATTTCTGTTGACCGGAAGTAGTAATTTTCGCTGTATCCGATTTCTAAAAAAAAACGCACTTGAATTTATAAAGTACTAATAATATTCCGCACTATTATGCACATTTCATTTGGCGTTCACTTGGTATAAAATTCTTTTTTTCTACGAGATTTTATTCTATTTTAAAAAGTGTAGTATTTAAAATGGATTTAAAATAACGTCTATATCCCGAGTTGCCATCCCCTGTTGTTTCATATAAGAATATTCGAGAACGTTTAGGGGAGATCACTCCCGGTTTATTTGTTTTAACGTTCGAGGTGATGTAATCTCCATTACCTGTAATCATCTTCCTTATTGCCAGTTGTATTATCTTCCTTATGACATCTTCCCTTATCGTCGTTATTATCTTCCTTATGACATCTTCCCTTATCGTCGTTATTATCTTCCTTATGACATCTTCCCTTATCGTCATTATTATCTTCCTCGTGACATCTTCCATTATCTTCATTATTATCTTCCTCATGACATCTTCCCTTATCGTCATTATTATCTTCCTCGTGACATCTTCCATTATCGTCATTATTATCTTCCTCATGACATCTTCCCTTATCGTCATTATTATCTTCCTCATGACATCTTCCCTTATCGTCATTATTAATATTATCTTCCTCGTGACATCTTCCATTATCGTCATTATTATCTTCCTTATGACATCTTCCCTTATCGTCATTATTATCATCCTTGTGACATCTTCCCTTATCGTCATTATTATCTTCCCCAGGACAAGGCCGGGTGGCTTGGCTTCTACTCTACCCTAGCGTCCAGCACGATGTGCCTCTTGGTTGGCAGGTAACGTACACACTGTGTTGGCAGGTAACGTACACACTGTGTTGGCAGGTAACGTACACACTGTGTTGGCAGGTAACGTACACACTGTGTTGGCAGTTAACGTACACACTGTGTTGACAGGAATGTACACAATGTGTTGGCAGGTAACGTACACACTGTGTTGACAGGTAAAGTACACAATGTGTTGGCAGGTAACGTACACACTGTGTTGGCAGGTAACGTACACACTGTGTTGGCAGGTAACGTACACACTGTGTTGGCAGGTAACGTACACACTGTGTTGGCAGGTAACGTACACAATGTGTTGACAGGAATGTACACAATGTGTTGGCAGGTAACGTACACACTGTGTTGACAGGTAATGTACACAATGTGTTGGCAGGTAACGTACACAATGTGTTGGCAGGTAACGTACACACTGTGTTGGCAGGTAACGTACACACTGTGTTGGCAGGTAACGTACACACTGTGTTGGCAGGTAACGTACACACTGTGTTGACAGGTAATGTACACAATGTGTTGGCAGGTAACGTACACAATATGTTGGCAGGTAACGTACACAATGTGTTGGCAGGTAACGTACACAATGTGTTGACAGGTAACGTACACAATGTGTTGGCAGGTAACGTACACAATGTGTTGACAGGTAATGTACACAATGTGTTGGCAGGTAACGTACACAATGTGTTGACAGGTAATGTACACAATGTGTTGGCAGGTAACGTACACACTGTGTTGACAGGTAACGTACACAATATGTTGGCAGGTAACGTACACAATGTGTTGGCAGGTAACGTACACAATGTGTTGGCAGGTAACGTACACAATGTGTTGGCAGGTAACGTACACAATGTGTTGGCAGGTAACGTACACAATGTGTTGGCAGGTAACGTACACAATGTGTTGGCAGGTAACGTACACAATGTGTTGGCAGGTAACGTACACAATGTGTTGGCAGGTAACGTACACAATGTGTTGGCAGGTAACGTACACAATGTGTTGGCAGGTAACGTACACACTGTGTTGGCAGGTAACGTACACACTGTGTTGGCAGGTAACGTACACAATGTGTTGGCAGGTAACGTACACAATATGTTGGCAGGTAACGTACACAATGTGTTGGCAGGTAACGTACACAATGTGTTGGCAGGTAACGTACACAATGTGTTGGCAGGTAACGTACACAATGTGTTGGCAGGTAACGTACACAATGTGTTGGCAGGTAACGTACACAATGTGTTGGCAGGTAACGTACACAATGTGTTGGCAGGTAACGTACACAATGTGTTGGCAGGTAACGTACACAATGTGTTGGCAGGTAACGTACACAGTGTGTTGGCAGGTAACGTACACAGTGTGTTGGCAGGTAACGTACACAATGTGTTGGCAGGTAACGTACACAATGTGTTGGCAGGTAACGTACACAATGTGTTGGCAGGTAACGTACACAATGTGTTGGCAGGTAACGTACACAATGTGTTGGCAGGTAACGTACACAGTGTGTTGGCAGGTAACGTACACAGTGTGTTGGCAGGTAACGTACACAATGTGTTGGCAGGTAACGTACACAATGTGTTGGCAGGTAACGTACACAATGTGTTGGCAGGTAACGTACACAATGTGTTGGCAGGTAACGTACACAATGTGTTGGCAGGTAACGTACACAATGTGTTGGCAGGTAACGTACACAATGTGTTGGCAGGTAACGTACACAATGTGTTGGCAGGTAACGTACAAAATGTGTTGGAAGAGGTTGACTAATTCAGTTGACTTTAAATCCTGTGTTGTGTAACGGGAACAGTGGCGTAGCGAGGGCGGCTGTCACCCGGTGTGGCACTTAATGGTGTCACCCCCAGAGGCGCAGCGACCGGTCCCGGAGACAAACTTTCAATTTTCGATTTGCATCCCCCCCCCCTCAAACTTTCGATTTTCACTCCCCCTCCTAAAATTTTGCTCTATATATTATGCTATTTTTTGCCTTGGTGTCACCCTCCTAAATGGTGTCCCCCTCCTAAATGGTGTCACCCGGTGCGGTCCGCACCCCCCGCGCACCCCCCCCCCCCCCCGCCCCTCGCTACGCCTCTGAACGGGAAATGTAGATAGGGCAGATATTTTGATTTGATTCCACTGTGATACAAGCGACAGAGGGTCCAATTTCTACTATATCTATTTAAAAGCTAAGGGACATCGTGGTCGGATGGTATAGATTACGACTGCTTACCCGAACGTTTTGAGATCGGATCCCGGGCTCAAATTTGTAGGACGCTTCTGAAGCAACCCAGACCAACGCTATGTTAACTAAGGCGGCTGGGTAAAGTGCTGACCACACTATTCCCCTGTATGCTTAGGTGGCTGGGTAAAGTGCTAACTACACTATCCTCCTGTATGTCTAAGGTGGCTGGGTAAAGTGCTAACCACACTATCCCCCTGTATGTCTAAGGTGGCTGGGTAAAGTGCTAACCACACTATCCCCCTGTATGTCTAAGGTGGCTGGGTAAAGTGCTGACCACACTATCCCCTTGCATGCCGAGGTCACTTAAACAGTTGAACTCTGCCCTATATTTTAAAGTTATGAACAGAAAAAGGTGAGATGATGATAAATAGCTACCGGCTACCTCTCACAGCGTAATGTGGCTACTGGCTACTGTTTGGTTACCAAAGTATGGAGTATCACTTAGAGATGTTTGATGTAGCTGCTTAAAATATTCTCCAACACTCGATTACCTACATAGAGTGACACCTGAAAGCTGCCATAGTGTGACAGTTGAAAGCTGCCATAGTGTGACAGTTGAAAGCTGCCATAGTGTGACAGTTGAAAGCTGCCATAGTGATATGACACATGGACTGACACGTGACCACTGACAGAGTGACACGTGACACCGGCTAACACGTGACCTGTGTGTCCGCAGGTTCTCTGACCGGTTTGTCCACCACATGAAGGTCTACATCCTCGTGCTGTTTGTGTTGGGGGCGGGCTGCTTCACGCTGTTTCTCTTGATGTTTTATCAAGTGCTGGGGTTCACTGATGGTAGGTGTTGGGGGCGGGCTGCTTCACGCTGTTTCTCTTGATGTTTTATCAAGTGCTGGGGTTCACTGATGGTAGGTGTTGGGGGCGGGCTGCTTCACGCTGTTTCTCTTGATGTTTTATCAAATGCTGGAGTTTACTGATGGTATGTGCTGTGGTTCACTATGGTTCACTGATGGTAGGTGCTGGGGGCGGGCTGCTTCACGCTGTTTCTCTTGATGTTTTATCAAGTGCTGGGGTTCACTGATGGTAAGTGCTGTGGTTCACTGATGGTAGGTGCTAGGGTTCACTGATGGTAAGTGCTGGGGTTCACTGATGGTAGGTGCTAGGGTTCACTGATGGTAAGTCCTGTGGTTCACTGATGGAAGATGCAAGAGTACACTGATGGTAGGTGCTGGGGTTCACTGTAGGTGCGGGGGTTCACTGATGGTAGGTGCTGGGATTCATTTATAGGTACTAGGGTTCATTGATGATAGGTATTGGAGTTAACGTTAGGTGCTGGGGTTCACTGATTGTAGTTACCGGGTTTCCCGGATGATAGGTGATGGAGTCCACAGATAGAGGGTTCTGGAAGATTCACGTTGTTTCACTTGATGTTTTATGGTGTGCTGGGGTTCACTGACGGTAGATTTTATGGTTCAGTGATGTGGTTGTTGGTATGTTGAGATTAACGGATGGTACGTGTTGGGGTTTAATGATGGTTAGTGTTTGGGTTTGATATTGCTCACTGCAGGAGTTCAGAGATGGTAGATGATAAGGTTCACTGATGATATTCGAAGATTTTGCCAATATACTCTTGATGTATCAATCAAAACCATTTATTAGCTCAACTAAATTACCATCCTTCTTTTTGATTGGTCGAATGATTTCTTCATAGCCGTTCTATACAGCTCGGTGATTGGTGGACAGACTTTAATTTATGCAGCCATCCCGCTGATGTACGAGATGGGCTGCGAGCTGGCCTACCCCACCAGCGAGGGGGCGGCCAACGGATTTCTGACCATAGTCAACAACATTGTCGGTCTCCTATTCCTGGTCGTCTTTGCTTTCCCTGACGTTGGTAATCTATTTTTTAATCGTTCACTTACTAATTAGATAATTTAAATTTCAAGGGTTAAAGATTAATGCTGGTCGATCGCGTACCAGATTTTAAATTTTTTATTGATTATTAACTAACCAAAACAATTAGATCTAGCGTTTAAATACAACCTCTCTTTAAATTTAAATTTTTCACAGCATGGGTGCTATTTTTAATTGACTAGGGGAGGTAATTCTGTACACATTTTTATGTTTTCTATTTTAATTGTTGTTTCCCTTGGATCAACTCTCTAGGTACGCGGTGGACAAGTGGGGCGGCACTTGGATCTGTTGTTGTCTGTATTCCCATGATCCTATTGCTAAAAAACAACTTCAACAGACTGAAGGTTGACGAGGGTTTAAAACCTGAGGATATCCAGGTCACCGTCGAGAAAAACAATGTCAAGGCGTGTAACTGAGGACATATGTGTAGTGTGTGTGTATATAAAACGTGTTGGCCAGTGTGTACAAAGCATGGTGTGTAGTGTGATGTCACATGTGTAAAATACATTGTGTAATGTGTAGGCTACACACAAGATGAAACTAGAGAGAAAGTGTGTGATGAAGTGTACTACTGCCAAAATCTAGCCCACACAACTTGACGTGGTTAGAATAGAAGGGAAGAAGCCATTCAAGTTTTTTATTTAAAAGAAATGTGCGTGTGTGCCAGGACAATTTTCCAAGGTAAAGCCAAATCGTCAGTCACAACTGACCAAAGCTGTTCCATGGAATTATCAAAGGAAAAGAAAATAATATTTAAACTGTTGTTGGAATGAAGAGGAAACAAGCAAAAAATAATTAAACAACCTGGAAAAAAATTGAAAACAAACTAGATTTGTTCCTATCCCATTTTTTATTTAAAGCAGTTACTATCTTACTATATTAGTTTGCTTAATTTTAAAATAGATTTGTATTTTTAACTGTCACCACAATTGAATGTACATAAATTCATAAAATGAATAGAATTTGCTAAAAATGTCCAACTTGATGTCCAAGACCCTCAGTAGATACTTTTGGCTCTAGCTTAACATTGAAAGAAACTTATTTCATCTTAGAGTTAGAGGGTCACATCAAGTATCAAATTATAAAATGCTTACATCTTTTTTAAAAATGTATCAAATTTTCAAATGTTTTCATTTTTTTTTAAATGTATCATTTTCAAATGTTTACATTTTTAAAAATATATCAAATTTTCAAATGTTTACTTTTTTTTTTAAATGTATCAAATTTTCAAATGTTTACATCTTTTTTTTTTAAATATATCAAATTATCAAATGTTTACATCTTTTTTAAAATTTATCAAATTATCAACGACTTACAATTTATAAAAACAAGTCAAACATGTACATTAAAAAAGTACAAATTGGAATGCACTGAGCAGTTTGAGTATGTAATTAACTTACCTAATAACCAGACACCCATCCATACAGAAAATCATGTAGACCAAGCTGTACACAAAGTGCATACAAACCTTTCAAACTATCAACAATGCCAGTAAAACAATGAAAGACCAGTTATTTAAATGATTATAATATCAAAAAAAAGTTCTAGCGAGATTGTGTGGGTTGCTTTTTGTTGTTCAAAACAGTTAATCCATGCAGCAAAGATTATCACAGTTTTAGCAGGAATTAACTAATTCAAGCTTACCCTAAACTTAAAATAAGCAAAGCTCTCCTTCCAGACCTAATCATCTGCATGGCAGATGAAGTAGAGTTTATGTTACTTGAGGGATGGTGTGGTCATAACAATGTTAAGCCAGATTTTCTTTCCCAATGTGAGTCAGGTACTCACCAGAGCTGGGTGGACTCAGAGACATCCTGCAGTCGCAAGTCAAGACTGAGATCCAAACTCGTGACTTTCAGGCTAGCAGTCAAGCGCTCTACCATACAACCATGCTCTACCATACGACCAACCTACCCTTCCCTCTACAGCTGCTGCCTGCTTTCTACTGCAAGCATGACTGACAAATTGTTACTGGCTACGTACTAAAAACAGTGTAACACATGTCACTAAGGAATATGTCACAAAAGTCTTCTAAAAAAATTTTAACTTTTTAAAATACACTTGAGGACATGGTTAGTCCAGTAATTTCCTTTCTAAAAATTGCCTCATTCTTCCATCTAGACCTTCAAATAAAAAATTAAAATTTTTGCTTCACAGTGTGTTGCTAAAATATAAGAATTCTCAAAATAAATTTGCAGCTACAGTTTTAAAATTGCAAGTAAATATCAGAATTTTTAAAATAATAATAACATGATAATAACCAGACCAGTACCAATAGTCAAGACAGACAAATTTTATCACCATTTAGTACAGAAAGTATTTTTAACTGATAACAAGAATACACAAAAAATAAACAACTGTTAAGCTGCCATTTTGTTTTAGAACAACAGCAACAACAAATATAATAACATTTCTATTTTTAGCCTGTGTCAACACACAAAGACTAAAAATTCTTAATAAATATGTGGAAACAGGATTATCAATAAAAATTCATTAAGGAGAAAAGGGAAGATTTTTAAAATTTACAATTGCCTAATGAGGTTTTTATAATATTTTTCTTTTGTTTGATAAATACTTCAACACAGGCCAAAGTTTTAAATGTGGTTTAGCAATGATTATCAATAAATCAAGGAGGAAAGGGAAAAAAATTTAATTAAAATTGCCTGGGGTTTTATAATATCTTTCTGTTGGTTAATAAATACTTCAGCACAGGCCATAGATAAAAAAAGGTGGTTTAGCAATTAAAACAAGTAAAAATTGGACTTTAGGTGGGAATGCAGCAGTTCCTGCATGATTCAACTAAGCCTTGCATCACACAGCAGCATTAAGAATAAACTAGGCATGGCCTAAGCCTTGCATGGTACATCAGCTTCCTGCTCCACATAGAGTTGAGGCCTCACCCCCTCGTCCACCTCCAGCCTATTGAACCGTCCCTTCAGGGCTGCTATCATTGGTATACAGATTACAATGGATCCCAGGGCGGCCCAGTTCATCCACATGGTACCTGGGTTCAACAAACAAATCAGGGTTACAGTGGTGAGCCTAAGGCTTTAAGGATATCATACAGTAAGTAACAAAAAATAGGTATTGTTTTTTAAAAATAAATATCATAAAAATAACAATAAATAAATATTCTCTCTTTAAAGAGATCACGTAGTTAATAACTATAACTATAAAGTAAATATTCGCTTTGAATATATCATTGTTTTAACTTTTATGATTCTAATAATAAAAACAAAATTTTTAATGAGTGGGACTGAGAAACTCCCCAATGTGTGGGACTGAGAAGACCAACTTAAAATGTGTGGGACTGAAAAGACCAACTCAAAATGTGTGGGACTGAGAAGACCAACTTAAAATGTGTGGGACTGAAAAGACCAACTTAAAATGTGTGGGACTGAAAAGACCAACTTACCAATGTGTGGGACTGAGAAGACCAACTTAAAATGTGTGGAACTGAGAAGACCAACTTAAAATGTGTGGGACTGAAAAGACCAACTCAAAATGTGTGGGACTGAGAAGACCAACTTAAAATGTGTGGGACTGAAAAGACCAACTTAAAATGTGTGGGACTGAAAAGACCAACTTACCAATGTGTGGGACTGAGAAGACCAACTTAAAATGTGTGGAACTGAGAAGACCAACTTAAAATGTGTGGGACTGAAAAGACCAACTCAAAATGTGTGGGACTGAGAAGACCAACTTAAAATGTGTGGGACTGAAAAGACCAACTCAAAATGTGTGGGACTGAAAAGACAAACTTAAAATGTGTGGGACTGAGAAGACCAACGTTAAATGTGTGGGACTGAAAAGACCAACTCAAAATGTGTGGGACTGAAAAGACAAACTTAAAATGTGTGGGACTGAGAAGACCAACTTAAAATGTGTGGGACTGAAAAGACCAACTCAAAATGTGTGGGACTGAAAAGACAAACTTAAAATGTGTGGGACTGAGAAGACCAACTTAAAATGTGTGGGACTGAAAAGACCAACTCAAAATGTGTGGGACTGAGAAGACCAACTTAAAATGTGTGGGACTGAAAAGACCAACTTACCAATGTGTGGGACTGAGAAGACCAACTTAAAATGTGTGGAACTGAGAAGACCAACTTAAAATGTGTGGGACTGAGAAGACCAACTTACCAATGTGTGGGACTGAGAAGACCAACTTACCAATGTGTGGGACTGAGAAGACCAACTTACCAATGTGTGGGACTGAGAAGACCAACTTACCAATGTGTGGGACTGAGAAGACCAACTTAAAATGTGTGGGACTGAGAAGACCAACTTAAAATGTGTGGGACTGAGAAGACCAACTTGAAATGTGTGGGACTGAGAAGACCAACTCAAAATGTGTGGGACTGAGAAGACCAACTTAAAATGTGTGGGACTGAAAAGACCAACGTTAAATGTGTGGGACTGAGAAGACCAACTTAAAATGTGTGGGACTGAGAAGACCAACTTACCAATGTGTGGGACTGAGAAGACCAACTTGAAATGTGTGGGACTGAAAAGACCAACTTACCAATGTGTGGGACTGAGAAGACCAACTTAAAATGTGTGGGACTGAGAAGACCAACTTACCAATGTGTGGGACTGAGAAGACCAACTTGAAATGTGTGGGACTGAAAAGACCAACTTACCAATGTGTGGGACTGAAAAGACCAACTTACCAATGTGTGGGACTGAGAAGACCAACTTACCAATGTGTGGGACTGAGAAGACCAACTTACCAATGTGTGGGACTGAGAAGACCAACTTGAAATGTGTGGGACTGAAAAGACCAACTTACCAATGTGTGGGACTGCGAAGACGGCCAAAAAGAAAAGGCCGCCCATGTTGTTAAGGTAGGTCAAAAATCCGTTGGCAGCGCCCTCACTGGTGGGGTAGGCCAGCTCACACCCCAGCTCATAGATCATGGGCACAGCGGCGTTGATCAAACCATTGCCTCCGATCACAGTGGCATACAGCAGCACTGAAACACAGGGGAACAAGGCTTACAGTGGCATACAGCAGCACTGAAACACAGGGGAACAAGGCTTACAGTGGCATACAGCAGCACTGAAACACAGGGATAGAAGGCTGACAGGGATGTACACACAACACAAACTGATCAAACCATTGCCTCCAATCACAGTGGCATACAGCAGCACTGAAACACAGGGACACAAGGCTGACAGGGATGTACACACAACACAAACTGATCAAACCATTGCCTCCAATCACAGTGGCATACAGCAGCACTGAAACACAGGGACACAAGGCTGACGGGGATGTACACACAACACAAACACAGGTAAACTGTTTGTATTGGCTTAGACACAGTACATCATCCAAGTCTGTGTTAGATTAAATCTTTGATACAGATATGAAAAATAAAGCAGGTAATTAACAAGCAGACTTACTGTAAGAGTATGGGTAACTCACACACACACTTACCATCAGAGTATGGGATGACTTTGATCAGCACCAAAGTGAAAACAACAAAACAGCCAGCACCCAGGATATACATGACCAGGATAAACAGAGTCATCCTTCTGGCAAATATATCACCAAATCTGGGGAAGGAATGTGACATTATATCATCAAATCTTGGGAGGGAATATATTATATCACCAAATCTTGGGAGGGAATATATTATTATATCACTAAATTATGGAAGGGAATCAATTATATCACCACATCTGGGGAGGGAATGTGACATTGCAGCACCAAATTTGGGAGAGAGACAATTTTATGAGTAGGATAAAATCTGGGTAAGGAATATACATTTATAGCACCAGACCTGGGGAAGGAATATATCATTATTTCACTAATTATGGGGAAGTAATTTACCATCACTGTGAAGACGGGGCAACAATTCAGGTTAAATCTTTATTCAAGGGACACTAGCCACACATGCAATCTAACCCCTACCTGCCTATCAGCATAGATCCAGCAGCAGAGGCTAGTGTTGCGTAGAAGCCGATCCATCCAGCTTCTGACTGAAGAAAAAGAAACATTAGAGTGACATGATAGGAGGAGACACACTCACACTCTCTATCTTTTATATCAGGGGTCTCCAAACTACGGCCTGCGGGCCGGACGCGGCCCGATGCGGCCCGCGAGGTCCTCTCATCCGGCCCTCGGTGATCTTTTTGTCCACAGAATAAATGTTTGTTATTGGTGGCTGAGGTACTTTGTCCAGAAAATTCAAAACAATTTGAGAATGTAGCTATGTGTGCAAATACCATTGCTCGTCATGTTGCATACATTTGTGAAAACATTGTGATTCAAATAGCGAAAAATTCAAGCAAGTTTCACCATTTTTCAATTGCAATGGATGAGTTGCTGGACAGCTGTTCCACCTCTCAACCTATTGTGTTCATTAGAGGTGTGGATGAAGACATGAACGTAATACAAGAGTTGGCTTCCTTACATAGAACGTATGTTGCCGGAGAGGATATCTAACCATAGATAGTTCAGAGACATGTTGAAAGATACAAATACAGAATCGCAAGATTTACTATATTTCACAGCAGTAATATGGCTAATTTGTGAGAGATTTCTGAGCAGAGTATTTAAGTTGAGAAAGGAAATAGGTGACTTCTTGGAAAGTAGGCAAGCTACGACCATAAATGTCTGATGAAAAAAAGTTGTATAGAAATTGGCCTCTGATGCAGACATAACCAGTCATTTAAATTTTTTAATCTAAAACTACAATTTGAGAGCAACCTTGGACATCGAGTGTGTTGTCGGCTCCGGACAGTGTTTCTTTCAGACTATTTTCTTCGGGGGGGGCACTTGAAATTTTTATATATTTCTATATAAATTATATTTCGTTGGGGGGTAGACGTTCTTCGGGGGGGGGGGGGGGGGGGGGGCCGACACCACCCCGAAGAGATGCTTTGAAGAAACTTTGGCCCCCGAACTGATATTTGATAGTTAATGCGGCCCTCGGGCTGAAAAGTTTGGAGACCCCTGTTTTATATGGATAAAACTGCTTCCTGCTAGGAAATGCACTGACTCTCTTTTATCAATATAACTACTTTCACTAGCGGTCATCAGTCAGGAAGTCCACAAAAGGATGAAGCATTACTCACTCCCATAGTGTTGGGTTCTGGGCAGCAACACATCTAGGGGAGAAAACTCCAAAATCAGGAGTGGAGCCCCTTAGGATCACTAACTCTGATTTTCTTGTGGCAGCTATTTCAACACAGCTGATGCCTTGGGTACCTCAGCTGTGTTGAGAGACTCTGATACATGGGCAAACATCTGACTATTCTCTACTTGCTGCACCTTGATTTCCAAGACTCAATTATCCAATCAATGAGCCATTTTGTTTAGTTTTGTTTACTTTAGTAAAAATGTTCTACCACTATAACAAGCTGTCCCTACCTATAATGCTGAAACACAAGCCTACTTTCAATTTGTAATATTCTTCTGATTTAAGATTTTATTTATTTTAAAAATTTACTATTCAGCAGAATCGGAGTTTAAAGAAACATCCTTCTACCCACTATTTAGATCCTAAGGTAGTGAAAATGGAAAAGTAGCTGTACCTCACTGACGTTGATGGCGTTGAGATTGACATTTAGGACACTGGCCCAGCAGTTGATGACACCTAGTGAGATGCCATAGATGACAGATAGCAGCACAAAGTAGCCTTTGCTGAAATAGATTTTTATTGTCAGAACAAAGTAGCCTTTGCTGAAATAGATTTTATTTTACCAGAACAAAGTAGCTTTTACTGGAATAGGTTTTTATTGTGTGGGCACAAAGTAGCTTCTACTGAAATAGATTTTTATTGTCAGAACAAAGTAGCTTCTACTGAAATAGATTTTTATTGTGTTAATTTTCTGAAAGAATTTTATAGTGTGAGAATAAAGTACCCTTTACTGAAATAGATTATTATTGTGTGAGAATAAAGTAGCCTTTACTGAAATAGATTTTTATTGTGATAGTCTAAAATTTGTTAATAATCTTATCAAAGTATTGAGATTGGTAAACTCTCCAGTAACAAAAGTAAGTAACGAAAAAAAAAAAAAAGCTGATTGTAACAAGGGCTAGTCAGAAGAACATCAAACACTAATAACCTATGAACCAACCACTTAGAGAAAGTGTCAACTGACCTTTTGAGTGACCACATTCCAGTCCAGTATTTATCCCGTACAACTGTTGCGGATGGACAGGGTGGGTGAGGTGGTTTGGAAGGGAAGTAAATGAGGATTAAAATAAAAATCAGCGCCGACCATCCGCACTCTGAAAAATTGAAGTTTCGTCTTAAAGATTTTATACACAAACATTAAAATACTCATTAACTAAGCAGATTTTGTAATGAAGTATTTGTATGAAAATAATGAAAAACTCATTATTTTGACTCAGTTTTGGTTGAGTTATTTGTACATAGTGTATCAAACATAGAAGTATATAATACATTTTGAGATAAATATTACAGTGAGGTTAAATATTCAACAATAATTAACCAACCAGCACAATGATGTATGTATTATACATATGAAACCAGAAATTACCGTAATACATGTAGCGCATGATCTCCTTTCTTTCTTGACTAACTCTTGAAGCTGAAAACATATTATAGAAAATCTATTACAAGTACATAATAACGGTCAGCTGAAAACTATAAACTTGACGTTGTAAACTACCGTAAATGTACCTGTAGATTATTTTATTAAATAAATGTGACAGTACCTGTTACGTTGGGGAGTTCAAATAAGTACTCATTTTGATCAGATAAAAAGGCACTGAAACAAAACAAAGTTTATATAAACTTGTAAGCAGGAGATCAGTGAATTATGTCAGGGGGTTTTATGTTAAGAGGGGATGTTATGTCAGGAATTTATGTTACAGGGTTTATGTCAAGGGTATGTGCTAGCATTATATGTTAGCGAGTATGTGTTGAGTCAGTGGTTTTCTCAGTGTCATCCAACATTAGCTAAAACAGAAAGTATTTTCAGCAGTTTGTAGCTTTGTGGTGCCAGATGGTGAGCTGGGCAGTTTGTAATTACAATATGTAACTACCAAAGTGTATCAAAAACAATATGTAACTACCAAAGTGTATCAAAAACAATATGTAACTACCAAAGTGTATCAAAAACAATGTGTAACTACCAAAGTGTATCAAAAACAATATGTAACTACCAAAGTGTATCAAAAACAATATGTAACTACCAAAGTGTTTAAAAAATAATATGTAACTACCAAAATGTATCAAAAACAATATGTAACTACCAAAGTGTATAAAAAACAATATGTAACTACCAAAGTGTATCAAAAATAACATGTAACTACCAAAGTGTTTAAAAAATAATATGTAACTACCAAAGTGTATCAAAAACAATATGTAACTACCAAAGTGTATCAAAAACAATATGTAACTACCAAAGTGTTTAAAAAATAATATGTAACTACCAAAGTGTATCAAAAACAATATGTAACTACCAAAGTGTATCAAAAACAATATGTAACTACCAAAGTCTATCAAAAATAATATGTAACTACCAAAGTGTTTAAAAAATAATATGTAACAACCAAAGTGTATCAAAAACAATATGTAACTACCAAAGTGTATCAAAAACAATATGTAACTACCAAAGTGTATCAAAAACAATATGTAACTACCAAAGTGTTTAAAAAATAATATGTAACTACCAAAGTGTATCAAAAACAATATGTAACTACCAAAGTGTATCAAAAACAATATGTAACTACCAAAGTGTATCAAAAATAATATGTAACTACCAAAGTGTATCAAAAACAATATGTAACTACCAAAGTGTATCAAAAACAATATGTAACTACCAAAGTGTATAAAAAACAATATGTAACTACCAAAGTGTTTAAAAAATAATATGTAACTACCAAAGTGTATCAAAAACAATATGTAACTACCAAAGTTTATCAAAAATAATATGTAACTACCAAAGTGTATCAAAAACAATATGTAACTACCAAATTGTATCAAAAATAATATGTAACTACCAAAGTGTATCAAAAACAATATGTAACTACCAAAGTGTATCAAAAACAATATGTAACTACCAAAGTGTATCAAAAACAATATGTAACTACCAAAGTGTTTAAAAAATAATATGTAACTACCAAAGTGTATCAAAAACAATATGTAACTACCAAAGTGTATCAAAAATAATATGTAACTACCAAAGTGTATCAAAAACAATATGTAACTACCAAAGTGTATCAAAAACAATATGTAACTACCAAAGTGTTTAAAAAATAATATGTAACTACCAAAGTGTATCAAAAACAATATGTAACTACCAAAGTGTATCAAAAACAATATGTAACTACCAAAGTGTTTAAAAAATAATATGTAACTACCAAAGTGTATCAAAAATAATATGTAACTACCAAAGTGTATCAAAAATAATATGTAACTACCAAAGTGTATCAAAAACAATATGTAACTACCAAAGTGTTTCAAAAACAATATGTAACTACCAAAGTGTATCAAAAACAATATGTAACTACCAAAGTGTTTAAAAAATAATATGTAACTACCAAAGTATATTAAAAACAATATGTAACTACCAAAGTGTATCAAAAACAATATGTAACTACCAAAGTGTATCAAAAACAATATGTAACTACCAAAGTGTTTAAAAAATAATATGTAACTACCAAAGTGTATCAAAAACAATATGTAACTACCAAAGTGTATCAAAAACAATATGTAACTACCAAAGTGTTTAAAAAATAATATGTAACTACCAAAGTGTATCAAAAACAATATGTAACTACCAAAGAGTATCAAAAACAATATGTAACTACCAAAGTGTATCAAAAACAATAAGTAACTACCAAAGTGTATCAAAAACAATATGTAGCTATGAATATGTGTGGCCACTGTCCCTCTAAACTGCATGATCGCCTGAACGTGCAGTAGCTGTAAACTTGCCATGCAGTCATTTTGTAAAATATGTATACACTTGTGTAAGTACTTCAGAGTACCCCCTACACAAAATATATGTTACACAAGAGCTTTTATGGTATGGGGTGGCCTAGCGGTAGAGAGACTACTACTTGGTAAGTCTGGAGTTCGAATCCGGGTACAAATGAATAGACCGTCCCTGAGTCCACCCAACTCTGATGGGTACCTAACTCACGTTAGGGAAAGTAAAGGCAGCTGAGCATAGTGCTGACCACACTATCCCTTCATATGTCGAGGTCACAGAAACAGGTGAACTCTAATTCACTTGCCCTATCGACCATCAGATTTGAAAGGGAAACTTTACTTATCTACTAACAAGAGCTTTTTCTCCCCCAGGGGAATGTTGTGTAGCTATGAATATGTGTAGCAATAAACATGTAACTATATATTTACTGATATAGTAACATGTACAAAATTGGACTACACCAACAACCCATGGATAGAAACCTTAAAATAAAACACAAATTGATGTTGTTGAACTCACTTGGTTGTTGACAGGGGAGATGTTGTTGTCGTTCCATTTGCAGCTTTTGGTGGGCCAGTGGGGACTAATACTGGGCCTGGTAGATGAGAAGTAACAATCATTACATCATGTTGGGCATCATTTAAATTGAAAACTAAATATCCAGTTGAAAAAAAATAATTAGGTAGTAAATATCTAATATGTTTAAACTGGAATACTAAGTGACACTCCCTCATCATATAAATACAATAATCTCAACTAGATTAAAACAAATGGAACTGCATCAATAAAGTACAAATAATTACCCCTAGACTTACACATATGGTAAAGATTGTCATTTTATACAAGTTGCCCCACTTTTGACTTAAAGTATAGGCAAACCATACAATGCAATCCCAAAACACTTGCAAAATCTAATCTAATTAAAAAGGTTTTTTTTTAATCATCTTGGTAGTTATCCTTAGAACTTTCAATGTTTTATTGCTTTAAAGTATATGTATTTTTTTTTAAACTGTGTAATTGGAAACTTAATTAAAACCAATGGTATATTTTTACATTTCGCAAGTTGACTCTTATAATTATCCCCCTTGGAAATGCATCATCATAATATGAATCATCCCCGTTACCTAAAACTAACACAAACCCTTCAAACCTAATACTTATACTTAACCTGAAAGCAAATTATCCCCTTACCTAAAGTTAAAACCTACTATTCAATACAGATTATCTCACCCAATACTAATATAAATCTCAATATAACCTATAGTATAGTATACCCCTTACCTTAATCAAATATTAATGATAATTCATTACAAATTTTCTCCCCTTCTAATACAAAAACAAACCATGTAAAACAAATTTTCTCCCCTTACCTAAAACAAAAGGCAGCGCTGACCCAACAACACTGATGCACACACTTATAGACGTGGCGGTGACTCTTTCTTTAGGTGGGAACCACTGTGATGAGAGGGTGGGGATGGCACCCATACCGACAGGGCCAGCTACTCCGTTCAGGAACTGACCAATGTGAATCAGGCTGAAAGTTAAACAACATTCAGCACAATAGCAACAAGTACAGAAAAAGGTCACTTTATTAGTTTAACGTGTGCTGGCAATCAAAACATGTTAGTGAACTGGATTTAAAATAAATTATAAGTTTAAGTTCACAACTTTTAAACTTTTTTTTTAAATCTAAAAGAAAATAATTTTATGTTTTGTTACTCAACACTTTACTTTGTTGTGGTGTAACCACCCTAAATATGCCAACACTTACATGGTGCCTGCACATTGGTTCTAATGTAATCAGATTAATTACACCAACACTTACATGGTGCCAGCACCTGGTTCTGATGTAATCACCCTGCATGCACAACCCAGGACCACCAGAAACATACTGGGCAACACTGCCCACCTCAGGCCTGGAGATATAGGTAAGGGCAAGGTTCAAAGGTCAGGTCAAAAAGTAATAAAATCACAGGTCATGACAAAAGTGCTAAAATCACAGGTCATGACAAAAGTGGTAAAATCACAGGTCATGACAAAAGTGGTAAAATCACAGGTCATGACAAAAAAGGTTTAGATTAGAAATCATGACAAAGCAATTTAGTGCTAAGCATATGACTGCTAACCCAAAAGTTTTGAGTTTCCTAAAATTAAAAACGTCCATGAGTCCACCGAGCTCTGATGAGTACCTGACTCACGTTAGGGAAAGTAAAGGGGGCTGGTCATAGAGCTGACCGCACTAATTCTTCATATGCCGAGGTCACAGAAACAGGTGAACTCTACTTCACCAGCCCCACTGGACTGTCAAATTTGAAAAAGGTACTTGACTCCATTTTTACTCTTCCTTCATTTTGCTGCCGTAGTACCAAATTGTTTCCACCTCACCTTTGACCTGCAACAACCAAGGAAAGAGCAGCCCAAACATTATGTAGGCCACAGGTCCCCAGTTGTTGAGCCAGGCTATGGTGGAGTCTGTCCACCCAAACGCTTCTTCGCTAGACGTGGAGATAGGACCCCATGTGTTCCACACGGCGTTCTGGGAGAAGGCATACAGGCTGAACAAGACAAGGATGTACCAGCGTCGCTTGTAGACCTACAATAAAAAAAAATGTTCCAGCAAAACCTTTATATAGTGAAAACTACAAGCATTATTTGTCATATAGCAATACTTCGTAAGTGTAGGTTAAATTTGGATTATGTTTGAATATGGAAATCACTTGTATGCACTGTGATAAAAAGCTAGTCTTGGTACTGAGATTTTACAAAACTTAATACAGATGAAAGTAACTACAAAAAAAATAAAAGGTAAAATATTTTTCTATGGCTTAAAATGAGTATACCACCTCTTTTCCCCAAACATTTCAAGGTATTTCCAGGTAGAAATTCAGAAAAATTTCTGACTATGTTCTTCAAAAGTAAAACTATGATTTCATTAAAAAATGCAAACATAAGACTAACCTTTAATGGTTGGTTAGCATTAATACCTGAAAATACAAAAAGTAGGATCAGTAACAGTAAAACAGTTTTGTTTTTTAAAGTTTCTTTTTTAATATTGATTGTCTCTTGTTGATTTTACATGCTTTTACAACTAACCTTATGTTGCTTTTTATTTCAGGTAAAAAAAAATTTATTTCCTATAAAAACTTACTGTCCTCATTTACACTACTTGTTACAGGAGGTAGAGTCTGATAATTAAGGTCAGAGTTCACTGCACTAGACCCAGGGGACAACAATGGCCGTTTGATTTCTTGGTCCTCATCCATTTTGAATATCTGATGCTTTAAAAAAAATAGTAGAACATCATTAATTCTAATTACACATTATCGTAAGAACCAGGTGCCTTTTTCAATTTTGTATTTGTCCCAAAAACAAAATAGTGAACACTCCTTATAACCACACTTATATGTGGGTAACAAGGGTTACCCTAACTTATATGTGGGTAACAAGGAGTTAACCTACCTTATGTGTGGGTAACAAGGGGTTAACCTACCTTATATGTGGCAGTGGAAAATAAAGTTCTAACACATTCTACTGTAATGTCATTCTTGTTTAATCCACTAATATGTGACGGCTACTGCCTGTACTACTGCCTGTACTAGTGATCTAGTGTTCTGAAATAAAAATATATAATAACACTTTTGTTGATGAAAGTTGTATTGTATTTTAACTTATGTTGCCACTGTTAAATTGTCATATGAATATATCCTCAAAATCACCTCAAACTGTCAACATATATAACTTCTAAACTCAATATCAATCTGTCAAACGTATTTAACATCACTCTTCAGTAATTAATCAATATAATTATATTCTAAATTATTTTAGATTAAAGATAAGCTCTACTATTACATTTGTAATACAAACTGTTTGGCTTATCTAGTGTGTATGATAATAAAGGTCAGAGTTCACTGCATTTTATCCAGCTGTACATACTGTAATTTATATAATTGTAATTTCTTTTTAAATTCTTATAGGCTTAGACATGAAATAATCAAATGTTGTATATTTTCAAATAAGATTAATCAGAAGGGTGATTTAGATTTTTTTTTAAATGTATTCACACTTGGGTGTTGGTGTTGGTGCCTAGACTATTTCGGTAATGTAATATGTGGAGACACAGTTGTCAAGTACTTCTTGAAAAATAAAACTCATTTTATTGGCCCTATTTCATGTTAGAAATAATGTGGTTGAAACTTGGTGACATAATCTAACAGTATTCAGGTGTCTGGATTTAGTGGGATGTGAGGATGGGGGCAAAGTGTGTGTGTATGTGTGTGTGGGGGGGGGGGGGGGGGGGGGGTTAGTCTGACAATAAAACTTGATGTCATTTATGGAAATACCCAGACATGTAAAACAAGATGCCCTGTGTTTGATGTGAGATAAAATACTGGGTTATCTAAGGTTATTAAATCCCATGCACTGATGTGCTACAAAAAAACAGTTCACAAAGTAGCAGCGTGTCAGCTTTACTTTTTACCATACTTTTTGTGTAACACAGTATAATTTAGGTCAGGCTCATAGATAAACATAGGGAATGTTTGAACTTAAATTACCATGACTTAACTGGATTATAAAAAAAGATAAAAGATACATTTTTGAGACGATTATGATTATCATATAGGCCGAATAACTTTTACTTTACCATCTTCCATTCCCATCATACCAAATTTAAAAATGTAGAACACAACCTGCTCCTTCATTTAAGTTAAACTTGTCACTAACTGTTAATAAAACTCACATATTTTAATACGGCTGTTAGCCATGGGGGTCATCCATAAATGACGTCACACTCGTAGGGGGGAGGGGGGTCCGTAATTTTGTGACGATGTGTGATGAGGGGGAGGGGGGGGGTTCAAATGTTGCGACGTCACATTTTTGCATTATAAAAAAGCAATGTTAGAAAACGAATTTTAGACGTTATTTCGCGTTTTAGATAACTGTTTTAATAAATTGTAATAGTTTAGACAAGATTTTGGAAAAATATCGATGTTTAAAAAAAAATTCAACTGCAATTTTGAGGGGGGTTGTAGGTTGAGGTGTGACGTCATTTTAGGGGGGGTCTGGCTTTTTGTGACGACGTGTGACGGAGGGGAGGGGGGGGGAGGTAAAAATCGTCAAAAAAGCGTGACGTCATTTATGGATGACCCCATATTCAGGGGTTAGAGTTTAAGGTTGTGTTTCAGGGTGATGATAGGTGTAGGTGTGATGTATTTTTATCGGCATTTCGAACTAATAAATCACAAACAAGGAATTACATTAGGTCTGTAAAGTAAAATCTATGCAATGACTAAACCAAGCTGAATGTAATATCCTCAATGTAACTGAGGAAATTATCAAAGACTAGTAGTCAATATTTATTAAATTATTTTTATTCCCTGAACTGAAACTATTTTAGCTGGCTATTAGATCTAAATCTAGTTAGTAAGTAGCTACTACTAGAACTACTAGACTTCTACTCGTAACTAGACTAGTACTAGATCTAGATCTATAACTTATTATATAATTATATTAATAGGGGGCCTATGGCCTATAGGCCTAGGCCTAAAATTATTTATTTATTTATTTAGATAGCAGAGTTAGGACAGTAGATGAGTAGAGTAGACTTGAGTAGACAGATGAGTGACTCATTCACTCAATGATTGAGTCTTGGACTTTTAGACGTTTACTACTTTACTAGAATCTAGATCTAGACCTACTAGTACTTGTACTAGTACTAGCTAGATCTAGTCTCCTTTAACTAGTCTAGATCTAAATCTAGAATCTAGTCAACTACTAGATCTAGAATCTAGATTTACTGATTTAGATCTAGTCTCTAGATCTAGAATGATAATCTAGATATACTCACGGTGAGTCTCACCCTCACCTCTAGGCCCTAGTTTACTCAAACAAAAACAAAGTTAGATCTAAAAAAAATTTAAAAAATTATTAGGCATTAGGGCCCTATTTTATAATTTTAAAACTACAACTACTACAACAGTTAACAACACTTAGTCCTTACAACAGTCAGTAAGAGTAACAAACAATAATATTGTCAATATTATATGCTTTGTAGTTTGTACAGCAGATCTAGGCACTAGATAATCTATAGACTCGATCTTGCCTTACTTAAATTAAATACTTATATCTTGAATCTAGATTTTAGATCTAGATCTAGATCTAGACTAGACTGAAGAATGTGAAGATCTATCTTGAGAATTTTAGTGGTATACCAGCCAGCAGTTATAAAACAAAGGGAAATAATATCATGTGACTTATATTTTTAGGATTTTATGGCGAAGTGTCTAAATTTGAACGCGTCACGTGATATTTGTTTATGTTGAAAATGAGTAATAGCGGAGAATAAATTAGGCTAAAACTAAAATGGAGTTTTACCATCAACTGCTTCTCAATCTTATGTTTATTTTATGTTAATGTATACCACTCTGTTCAGATACCATACAGACCTATTCTAATGGAAATATCCATGTCTGTTTTTCCCGCGTTCGTCTCTAACATATCTCCCAGTGGTTATTTTCCGGTGCCTTCACTACAGATATTTTTCTCTGGTAAAGGGGGGGGGGTACTAATTAAAGTGCATGTCTAATTGTATATATTTTCCATGGATTATATAAGTTTTTCCGGACGAGGGACGTTCGACTTGCTCCCGGGAAAAGGAGGGCAGTGCCCTCCCCTCTCAAGCCCTACCTAAGTAGATCTAGTCTATATCGTGAGTGAATGGAAAAAAAAACGTTTTTAAAATGTAAAATTTCTGGACTTTTAAAATTCTATTTTTGTTTATGGCATTCAAAATTTGTAAATTGAAAAAAAAAATACGCGTGCGTCCTTCGCCAATAACTGTAACTGACCGCGATACTAGATCTACTTCTTTTTCGGGAGTCCGCCGTGGGAAATTACTCCCCCCCCCCCCCCCCACACGCACACACAACACATTTAAGTTACGTTACCGATCTACACACAGGCTCTTTTTTTGTTTGTTGATGTTATTTATTTATTTTACAAACTCGTTTTAATGTAAAAGATTTTTTTTCAAATAATGTCTTTTTACGCCATCTCTTTCTGTTGGGCGTTTGGCAGCCAATATAGAACCCCTACATTTGGTCTATCTCCACTATTTTTATATCAAATCGACTAAAGGGAGCAAAAGAAAACTCAACACGTTTTTAATACATTTATTATGATCTCCCAATTCTCGCCTGATGTGCCTAAATAATGTATATCTAGCACAAGAGCTAACTTCTCCCACTGTCCTAGGTGGTGAGCTTTTCTTCTGAATGTTCTTGAAGGTCACTTCTCCATTTTTTTTTTACTTAGACGACCTCTGGTATACACAATTCAGGGAAGTAAGAGTAATTATGACCACCCTAATTCAGGGGACGTAAGAATAATTGTCAAACACAGACCAGCCAACTCAGGGGAAGTAAGAGTTATTATCCAGCAGTGAGCAACCTAATTCAGGGGAAATAAAAGTTGTTTCCCTTCACTAACCAGCCAATGTATTGACAATTAAAAGTAAACACATGAACAAACCACCCACTTCCTTTACAGTTATAGGCAGGTGTATCAGACAAACCCACTTTCTTTACAGTTATAGGCAGGTGTATCAGACATATCCACTTTCTTTACAGTTATAGGCAGGTGTATCAGACATATCCACTTTCTTTACAGTTATAGGCAGGTGTATCAGACAAACCCACTTTCTTTACAGTTATAGGCAGGTGTATCAGACAAACCCACTTTCTTTACAGTTATAGGCAGGTGTATCAGACAAACCCACTTTCGTGTGCATTACTGACCAAAAGACTTGTATGAGCAGCCAGCATGACCATACATGCGTATAGAACGAAGTGTAAACATTCCTCTGTTGACGAAAACTTAACTGGCATTGATTGTATCACCACACGAAACCTCCATTTGAAGTCAGCAAATCATTCAATGAGGGGTCATCCATAAATGACGTCACGCTTTTTTGATGATTATTACCTCCACCCTACCCTACGTCACAAAAAGCCAGACCCCCCCCCCCCTAAAACGACGTCACACCTCTGCCTACAACCCCCCTCAAAATTGTAGTTGAATTTTTTTTTAAACATCGATCTTTTTTCAAAATTTTGTCTGAACTCTGTCAAAATAGAGTATTTTAATCAATTCCTATTACAATTTATTAAAACAGTTTTCTAAAACGCAAAATAACGTATAAAATTCGTTTTCTAACATTGCTTTTTATAATGCAAAAGTGTGACGTCGCACCATCTGAACCCCATCTCCCCCTCATCACACACCGTCACAAAATTACGGAACCCCTCCCCCCTACGAGTGTGACGTCATTTATGGACGACCCCTGAACAATATATTCTAACCTTCAAGAGGAAACCACTAGGTTATTTACTTATCAGAAATTAGCGTTTTAAAAATAATATGGTGGACGGGGATGAAAGGTATCAATGTTGCTTTGGTGGTGGTGGGGCATTGGCGGGTTTTTTTTTTTTTTTTAATCGAAGTCCCTGTGAATGGGAGCTGCATTATTGAGTCTCAACTAAGTAGAGTCTATATGGAAAACAAGTTAATTAAAAAGTCTAGTGACAATTTAAGCGCAATTTCCTTATGTTATCCATAAAAATTTTAAATCGTCATCACGTTCAATAGATGCGTCATCACTTTCCATGGCTGCGCCATCACGTTCAGTAGGCGCGCAATGGTTTTTAGTCATATAACTATATTGCTATATAGTACTATAGTGTATTATGTATAATGTAAGTTTAAAAAATTTTTTGTGACCGAACGAAAGGATATTTTTGAAAACTTTCTTCGGCAATATTGTTCTAAATTATGGCAGGAATCGATTGGTAAATGTTTCAAGTCACTAAGTGGTCTGGTTGCCGAGATATGGGCCAAAAACTGCATTTTTTCGAGGTTTTTTGGCTTTTCTGGGAAATCCAGGCAGGAATTCCGGAATTTTTTGGCCAACTATCATCCTCGTAACTTGCTTAACATAATTGCTTTTGGAACTAGTCCTCGATATTGCTTCGTTGAGGAGGAGATACGACTTAAAGCTGCGAACACACATCCATCCCTCCAGAAATGACGGGTTAATAAACGCAATTCTCCAGAATGGAAATTGCGCTAAAAATAAGTCAACTTTAAATAAACCGGTAGTGATCTCCCCTAAACTTTCTCGAATATTCTTATATAAAACAACAGGGGATGGTAACTGGGGATATAGTTATGATTTTTAATCCATTTTAAATACTTAAACTTTTAAAAATAGAATAGAATCTCATAAAAAAAACATTGCGCACCAAGCAAACGCCGAATAAAAACGCGTATAATAGTGCGCAATATTATTAGTACTTTAAAAATTTACATTAGTTTTTTGAGAAATCGGAAGTAGCGTAAATTACTACTTCCAGTCAACGGAAATTACTCAAAATTTAACAGAAGGTAGAGAATTAGATCTTTTACTTACATGTGAAATTTCATTTATCTATCTGAAATAGTACTCAAGTTATAGGCTTTTAAAAAATTCAAAGTAGGAAAAGTACCACTTCCGGTTATCGGAAATCGCTCAAAAGTTGATACGGATCTACGATTTTGATAAAATACTTATATATGAAATTTCATCAACCTAGCTGTAACGGTACTCAAGTTATCGTGTTTACACACGGACAGACACACACACACACAGACACACACACACACAGACATACGGACAAGATTGCAAAATTATGTTTTTCCGTATCAGTGAGGTGTAAAACGTCGAGATTTGTAAAAATCTCGATTTTTTTTTTTGCACGATTACAATACTTTCTCTATACTACGTATATACGAGAAAGTAAAAAGATATTGGTCGCAGTAAGAAGCGAAATATTTCTGAAGTTAAATAGTATTTTTAACTTGTAAAATAAAAATAAAAAGATAACTATTGAAAATAGAGGGGGGGGGCATGAATGCTAATTCAAATTGTTGACATTATTTTCAACTAAAAATTGTTTTGGCTACTTAAAAAAAGGTTGGATAATAAAAATGAAGTAACAAAAGCTGGTATATGTGAAATTTATTCACTACATTCGCATCACACTAGTCTGTTCTTTCTGTTCTATCAAATCCTTTAGTAAATAGTGAAGTCTGCTCCAAAACTTGGTTATCTCCTCTTGGTCGTTGCCGTGGATTACCGGCCATTCTAAGTAACAAACTGTTTTGTACAAGGCCAACATGTCAATGGGCTCCAACTGGATGACTTTTAAAGATGGCAGATTGTGCGTGATGATGTGCCTAAAGAAATAAACATTTACATATATTAGTATTAAAATATTTTACTTTAAACTTAAACGAAGAGGCAATACAAAATAAAACGTTATGTGCGGTTATTCTTAACTGATAATAACTGATATCAATATAAGGGAACCAGCGGTCGTCCGTCAGCGACGCCTCGCTTTTTTTTTTTCAGTGTAGGCCTATACCCCATTCGACCAGCCCCTTGAAGGGGATATAACCAAGCTTGAATGTTTCGCTAAAAAAATATTATTTGAGTTATTTCCCTTTCTGGCCAATTCGCTATTCTGTACCAAAACTATTATAACAATCCATATCACTATAAAATTCATTTTATCAATTTCATTACACACAAAAAGGATTTATAAAGTGAAAATAAAAACTGCAAAAATTAAAAAAAGAGTTTTTAAAAAATGTTAAAAAGTCTTGTATTTTATTGAATACGTAAAACGTCCCACTTTTTAACTTCCCTTACCTTCGTCAGAAATATTTTCACATAGAATAGATCTAAGCATAATCACCCACCCCCTCCCACTCCTATAAGTGTGACGTCGTTTATGCATGATCAGTTTGGTTCAAACCAGAGTTTCTTCCAGGAATCTCTCGCTCCCCCCCCCCCCCCCCCCGAAGAAAGTCTACCCCCCCCCCCCACCCCCCCCCCCCACCGAACGAGAGATAGAATTTATATAGTAAACATACACTTTTATTAGTGTAGTGTCCGCACCCCCCCCCCCCTCCGAAAATATCAAATACCTCCCCCCGGAGGAAAAAGTCTGGAAGAAACACTGGTTCAAACTAAAAGTGATCTAGCCTTTTAGACATAGGCCTATTTAAATATTTTTTTGGGGCAGGTCGAGTTAGGTTTTTAGGCTAATTCCGTATGTAATGTTTGTATGAATAACTGTGGGTTAATCCCGAAATTAACCAATAGTTATTTTAAATAAGTATTACAAATTATCAACATACCAAATTCTAATAAATGTCTTAATAATTACAAATAGCAAAGATATATAAATGATAAATATGTATCATCCGACACATGGCCTCGAGACATAGGCTACTTTACAGTAAAGGGTCAGAACTACATATTTTGGCTGGTTTCGGTTTTGTTTTACTCCCCTTGAATCAGGGTCACGTTGTCCTTATAATTTAAATTTAGTAAATCAAAAACTATCTTGACCTACTCTTTCACCTACGGGGTCGTCCATAACAGAGGCGGAGCGAGGGGGGGGGGGGGGGCGGGCGGACCGCACCGGGTGACACCATTTAGAGGGGTGACACCAAGGCAAAAAATAGTATAATATATATAGAGAGAAAATTTTGAGGGGGGGGGTGCAAATCGAAAGTTCGAGGGGGGGTGCAAATCAAAAGTTTGAGGGGGGTGCAAATCGAAAATTGAAAGTTTGTACCCGGGAAGAGTCGCTACGCCTCAGGGGGGGGGGGGGGGTGACACCATTAAGTGCCGCACCGGGTGACACCCGACCTCGATACGCCACTGGTCCATAACATCACGCACTTCAGCGTGAACAGAACAGAGTTCAAGCTTCAGTTATGATGAGCTAAGTTAGATGGGGTGGGGTGTGAAGAGAAATGAGTGGCGGACATACATTTAGTGCTATCAAAAAATTATCAAAAATTTAAAAAAAAAGTGTAATCATTTTCCTAACAGTCAAGATGATTAAATAGATGAGGCGCGCACTGACTGAACTTAATAATATTTGGTGGTCTAACTTTATGTGACGGAGTGTGAATATACAGAGAGGTAACAAAGGCTAAATCATTGTGATGTTGTTCATTGTGATGTTGTTCATTGTGATGTTGTTCATTGTGATGTTGTTCATTGTGATGTTGTTCATTGTGATGTTGTTCATTGTGATGTTGTTCATTGTGATGTTGTTCATTGTGATTTTGTTCATTGTTATGTTGTTCATTGTGATTTTGTTCATTGTGATGTTGTTCATAGTGATGTGGTTCAGTGTGATGTTCACTGTGATGTTGTTCGTTGTGATGTTGTTCATTGTGATGTTGTTCATAGTGATGTTGTACATTGTGATGTTGTTCATTGTGATGTTGTTCATTATGAAGTTGTTATTGTGATGTTGATCATTGTGATGTTGTTCATTGTGAAGTTGTTATTGTGATGTTGATCATTGTGATGTTGTTCATTGTGAAGTTGTTCACTGTGATGTTGTTCATTGTGATGTTGTTCATTGTGCTATTGTTCATTGTGATGTTGTTCATTGTGATGTTGTTCATTGTGCTATTGTTCACTGTGATGTTGTTCATTGTGATGTTGTTCATTGTGCTATTGTTCATTGTGATGTTGTTCATTGTGATGTTGTTCATTGTGCTATTGTTCACTGTGATGTTGTTCATTGTGATGTTGTTCATTGTGCTATTGTTCACTGTGATGTTGTTCATTGTGATGTTGTTCATTGTGCTATTGTTCATTGTGATGTTGTTCATTGTGATGTTGTTCATTGTGCTATTGTTCACTGTGATGTTGTTCATTGTGATGTTGTTCATTGTGCTATTGTTCATTGTGATGTTGTTCATTGGCTCTTCTCGTGTGTGTTCTCTATCTCGGCTCTAACATCATGCAGCTAACCATGGACCGGGTAGGAAAACTTGTTTTTCTCGTGTGTTGCTTACAGATATCTTCTCCCACCCCCTTCCCCCACTCACACACAGACACACACACTCCAAACGAAATAAAATTTATATAAAAATATATACTTTTACTAGTCCGCCCCACCCCCTCCCCACGGAGAGAAAAAAGTCTGGAAAGAAACACTGCATACAACCGACTTGAGAGTTAGCAAATATTTGTGTCAATGGTTCTGCTTTTCGCATATGCCGGGTAAAAAAGGTGTTTGCGTCAACGGTTTTGTTTTTCACCAGGCGAGGTTTTGGGTCAGTAATTCAAGAGAAGGGGAGATGATTTATTATCCTCAAACAACTGTGAGAGGTTACAACTAGAGATCGATTGCTTGTTGACCTTCGATCTAGAACAGCAGAGCGCTTGTAAAACAACCCATTTACAGCAACAGGTCACGTAAAACAACACATTTACAACAACAGGACACAAGTAAGCTAACCCATTTACAGCAACAGGTCACAAGTAAGCTAACCCATTTACAGCAACAGGTCACAAGTAAGCTAACCCATTTACAGCAACAGGTTGCGTGTTAGTCAACCCATTTACAGCAACAGGTCACATGTAAGCCGAACTAAGGTATCCACGTTGGCCTGACAACTTGTAGCATAGACGGAGTATGTTGGGGACGTTATCAGATGATTAAAACGTGTTATTTTGATACCATCATACGCACCCACACCCCATTCTAATTTTTCATTTCTTCTACTTATATACGTTCACATAAAGTATGTGTTCTATTCTGCTATAAAGTATGTGATTTGTGTTCTATCCTGCTATAAAGTATGTGATTTGTGTTCTATCCTGCTATAAAGTATATGATTTGTGTTATATCCTGCCATAAAGTATATGATTTGTGTTCTATCCTGCCATAAAGTATATGATTTGTGTTCTATCCTGCCATAAAGTATATGATTTGTGTTCTATCCTGCCATAAAGTATATGATTTGTGTTCTATCCTGCCATAAAGTATATGATTTGTGTTCTATCCTGCTATAAAGTATGCGATTTGTGTTCAATCCTGCTATAAAGTATGCGATTTGTGTTCAATCCTGCTATAAAGTATGTGATTTGTGTTCTATCCTGCTGTAAGGTATGTGATTTGTGTTCTATCCTGCTGTAAGGTATGTGATTTGTGTTCTATCCTGCTGTAAGGTATGTGATTTGTGTTCTATCCTGCTGTAAGGTATGTGATTTGTGTTCTATCCTGCTATAAAGTATGTGAATTATGTTCTGCTCTGATAATATAATGCTAAACGACAGAGCGCATCGAACCGCACACACCGAAAAGTTTTCGTTAGCACACAATTTGCGTTTGGGTAAGTTCGAAGTTCAAGGTTAAAACCCTGCCATGCTCGACATGACACGACACAACAGGATATGGCATGCTTTAAGCAGCTTAAAATGTGTTTGAACTGTACATGTTAAAATGGAGTTACGTTGCTTAATCCGACGCCCCCTCTTTGTATTTCCCCCTCCCACGCATCACAAATTTCCGCATCCTATTCCAGGTAGCACCGAGCAGTGGCGTAGCCAGGATCGTCTCAAGGGGGTGGGGGGTTCCAATTTTTTTTTCAAAAACTTTCGATTTGCACCCCCCCCCCCCAACCTCAGACTTTCGATTTGCACCCCCCCCCCATCAAACTTTCGAGTTGCACCCCCCTCATACTTTATGTATATATATATATATATATATATATATATATATATACTAGCCGTCCCGGCCAGGCCCTGCTCTGGCTTCTGTGAAAAACCTTCCTGTTAAAGACCATTACCTGTGTGTTTAGTAATCATCATAAACCCGGCATTGCCCACCCAAACCACAACCAACCAAAACCAAAACAACAAAACGCAAACATAACGCTAACACAATTACAAATACAAACGAAAACAAAAACCTAACAACAAACCCATCCACAACCACAAACACCAATACAAACACAAAGAAAAAACAAACAAAAAAGCAAACGAAAACAAAAACCTAACAACAAACCCAACCACAAACACCAATACCAACAAAAAAAAAAAAAAACAACGAAAAAGCAAACGAAAACAAACCAAATTCAAACGCAAAACCAACCAAAAACACAAATACAAACCCAAAAAAAAAAAAAACACAAACAAAAACGAAAAAAGAAAGAACAAAAACGAACCAAATCAAAACGCAACCACTAACGCAAACCCACCTAAACACAAAGAAAACACTAACGCGAACATAAACGCCCGGGGCGGAATCACCTGTTTTAGCTTAATGAACGACTATAGTACCCCAACTTATTCATAGTCTTTTGCACTCACTTAAACGAACGCGCCTGTTTCAATTTAATGAACAATTTTAATACTCCAAGCTTATCCGTAAAATACCTACAACATTTGCACTTGATCAATCCCCGCTAATTATGTAATTATTTTTTTTTCCCAACACCAAAACAAAGTAATTAAAAAGTAAATTATTTTCGACTAATGCAATGATTTTATAAAGGGAAGTAATTGTGTTTTTCCTAATTTATCGAAGGGAAGTAAGTGCTATAGGACTAAATAAAGACATAATTAGAATTTTTGTAAAAGATGATATTTTTTTTAAAACTTGTGTTTAATGAACATGCCGACAATTATTACTGTAATTTGAAAAATGAAAATTATTTCCCAACACTTTCAATGGTAATTTTTTAGCTCATAAATTTAGACAAATGCGCACGATAATTTTCTAACACTTAAATTCGTACAATTCCAACGATATACAAATGCATTACATACAGAACTGAGCTTTATATATTAGATATATATATATATATATATATATATATATATATATATATATATATATATATATATATATATAAACCGAGGGGTCTATGGGGGGTTATGACCCCCCTAACCCCACCTGCCTACGCCACTGGCACCGAGTTACACAGGTAAAAATGTTTTTTGCGCAACAACCGTTTGAGATCAGTGATGCATACATATGTGAAGACCTGTGGCAATGACTAAATCCATCCCTTGTATGAATAAAATAGCTTAAGGTACGGGCGACTCTCGTCTTTAATTGTGTGCAGTGTTTCTTTCTGACATTTTTTTTCTCTCGGAAGGGGGGGGGGCATTACGTTTTCCGAGGTGGTGGCCTCTGGTTGAAGCATATATTTGTTGTATTAATTATATTTCGTTCAATGGGGGGGGGGGGGGGGGTGTCGGACATGCTTTTGGTAGGGAATGCATCCCCCCCCCCCCCACACACACACCTAAGTAATGTTTGAAAGAAACTCTAGTTCTAAATTTCTTGGTACACATTTCTTGAATTGATAAAAAGCAGGCAATTGTTGTTTTTTTTATATTTTTTTTTAAAGTTTCCTGCAACCCTTTCTCTAGAAATGTTCAATAAAATAGATTGAGGGGGGGGGGGGATCAATGCTAATACATCAATGTGATTTTACAAATACTTCCCAATTAATTTAATGTTTGAGTGATGGCTAAACCACCACTCCACCCCTCTTCCAATAAAACTCCCACCGGGGCGGAGATTCGACTTACGTCTGACAGAGCATAAGCTCCGACTTGCACCTGATGACCCCCACCCCCTTTCACCCCCACCCCCGCCCCACCCCCACTCCCATGAAACTCCCACTGAGGGGAGGATTTTTTACTTACGATTGACAGAGCATGAGCTCCGACTTGCACCAGATGACCCCCGCCCCCCCCCCCATGAAACTCCCACCGAGGGGAGTATTTTTTACTTACGACTGACAGAGCATAAGCTCCGACTTGCACCAGCTGCTGTGGCTGAAGCCGGAGCTTAACACGACCAGAATCCTGCGGCTGTTGTTCATGGCTTCAATGATGTTGTCGATGATGAAGTAGCCTGCCTTGAAGTCGCGCTGATGAATACATGCTTTCAGTTTCCACTTTTTCTGGTTGAAGCAAATACAAATCAGCGTTAGTAGCAACAGTAGCACCAAACATGAACAAGCGTTTAAATTCTTAATACCATGAAAGTCTTTATTATATTTACTAACACTATAAAACTATAATTAGTCTAATTTTATTATAAAAGATTGGTGTATTTTGGCTTGCAATTTACGGCTTTTAATTTAATTTATGGACAACCCCATACTTTTCACTACTTCGAACAGTCAAACTCCGTTTTTATTTAGGCCCTATCAGTTTGTATTTATGACAGTTGAGCGGTGTTTAGCTACAGAGTTTTCTATTGGCTGTACTCACCTCAACGACAGGAAGCAGAACGTTTTCTACCCAATCACAGTCGTCGTTGCAATACACAATAAAGATATCGTACTCGTAGCAGCCATCCTCTTCTTCGTGCCGTATCCCGCCCCTGGCCACCTTCCGTTCATACATCATCAGCCGGATGGTCCAACGGTACCGGTAAAAAATGGCGAACACCACAAAGACGACTATTAAAATGGAAACGCAGACCACAAACAGAATGTACGTTGTGCGGCTAAATAGACAAGCTTGTACGCTCACTTTATATTCCTGGACGAGGACATTCGGCTGATCAGAGCATTCGTAGAGCGAGGGGTTTTTGAATTCGGTGCCACCCGGGTTTTTTAGCCATGTTTGAAACCAGAGAAGGTCACAGTTACAAAGAAAGTCGTTTTTGCTGAAATCGACGAATCTGAGTTGCTTTGTCATGTTCACGGAGAAAGATGCCTCCCTAATGCAAGTCAATTCGTTGTGGTCGATGTACAAGGTCTCTAAATGTTTCAGTTTATCAAAGGCTTTGTCTGGGATTTCTTTGATATTGTTGCTGTATAAAAATAGGCTTTTTAAATTAGCGAGCTGGGAGAAAGATTCCACAGGGATGGACGTCATGCCGCAGTAGCTGAGGTACAGGTAGCGAAGGGAGGGCAGGTGTTTGAACATCTCTACCAGGTTGTTGTCCGTGGAGTTCTCTAGCCTGTTGTGGTCCAGGGTCATGTCCAGGAGGCTCGTGGCGCCCTCGAAGAGTTTCATGCTGACGTCAGGACTGCCGAACTCGATGTTGTTCCTGGACAGATACAGCGTCGTAAGTTTAGGTAGACCGAACGCCGAGTCCCCGATTCGTGTGACGTTGGACTGCTGTTTGGTGAAGGAGATTCTTCTCACCGTGGTCAGTGCAGCGAAGGCGTGGTTTGGGATCTCTGTGATGTTGTTCTGGTCAAGCACCAGTACCGACAACTCTGGAAGACAAAGCTGGTCAGCTGGCGGAAGTGACGAAATACTATTGGTGTCGATGTACAGTTCTCCGAGAATTGGAAAATACGACTGCTTTTTTGCTTCTTCTTCTATAGTTTCGGTATTTAGATTATCTTTCTTCGGGTGATTTGTTGAAACCTTGCACGTGTTTAGAAAAGTTGTAATTTGGTTGTTTTTTAAGTCGATAACCTTGACCTTTTTTAAAAACCCCGGCACAATTGTTTTAATGCTGGAGTTGGTTAAGCTGAGGTACTGTAGGCTAGCTAACCCGGAGAAATCACTGAGGTTAACGTGGTCTAAACGGTTAAAGTCCATATACAACTGACTCAATTTTAGAGCACTGCGGTTAAAAAAATCTCGCGGGATCTCGCGTAAGCCCAGCTGGATGAGATCCAGACGCAGGGAAGGAACGTAATCGATAACGCGAGTAATCTGAGAGTAGGTGAGTACGTTTTTGTTCAAGATTAGGTACTGGAGGGACGTAAGTTTCTCAAAAGTGCGCGCAGACACGGTTTTTAAATTGTTCATTGAGAAGTCAATGACGATAAAGTTGGACACGTTGGAGAAGTAGCTCTCCTGTAAGCTCTGCACCTCGTTGTTGGTGAATATCAAGCAGTTGATGTTTGGTGGGAGCTTCGGGGCGTAGGTCATGTTGGGGAACCCGGGGGTGCCGCTGCAGTCGGCCAGATTTCCTGCACACCGACAGACCGAATCCCCGTGCTGGTAGCAGACGGAATATTTCCCGTGTACTTTGCAAAGTCTTTGAATCAAAGTCTTTGACGTTTCGTCGTAATTACGCATTGCCTTGCTGTCAAGGGTATCGTGACCTGTATGCTGTGTTAAAATATCAGTGATCGATAAATCACGCATCGATCCGTTTGGGCTAGTTTGTGGTGTCTGCTTATCTGTTGCTATGTACTCATTAACTTTACCTTTTTTACTACCGAAGTTTTGGTGGTAGTTTCCGTCTTGTTGAGTAATATCCTGAACCACATCTTCATTATTTGACGTTAGCTTACCCCCGACCCGCGGGTCATGATGAACCGACAAGGCAGTTTCCTGACGGAAAAATAATCCGGTGGAGTTTGAGTTCAAGTAAGTTTGATCTGACTGTTGCACAACACTAGTAACCACTGGTATCACAAGAAACACGCGAAGATAAACATTAGCACACAACAGCGCTGACGTCTTGGAAAACATTTTAAACTACTTCACGCACCTAAACAGCAGTGTAAACAACGAATTAACAACTGCAGTGCCAACTTAGAAGCATATAAATAAGGTCTCAGAGTTGACAAATCGCGCCGCCGTTGAGAGTAATCGATTTTTTTTTCTTTTGTCGATTTGTGCCGACTTCATTCAAAGTAATAATCTATAAATACATTCGAAGGTTTACGACACACAACATGCAGGTTAGGTAACATCTGTGGCGAAGTAATTGACTCACTAAGAATATTTTCACTGTTGTTTACAAAACATATACATATCGACGTTGTTCATATTAATTAATAAGTAAATAATAGACGGATATTGCCGTGAAATAAACACATGATATAGAATCTCGATCTACCTCAGACCTCGGGTTAGTAAACAACAAGCAACTGAGCACGCTGTGAAACTGCGAGCTGAAATACAGCGAGCAGCAGACGGCTAATCTCACAAACTTTTTTTTTCCAAATGTCACGGTGAACACTACAGCAGATGGGGGCCGGTAGGTCGGTTGACAGCATGAGAAGTTGGGCCGGGTACGGAGGAGGAAGCGGCTGCGTGCAGACAATTTGTTTTCAACAAAGATGGGGTTGGGGAATTGACAGCCACTCGATTGTAATTTATGTAAGCTTGTTAAAACTGTTAAATGCTTGATCGGTATAAACCAACATATGCAGAGGCGTGAGCGCAGGGGTGCATGAATGGGAAGGAGGAGAGGGTTTCTAATCCACCACCAGTAGCGTAGCGAGGGGGGGGGGGCGGGGGGACGACATATGTCCCCGGGCGCCGACCTTAGGGGGCGCAAAAATGGGTTGGAAAAATAAATTGAAAGGTTTAGGGGGTGCAAATCGAAAGTTTGAGCGAAAAGTTTGTCCCCGGGCGCCGGGAAGGGTCGCTACGCCTCTGTCCACCACTCCTATCTATCGCCGCGTGGATTGGTAGGTTCGGATCCCGTTGGGTTTAAAACTGCCCTGTCTCTACTTGGACTTTATTCTGTACCTATATCTGCGCTTGGCGTTGAAATATCACTTTCTGTTTATATTGCTATTTCATTGATGCTTCCATCCCCTCTACACATTTGTACCGCCAAGATGCCAATGACTCACACCATACAGCATTCGTGTGTATACCCCCTCCCCCATTTTATGATAAAATCCTGTCTATACTACTGCATACACATACATATATTATGGATTCATATAATTAGATATTTATGTACATAGCCTGCATACGAATATGTATTTGTGCACATATTTTTGTATTGACTGTATAGGCTACATACCTATATATATAAATATATATATATATATATATATATATATATATATATATATATATATATATATATATATATATATATATATATATATACATACATATATATATATATATATATATATATATATATATATATATATATATATATATATATATATATATATATATATATATATATATATATATATATATATATATATATATATATATCGAATTGTCACCCTCCAAAATTTGTAATCGTCAGTATCGAAGTCCACTATACTTTCACCCTGGTATTAACCCTGACGCTAAGAGCGCAGTATCGTTCATGGCGCTAGAACGAGTATGCTATAAATCACCAAGTTCCCAAATATACTGCGTAAACACTAGCTCAAATCTACACAAAGCTTTAATTGTTTGACAGTTTTTGTGTGTGCAAATATGGCACGGGAGGGTCAGAGGTGGAGAGAAATATCTTGAATGACAGGACACTATCACTTGAGCAGAAGTAGGTCACAGAAAGAAGCACTGTCTAAACGGTGTTGAAAACCACTTACGTCACTTGGCTCGTTGAGAACTGGGCTGTTTTTTTTTTTTTTTTTTTTTTTTTTTTTTTTTTTTTTTTTTTTTTTTTTTTCTGTTGAACTCACACAGTGAAGAAACAATAGCCATCGATTTATGTGTTGCATTTTACATCATTAGAGATCAGTAACTTTGGTGATTAACATCTTTTTGTCGTTGATATTATTTCTCATCGACATCGTTTGATATTCTAATTCACATTCATTTTTTCTCAATTCAATCTGTTCTAAGAGATCATTTATTTTGAATTTGTAGAACATAACTTGTTGTAAAACACGTTAATGATTAGACTAATTAATTAATCTTTAGTTTTAGCCAACGACGTGTAATCTAGGGCGATGTAGAATTAATGTGTTTAAATCAAATGCTGGCCCTCGCCTTTGTCTAAAGGTGGCCCAAACAGAGGCGTAGCGACCCTTCCCGGCGCCCGAGGACAAACTTCTCGATTTGCACCCCCCCCCCTCGAGATTTCCATTTGCACCTCCCTCAACCTTTCAATTTATTTTTCCAACCCATTTTGGCGCCCCCTAAGGTCGGCGCCCGGGGACATATGTCCCCCCCACGCCCCCCCCCCTCGCTACGCTACTGGGCCCAAACTTCATCCAATCGTTGGTCCTATATTCAAATGTTGGCCCTCGCCTTTGTTAAAGAGTGGCCCAAACTTCATCCAATTGTTGGCCCTATATTTAAATGTTGGCCCTCGCCTTTGTTAAAGAGTGGCCCAAACTTCATTTATATTTGGGACCTAAATTTCGCTTTACATACCGGAGAAAAATGTTTACAAAGTATGTAATCAGTCTTCAGCAATGTTCAAGCGTTGTATGAACAAACTGAAAATTGTTTTAATCCATTTCAGAACGGTTGGCAATTTGGCTCTTAAACATTTTTTAATTGTCCGTCTACATTTGACAGTTTTTTGTGGTGACATACATGCATTAATCAAACTTTAATAATTACTTCTCCAAAAGTGCAGCATGGAGTTAACAGTTTAAGTTTACTAGATTCTAGTATTTTTTTCTGCTTCACCCCCCCCCCCCCCCCACACACACACACACTTATATATACGAGGTCTTCCGTGAAAATTTTACCAATCACATGTAAAAATTATATTTTTTTTTAAAGTGTGAATTGGGCGTTTACGCAAGTATCATTACTCAAGCGAATGTTCAAACGATGTTTGTTTCTATAGCAGAGGCGTAGTGATCCTTCCGGCTCCCAGGGCGAACTTTCAATGTGGCGCCCCCCAGTGGCGTAGCGAGGTCGGGTGTCACCCGGTGCGGCACTTAATGGTGTCACACCCACAGAGGCACAACGACTCTTCCCGGGGACAAATTTTAGATCTGCACCCCCCCCCCCTCAAACTTAAGATTTGCACCCCCCCCCCCCTCAAACTTTCGATTTGCACCCCCCTCTATATATTTTGCTATTTTTTGCCTTGGTGTCACCCCCTAAATGGTGTCACCCGGTGCGGTCCGCATCCCCCGCCCCCCCCCCCCTCGCTACGCCTCTGGCACCCCCCAAATCCTTCCCATTTACCTTGATGAAAAAGCGCCCCGACCCACCACCCTTTTTCAAATTTTTCTCTTACACGTACACAGTACGCTTTAACACAATTGTTTTATTTTCTAAGTGTTAAAAGAGTTATCTACTCAACAATCCTTGCGATTTTTATCAGCAAAAGATGGAAAGCGGTTTTTGCAGGTCACTGTTTGTTAAGGATATAATAATTTGTTTTACAGTTACACAATCAAGGTAGAAAACAGTTAAATCAGTATCAGTTAAATTTCTTAAGTGTGACAGTTTATAATTCAAAACTGCAGCTTAAAATGAGCTTCAATTTTTGTTCTACCCCTTTTGGCGCCCCCCTAGGATCGGCTCCTGGGGCTGTCGCCCCCCCCCCCCCCCCACCCTAGCTACGCCTTTGTTCGATAGCGTTCGATATTAGTTTTGATGTACCTTGGCCCCACTTTCGCTGCTACACAACAAAAACCTCGAGAAGTCTATTAAAAATTAGAGCAGATTGCAACAGCAGGCCAGTTGTATTCCTCACCCACCATAGATTAGCATAAGTCATAGCCATGGCCCACGGGGTTTTTCCGTGTTATTTACAATTGAATCCAGGGTCAGCATTTGGGAATTCCCAAAATATTTTTTTCTCAATTGGGTTTTCCCAATGTTGACAGAGTTTCGCTTTAAAAGTGTTATTTAACCCAACTTGTTGATCTCGGCCGTCATGGGTGGAAACTTACAAACGAAATCTGATCCACTTCTAAAGAACCGATTTCATTCAAACTTGTCAGATTTGATGACAATGTAATGTGACTGGAACTTTGACAAAATGATATTTTTAATTATTAAAAAAAGTGGACCCTTGGCCTAATTCATGAACTATCCTAATGCCTAATATAATAAAAATAATATACGAGCCGACCCGCGGCATATCATACGCCGCTAGTTGGTTGTTGTTTTTTCTACTTTTCAGTTATTCATAATTTGTGAATTCGACACTACCAACGCTGCCACTGAAAATAATTCTTTAAAACACTATAAGTAGTTCGTTAAGGACGATAACCCCCCTCCTTCCTCCCCCATCCCTCCGTTAAAATAAACTCCACTTAGTTACCCCCCCCTCCCCTACGTTTAAAATCGTTTCAAACTAAATTATCTGCCCCTAATAGTCGTCACTAAACCCGGCTCTGTTTGTAAACATTTAGAGTGAACCACAGCTCATCAGACCATGTAGGGGTAGGGGTGGTAGGGAGCGCGTTTACAGCTTGTTTTCTAGCGTCTCCCAGAAGAGAATTATATATATAGATAAAAGCCCACACTTTATAATATTTATATATTATTTATAAAGTAATATAAAGCAATAATTTTTTGCCCTACTACACACAAACACATTGTTCAAACATTCGGTTAGTAAGAGTTAGTTCAAATTGCCTTAGTTCAAAGTGCGCAAGACTTTTTAGTCATGTGATTTGATTTTTATTAAACTTGAACTTAAAAACATATACAAAATCAAAAGGTCATAAAACAATTTATAAAAACTGTTATATAATATATTATTATATAATCTTGAACTAAAATGTAGAAAATAATTTTTTTTCTTTAAATAGGGGCCTATATGCACCACAATTTAAATAACCATAAAGAAAAGCGTGGGTATCTTCTTAAATGTAAGTAAAAGTATACAATAGATAATATTTTAACTTAGTCTCACCACACCAAAAATCTGAGTGTAGGTGGTGTACATTGATATCAATTATCAGGGCTTAAGTTTATGCCAGGGTTTATGGTTAATGTTGATGCTGGTTAGTAATGTTTGCTGGCTTGGGCCTACTAACCAATCCTCATTATTGCAGGAGTCTAAAATAAAAATAATGCCCTAGAAAACATGGTTGTCTAGCATTACATTTGCACAAATTCTTGTTTCTTGTTCAAAATTTGCAGGTTGTGTGAATCTGTCACCATTTTGTGGAAAGAAGAATTGACATTGTTCATTAAAGCTGTGGGGGTGTCCAATTCTACAACTTGCCCATCATCCAGAACTAAAATTCTGAAAATAAAAAAAAGATATTTATATTAACTTCTGTTATGGGTTATCTCCCCACCCATATTTGCAAACCTAGAACTTGCCCATCATCCAGAACTAAAATTCTGAAAATAAAAAAGACATTTGTATTAACTTCTGTTATGGGTTATCTCCCCACCCATATTTGCAAACCTAGAACTTGCCCATCATCCAGAACTAAAATTCTGAAAATAAAAAAGACATTTATATTAACTTCTGTTATGGGTTATCTCCCCACCCATATTTGCAAACCTAGAACTTGCCCATCATCCAGAACTAAAATTCTGAAAATAAAAAAGACATTTATATTAACTTCTGTTATGGGTTATCTCCCCACCCATATTTGCAAACCTAGAACTTGCCCATCATCCAGAACTAAAATTCTGAAAATAAAAAAGATATTTATATTAACTTCTCTTATGGGTTATCTCCCGACCCAAAATTGCAAACCTAGAAGTGAACTTAATTAAAAATAGAATCCATCAATTTAAAACCTCGAGAAAGTGTTTTTTACCATCTCTTAATAATGTCAAGTATTAATGCCTTAATCTCTTGCTTATTGTAAATACAAAACCATACCACACCTTTAAATAGACTAAGATAAGATGTTAAACTTAAAGTTCTGAAGTTTAAATCAAATATAATTTCGATTACATCTGTAAATAAAGTTATATTTATAAGTCTACAAATGTAATAATTATAACTCTGTTTTAGAAAAAAATAAGTTGTAGGCATATAAATATAATGTTAGTTTCACATTCAAATGCTGCTTTATACCGAGAAAAAATGATAAGCAGGGCTGGATTAACCATTTAGAAATATAAGCATAAGCTAGGGCATCAAGGTTGGGGCACCACAGCAATGTTCTATAGTTTTTAGCATACTATTAATTAAAATAAAAAAAATCTTATTAAAACAGAAAAAAACAACCAAGACATACTTGATAGTAATCATTAATAAATATGGAAGCAAAAATGTGTCATAAAGTAAGTTTAAAAGATAGCTTCAAAGAATTGTTATTTCTGTATTATAAAGTAGATCTAAATAAAAATTTAATTATGAATAAAAAGGAATGTAATTAGTGAAATTCAATTTGTTTTTTTGGTAAATGTTTACAGGGAGAGCCACCAAAATTCTGAAGTGCTGAAATGTACCAATCCATCCCTGACTACCATTTGTTACTGTAAAACTGATCACCAGTCTATCATCTCATCATCTTTTTCTATTTGTGAGCAAGACACATAGGGCAGATGAAGTAGAGTTTATCTGTTTCAATGGTCTCGGCATACAACATGATAATCCAGTCAGCCCTAAGCCCAGGCACCTTTGTTTCCCTATTGTAAGTCAGGTACCCATATGGGGTGTCCTACAAACTCAAGCCCAAGATCTGAACTCAAGACTTTTCAAATATCAGTCTAGCGATCTACAGCTCGACCACATTTACCTTATTGCCAGTCTATATCCACTGGTTATCTCAGCCAACTGTGCAATGATTAATAAACAGTTTATTTACAAAAGTAAAATATAGTCACCTGTCGTAGTCCATGACAGTATTGAGCCTATGTGCAATGGTTAACACAGTACAGCCCTGGAACTCAGACCTGATTGTCTTTTGAATCAGTTCATCTGTCTCTACATCCACAGCTGCTGTGGCTTCATCCAGCACCAAGATTTTTGTTTTCCTTAGCAACGCCCTCCCCAAACATACCAGTTGTCTCTGTCCAGCACTAGCAGTATAAAATAAATCAACAGCTCATTCACATAAATTAATGATCAAATTGAGAGTACTTTTATTGCATATATATGTGTGTATGTATATATATATATATGTATATATATATATATATATATATATATATATATATATATATATATATATATATATATATATATATATATATATATATATATATATATATATATATATATATATATATATATATATATATGATGAAATCATGAGTTTAAAATATGTTAATCAAGTATGCATGCTAACTATAACACTATGTCAGTTGGTATAGCATTAGCTTGTATTGATTTGCCCAATCTCTTCTTTTAATATGGATTATGCCAGTTAACAGAATGAGCTGAGCTGGCTCAGATATTCACAGAAAACAGTTCTACTAAGATCTATGAGCCTTATTCTGAGTTCAAACCTTCAGAAAAGTTATCAAATAATAATCTGTTTGGTTACTAAATAATTAGTAGAAAAGTTAACATTAGAAATATTTTCTTGTTGACATCAATGTGGCCATAAAATGTAAGCTTTTAAAATAACTCTGTACATTGGTAAAATAACTTGCTTCAGATTACATAACTCTCTACATTGGTAAAATAACTTGCCATAAATTACATAACACTCTACATTGGTAAAATAACTTGCTTCAGATTACATAACTCTCTACATTGGTAAAATACTTGCCTTAAATTACATAACACTCTACTTTGGTAAAATAACTTGCCTCAGATTACATAACTCTCTACATTGGTAAAATAATTTGCCTTAGATTACATAACTGTACATTGGTAAAATAACTTGCCTTAAATAACATAACTCTCTACATTGGTAAAATAACTTGCCTTAAATTACATAACTCTCTACATTGGTAAAATAACTTGCCTCAGATTGCCTCCTCCTTCACCAACCTGAAAATCTAAACCTTCTTTGACCTTCCCAAAAAACTGTTTTAAGTGACATAATTCTAGTGTGGTCCAGATTTCAATGTCAGAAAACATCCTCAGTGGATCCAGGTTAGAACGCAGACTGCCAGAAAATAGAACAGGATCCTGAAATAATAATAAATGAATTATGTAAATTTAATAATGTAAAATAAAAAATTAAATATAAATTTAAATAAATACATTTTAAATACATTATTACATCCATATAGAAAGGAAAACAAATCTTATTTATTAAGCAATTATGCATGCCTATTACCTGTGGCAAAATGGTCAACTTCTGTCTCAGATCATACAATCCAAGCTTTGATACATCAACGCCATCTATAATTATTTTACCATCACATGGCTCAACCAATCGGAATAGAGCTAACATCAAGGATGATTTTCCAGCTCCTGTTCTGCCTACTACTCCAATCTAAAAATACATTTCCAGCTCTTTTAGGTAAAAAAAAAAGCAAATTAATTAAAAATTACAAAAAAAAAAGAAAGAAAGAAACAAAAAAGAAGTCATTTTAAAAAGAACTATATCAGTCAACTGGATTCAAAGTTAAAACATTTAGAAATTAAAATTTTGTTTCAATACTCAGTAAAGAACACATGCAGTACATAGAGATGATAAAATCTTACAAGCCCTATAATACCTTTTCTCCATCAAGGATGTGAAAGCTTAAGTTCTTCAGCACAGGTTCTAACCCAGCTCGGTATTGGAGACTCACATTCTTAAAGGTTATAGTACCAGACAGTGGCCACTCTGGGAAGTGGCCAGGACACTCCAGATGTTGTGGAGCCTGGAAGTGTGGAGTTTTATAACATTTTTTGTTTCATTTTTTCTTAGTTTTTAGTGTTTGTTTATTTATGTTGAAATATTTTGTTGCATATTTTACTCAAAGTGTAATCCATATCAACAATAATAACAATGTTAGGTTATTTTAAGTTATTCTTTAACCACACACATTTTAAAGTAGTTTAATAATACTAAAGCCCATATCAAAACAAAATATTTTAAAGTTACTTCTGAAGGGAGACCAATGTACTGCAGAATTCTTTCAAGGGAGACAATATCCATCTCCAGTAGACTAGCCATTCTGACTTGCAATTGCATATTGCTAGTAATCTGAAACAGCAATAATTAAAATATTTGAAGAAGACATTTGCATGCTTGAAAATCTACAGGTAATTTTAAATTATATGTTGTATAAAAAATAAAAACTTTAAAAATTCCTTCCTAACAACATAAATTTTAAACAAAGAAATACTTTAAAAGGATTTTCAAAACAAAAAAACTAAGAATAGTTCATCAAAAAAACAAAATAAGTAGAAAAATAGAGAATCAGAGAAATAGACAAAATCAAGTTTTAAAAATGTTATTCTCAGATTTATTATATCAGATCATTCAGTTATATTGTGGTGAATAGATTTTAGTCTTACAGTAAGTCCCATGGTTAAACAAAGTCCAATGAGACCAGGTGAAAGGTCATATCTGTACTTTACTGCCAAAATGCCAGCAAATAAAACCAAGATACTACTCAGGAAACCCAAATGTATGGATAGCCATCTGGAATTATTTTCAAAATCATTCCTTGTAACATTTCAGCACAAAAATACTACAGTTGTATTAAAAAATATTTTACTCATAGAGTATAGTCAATGTGCTTAAGTAGGATTTTTTTTTTTAATTTCTTTTAATTTTTAGAAGGAATATTCTTTTAAAATTTCACTTGGTGACACACCTTTCACAAGCATAACTGGCAACTGTCATTCGATGATAAAAATCCACCTTGTTTTCTGCCTGTCTGATAAATCTGTCCTCCTCCCCGAGGGCACGAATGACGGAAGTTCCAGCAAAAGATTCGCTGACATGGCTGAGGATTGGGGACAGCCACTTCCTGTCCAGTCTCCGCAACTGGCTGGATGTTGGCAGATACATTTTCTGCAGAATTTTTAAAGAAAACCTTCAATTTCAATATTGCCATGCAAATATAAATCTATGTTTTTTTTTTCTCTGCATCTAAAAAGAAAAACTGAAGTCTAAATACGGAGAAATTTTTATTTGCCAATTCAATCATAATAACCTATTTTTTTTTTTTAAATAATATCCAAACTATAAGATTTTAAGCAAGTTAAGAAAAAGAAGAAAGTTTCAAAACATTGTCTGCTGAATTTAATCAAAATGTCATTTTGTGGTTTAAAAATTGTATTTTAGAAAAACCTGGCAGGACAGTTACCTCTATAAGGTAATATAGAATCACAATGGGTATAGTCACTGCTAAAAAGGCCGGAATACTGATGGCAATAGCAACTAAGGAACATATAACACTAAATACAGAGTGAAGCCAAACTTCAATCCATAATAATAAAGTGGTATCAATCACACTGATGTCTTTAGAAAATCTGAGAAGAAACAGATACATATTGTTAGCATAAAACTTATTTGGGAATTGTTTTAAAGTTGTTCTTTTCTTGTTCGGAAAGGCAAGAGTTCCATGATAATAAAAGCAAAAGTATTTTTGAAAAAGATAAAATATATTATTTCGAACTGAATAAAAGCATAAATTAGTAGCAAAGTATTGAGAAGTTAAATACTGAATATAGACTTCATCAAAACTACCTTGCTAATAATCGTCCAATGGGTGTGGTATCAAAAAACTGGATTGGACTGGCCAGTACACTAGCCATTAAATGTTGGTGGATCATATGTGATAAGTGTCTATGTCTGTAGGCCTTGATGGCAGTGAAGATGATAAGGACAGCAGCTGGAACATGACATAGTCAGACATAGCATTTGTTTATGATTTCAAAACTGACACTGAACTGACAGACTGTAAAGTGTTGAGAAAAGCGATAAATTTAAACTTCGCCCTATGTGAATATGAGGCCAACTTAGATCTAGGACCTCCCCTGAATACTCTAGTATATATGTCTAGTACTAAACAACCTCAATTGATAAATAAATTTAAAATACTCTTACCAAAATTACATTAAAAACAATTAACTGAATTATGAAAAGTTCAAGTATTTTATTTTTTAAATCCTGCTATTAATTTTAAGTACTTCTATGACTTCATTCAAGTGGTTACCTCTATTATTACTCTTACCAAAATTACATTTTAAAAAATAACTGAATAATGAAAGGTTCAAGGATTTTCTTTTTTAAATTCTACAATAGATTATATTTTTTAAAGTACTTTTTAAAAATTTATTCAAGTGGCTATCTCTGATTTTAGTTTAAAATTTTTTTTTTTAAATTATAGAAACTTTTTGTTTCAATTATTTTTAAATATGAAATCTTTAATTCACATTGTAATTTATCTGTCAACTCACCTTGCAGTATTCCCCATATGCTGTAAATTCCAATGAAATAACTGTTCTCATTCTGTCTCTCCGGGCTGTCAGCAGGAAGTGAAACATTATTTAAAACTGGACTGTCCACCCAGGATGACAGCCAAAAACCAGCAGCAGTATCAAAGGCAAAACAACTTGCAAAGAAAAGGCCCAAAGAGAAAATGGAAAAATAGCCCATAGCTTTAGCGAATGATGTGTAGACTGACCAACTGACCTGAAGTTTGTTTGAACAATAAAATAATTGCATGAGATAGCTTAAGCTAAACATGTTTCATCAATCTAATTGCAAAAAAGAATTTTTGTTTTCATTCAGTAGAGTTAAGTAGTAATTTTTTTAAAAGTGTCAGGGTCTACTAAGTTTTATGATTTAAAAATTGCAAATTTGGCTCAAGATAATAAAGAAACAATTATTTTACTTTAATAAATTCTACAAGATTGCAGAAATATCATGCATATTTCTTTTTTAAAAGAAGAGGGTTTATTTTAGTTTTAATGAAATGTGAATAAATTGTATGAACTGTTCATTATGCTTTATAAACATGGTACTTTCTTTATGGTACCTAACTCTTTATAAGGTCTGTATTTGTTTCTATTAGCATTTTAACAAAAGCATTGTTACCCTGCCACTAGCCATCTCTTCCTCTTGTATGAGCTTTCTAGCCTTGTCCCCAGCAGACTTAGCAGAATCTTCAGTTGTTTGTTTCATGTCGTCTGTTAGACTTTCTACAGAGGTGAAGTGGTTTTCACTGAAAATTTTAGTGTTTTTAATATTATATTAATTGCTATTTCTAACAAGATATAAAAATAAACCAAGAAATAAAAGAAATTACTGAATACTTAATCCTAATCAAACTGTATCAATAGTGTACTAAATTAAAATAAAAGCCTACTACCTGGTGAGGTTATCAGATGTGTCACTCACATAAGATTCAATAGACAAAAGTCTTTCAAACATTGATTTTGTTACAGCTTCTATCAATTTAGAAAATAAACAAGTGAACAATTAATCTATATTCTGTCACTAGACAACATGTGTAAAATATTTATTATTATTAGCTACAACCAGTTTACAATACTTATAATTCAGTGTTAAAGTGACATTTTTGTTGATTTACAAAAAAATTCCTGGCTAACCATTTTCCAAATTTTCATCTATGACTGTTGTTTTTTCTATGCTGTCCCCTGCACCTAATGGAATCATTGGCTGGTGACTTTTATGATTTGAGAGATATTCAGAGAGAAACTGGGCAAAGGGTCCATTATGGCTTATCAGTTGGTCTAGAGTCCCCTGTTCTGTACACTGACCATTGGTCATTACAATAATTTTGTCCATCTCTGGTAGCCACTGTATCCCATGTGTCACAAAAATTCTAGTCTGGAAACGAAAATTTCTTCTCATTGACTAGTTTCAATGGTAAATATTTATAGACACATTTTCCCCAAATTTATTTACCTTTTATTTTTTCATTTACATTGTGTTAAAATTCTAACTACTTTTATTATTAACTTGTTCAATTTAGGAAAAATAAATAAAAAAACACTGAAAGCTAAAATAATTTTGAACAAAATGTAAACTTTTATGCCTTGATCCACCAGAGTAGCACAAACCTTATCTTTCAGCAACCCATTCCTCCCTATCACATGATCAAATATGTGTCTTCCTACATGACTGTCAACTGCACTCAGTGGATCATCCAGGAAATAGATTTCACTTTTCTGATATATAGCCCGGGCAAGGCTAACCCTCTGTTTCTGGCCACCACTCAAGTTAATTCCCTACAATCAAAAAAAAAATCTATTGACATTTTACTGAGAAATTCAGTTTTGAAATGTTAAATTAAATATATCTTGGATATGTCACTAAATTGCCTATTGTGCTTTTAGTTTGTATATATATATATATATATATATATATATATATATATATATATATAATATATATATATATATATATATATATATATATATATATATATATATATAATATATATATATATATATATATATATTTATATATATATATATATATATATATATATATATATATATATATATATAGTAAAAAGAAATTACTTTCTCTCCAATCTCTGTTAGATCCCCAGAAGGCAGGACCTTGAGGTCATCTTCTAGCGCACAAGCCCTCAGAGTCTCCCTGTACTCTTCCTCTCTCATGCCAGAATCAAACAGGATATTGTTCTGTAGTGAGTCGTTCTGTACCCAGGCCTCCTGTGGGGTGTAGGCTACCTTACCCTGAAAAAATCCATTATAAGCCTTCAAATAGGTATACTATTAGACGTAAATAGAGGGGCTGATTTTCTCCCCTACCAACCAACACGTTTCATCACACACCCCCCCCCCCCCCCCCCCAACATAACCATTGTCTCTTAGAAATGTTTTTCTTCATTTTTCTTAACTAAACCTCACACACAAAAAAAAAAAACACATTATCACATACAACAGCCTTAGAATAGTATCTTTTTAAAATTTATATTATGAAAAGATTGAATACAGCATATTTAAATCAATTAGTAAAATGAAACAATACATTATTATAATTAATTACTCTTTAAAAGAAAATTCTTTACATTTCTTTTTTAAATTTCAAACTATAACATTCATTAGACTTTTATTAAATTTTAAATATGAATATACTAAATATAAAAATTAACTAAATTAATAAATCTGTATTTGGTCAGATGTTTAAATTTAAAAAGAAAACTTAAGCAGCATTTTTTTTTAATGAACAATAAGTGTACCTGTTTGAGTACATTCCCCTTGATTGTGATCATCTCCCCTAGCAAGGCAGATAACAAAGAAGATTTACCACACCCCACAACACCAACAACTGCCACCAGGCTGCCCTTAGTGATCTCCAGGTTTATGCTGGTAAAATATTCATGCTAACTTGATTTCACTATTAAAAACTGTACACAGCTGTTTAGGCTTTATTTCGGCACCATATTATGTATACACTTTATTTTTTAGCCCGAAATATAAATCATCACATACTGCAACATGTACATAAAAAGTATCAAATGTTTACATTACAGACATTAAAGTACTTACTTTTTTAAAGTAGGTTCACAATCTGCTGACCAACTGAAATGACCATCAGATATTTTGATGGCAACATCTGCGTATGAAAGTATAGCCTATCTGTTTTACTTTGACCACATGAATAAAACTACTAAAAGTAAAACTGTGTGTAATAATTTTTTTACCTGGAGATAATTCTGACGTGTCATTAGTGGAAGATTTTTCTATTTCACTCAACAAAAGAAATTTCATAACTCTTTGCCCAGCTACTAGACCCTGTAATAAATATGATGTTAACTCATCATCATTTTCACCTACACAGCAGCTGAACTTTTATAATGTAAAAGCATGATTAATCTCAGCTTTTTAAAAGAAATATTTATATATAAACGACTTGCCCCTAAATGAAATCTTAATGTATACTTGCCCCTACAAAAAAATCATAATGTCTTCTTGTCCCTATGAATAATAAAAATCATTGTTTACTTGTCCCTATAGATATATCATTGCCTACTTGTTCCTATAATGAAATTATATGATACTTGCCACTATAATAAAAACATAATGACTACTTACCCCTATAATGAAATCAATAACAGACGCTATGCAGTTGGAAGCTCGTCGTACAGCTGTAAAATATGCCATAGCAACAAAAACTGTCGAGGCTTTAAGGTGGTGACTCTCATCAATCATTACGTGAGTTAAAAAAGTGAAGAAAATCACCTGAGGAAGTTTAACACAAGATTTCAATCTTTGGTCATTTGAGTCTTTTTACTACTACGGTGTAATTTTAATCAGTTCATGCAGGATAAGTCGAATGAGATTAAGACTAATTTTTATTTAGTGTAGTCCACATGTGGCACTATTTGGTGCTAATTAAGTGCCTGGAGTGTTACATTTAAAATAAATTTATTTAGCTATTAATTTTATTCAGAATTTTTACAAAATAACAATATTTATCAGTTTTAATTTTAAAATGTGGATTTATATAATATTATTTGTTCATTTAAACAATGAAAAAATTCACCAGAAAAATAATTTACCCAAAACACAGCCCCTGACCAAGCAAATGTTATAAAAAATTTCAAGAGGTCAAATCTAAAAATAGCCTTTAACTCTTTGTTTCTGATGTTACTCAGCAGTGTCTGAAAAGCTTCTTCCCATGCATACAATTTTAAAACCTGGGAACAGAATGGAATAATAAATATACAGCTTTCAGATAAAAATTAGTGGAATTAAGCAAAAAACTGATTAGCTAACATCTTAAAGTGTTTTTTTTTTCTGTATATTCTATTTAAAAAAAGACAATAATGTTGAATTCTAAGTGCAAATAATGATTTATAAATTGACCTTAATTCCTGTAAAAACTTGTGAAGTTATTTTCATTCTCTCATCAGCTGCTGCCCGCAGCTTGATTTCACATTTTGTTTGCAGTCTGGTCATTAGGGATTTCAAGATGAAGAGCCCAGCTAGTGTGGCTAGCCCTGTTACAAAGATCATATTTGAATATCAAAACAACAAGAAATTGTTAGATAAATAACACACTTAATGCTGCTTGTCTTATAACATGGGATACTTGTAAAACATGTTTGCTTACAGGTATCAAAATCAAATGACATGTTGCTATAAGAAAATATAAATGAAAGCAAATGTTCTAGCTAGGTCTATTAGTGATACTCATGCATTCAGACATTACAATTTTAAATATTAAAAAATTAGAAAAAAAAGTGAAGTTAAGATCCTAAAAGTTGATTGTATTCAATTGCTTAATTTACTTTTTGATGAGGACATGAGAAGTGATAGAGATTAACTCTGTTTTAACTGCCCAAAAGGTTTCAAAAAAACTCTTTACTTCTTTAGTTAACTGGCTTTTATCTATAAAAACTGATGATGTAAGTTAGGGTAGTGAATGAATTGATAGGGTAGTTTTAAAAGACTAAATATCCAAAAATCTTAGTTCATTCATGATTTTCTGAGGCACTATTCACCTGACAACATAGCAAGCCCAACAGTGTAGTACAGCATAATTAAACCAACTGTTAATTCAAAAGGAGACTCCATTAAGATAAAGCCTTCACTGCACAAGGTCCAAATAGTGTCAATATCTTTTGAAAGCAGCTGAGTAATCTCCCCAGCTGAGGTTACCTGCCTTGATTCACTACTTAGTGATAAACTCTTTAGTGAAAAAAAAATTATCAATTAAATATTCTTAAAATCTTGAAAATTATTATAAATCTAAATTTAAATAATTGATTCTGAATTTGATTACTATAGTAGTTTTAAAGACTTTTCTCTTTTAATTAACCAGCAGTTTAAAATATACCTTCCTGTACACAGATGACATGATGGCTGCCCTCACTTTTATAGCAAACAGATTGTTTTGGTACAAATAATACTCATAGGACAGCAAGGAAATGACCAGTGATGTGAAGAGGGCTGTGGCCAGAAGGTAGCCATGCCAGTCTGTCTTGTCCTCGTTAGCGGTGAATTCAATCAGCAGCCTATTAAGTCAAATTATTCATTTTTATTCTTAATTTGGTTCACCTTAATTAATTATTTTATAATTTTCTTAAGCAAGACTTTATTTAAACCTGCTATAAAGCAGTAAAAAATAAAGACACTAGAATTTTATATTCACTGTCAACAAAGCGTTTTTTTCATGTTGAAATATTTTATTTATTACTATCACTATTATGGTGAGGGTTAAGACACATAAGAAAATAACGTTTAACGAGACCTTGCTAAAAACTGTAAGTGCCGAACTGTGCTAGGAGATTGTTGAAATTAAAGTGCAGTGGCATCGCTAGGTAAGGTGTCACCCCCCCCCCCTCGCTACGCCTCTGTTAAAGTGTGACACATGGTACTAGAGAGCTCACCTCATGAAAACAGGACAGATTAAAAGAAAAGATTTGCAGACAACAGCCAGTACACCACATTTTATCAGATGTGTGCTGAATGTGTGTAGGATGATCTGAAAAATATTTCAAACTTATTTCATCAAAATGCAGCACTAAGATTGATTTAATGAAATTACAAACTCCAGAAAGAAGAGCTCTTATTTTTTTCTCTTTCTCTTCTTTCTCCAGTTTTCATATATCAGACTGTGGCTAGTTTTGGATTTTTTAATGTAATTGTATATAAAAAATATTTCTATGTTATGGAAATTTTGGATCATGAAACATCTAAGTGCATATCTTAATCAGACACAACAGTAGGCCAATAAATCTAGGTATGTTAAACAAATACAATCACCTTCCACATTAGTATACCCAATCTTTTATTCCCAGCAGTTTCAGATTTTGTTGCTAGTTTCACTACCACCTTTTCCTGGTTAAACACATCTAAATTAGTTTCTGCAAATTGCTCTTGATTGTTGCTTGCAAGTAAAGAAGGTGTTTCATGCTGATCAAGCTCTATATCTGTTTTATCATACCGCGATGATGCCACATCAAGAGGTGTAGATTTGTTAAGCCTGGTTAAATGGAATTTTACAAAACATAGTGATACAATGTTACTTTTTTGTTTAATTTACCATTTTTTAAACCAAATTAGCAACAACAAAAAACAATTATATTTTAATTCTATTACTAATTAAAACCAGACATAGCTCAAAATGTTTATCAATATTACAACAGCTTTAAATAAAATTGTGTTTCCCCATATTAATAATTAGTAGTATAACCAAAAAAAAGTGAAAACATTTTTAGATAAAAATTGTAAAACTTCTACAATATTGAACTAAACTGTTTTCAAATACATTTTAAAAAATGTTAATAATACTTCTCAGTGTGAAAAGATAATGTCTGAAGAAATTTTGAGACGACATGGATAGAAGTTTCATTTTCATTTAATGGACATATGTCATCTTCCATTAGAGGTTTCTTGTAGCCATGTAGAACCAACCTGAGAATATTGGTTTGGGTAATACCACAAATATATTTTACAAACATTTATTACTAAATATATTTAATAACAAATACAACAATGTATATAGAAATTCAAATTCAGATACATCCAGCTGTTAACCCTGTTCAATTTTAACATCATGATCCTTAGAGTCGGTCTAGTTAAACAGTAGCCTTATAAACAAAGCAGTAAAAGAAACGTCAGAGGTCCAACCCCCCCCCCCCCCCAACAAAATGAAATTTATATAGAAAATATATACTTTTAACAGTGTCCGCCCCCCGAAGAAAGTCTACCGCCCCCAAAAATTTCATGTGCCCCCCCGAAGAAAAAAGTCTGGAAGAAACACTGAACCAGCTCCCAAGAATCAAACATTTTAAAAATGAACAAAAATGTTTTCAATCAATTTAAATTTTAGTCTAGTTTAATTTAACTTTTTCGAAACAGAAAAATTTAAACTTCATGGACCTACTACACTATAACTCAACCTTAGATAAAATAGCAGCTCTCTTAAGAATAGTTTCATACCCTGATGTCCAATGAAAAAATATCCTTGAAATGATTGAAGCTTTTTCCTCAGCTGAAAATGTCTGCATAAATATTACAGGAAAATATTTATTTCTTATAAAGAAACTTGTTTAAATTTAAATTATATTCAGCAATTGCAAAAAAATACAGCAATAAAGAGTACAAATAAGATACCAGGCCAAGTTGAGTAAAGCTGTCTGTCACGCACTAAACTACTTACCTTCCCTGTTAATTCTCTATGGTTCCAACTAAATAGAATAGTTGAACAGACTGCGATTCCATATTTGATGTAGAACAAGACAAACAAAATCATTTGACTTGAATATTCCTGTAGATGTGTAATTTAATAGTGAACATCTAACTAACAGAGTATTTTTATGCTATTATTTATAGGCCTATATTATATAAAATTATCAAAAGGAGGATTTTTAATTCTTTATTCAACTGCTTTTATTATATCTGTATTTATCTGTATTTATGGTTGGTTATAAAGGAAAAGTGTTCGACTTCAAATTTTTTGTGCTCACTAAGCAATTCATGTGCTTACCATCAAGCAATTAACAAATAACAATTTCCGTCTAGTACCACACTAAAAGGCTGCACAACACCAAACGGTGTACACTTACTTGCTGTATAATTTTTGAGTAAAACGGGACCAGATTTGTGAATAGCATCAATCCATAAAACATGAGCAGCCATGGTGACTGATATACAGGCCTTCTATGTTCTAACAAAGCAGTTAGAATTACTAGCATCTGTGGAAAGTTGACTTGCATTGGTTACAGCTTACAATAATAAACTAGCATCTACTTTGTTATTTAAATACAGTAAATAATAAATGTAATGATTTAAACATTTTTAAAGATTATATCAAAATATAGTTATGTGAAAATTCTCTAAACCTACTTACAAATGAAAACATCTTTAATGCACTTGAAAAAATGTCCGAAATAGTTCCAGATTCATCTCTGATGTACAAGACACAAGTTGCTGTTTCACATATTAGCAGAAGGAAGCAACATACCTGATATTGTATTTGAAAATGGAACTTAAATGCAAAAGCTGTTGAATAATTTTGTTTCCATTGTTGTTTAATTTATGTTTTCTTTTCTCCAAGCATTTTGTAATATTAGAAATATTTATAGAGAACAGTGAACTATCCACACACTCTCTCTTTATATTATAAACATAATAAAAAGAGATGAACTCTACTTTCTCTGCCCAATAGGCTGTGAGGTTTGTACAAATACTGCAGACCTCATTAGGTGGTCATGTAGTGAAACTGGTGGTATAGGAATTTAGTCATGGGGGTCCTAACCAGCACCCAATACTCCTTGTCTATGCCACTGAATTGAGACTATCGTCATTAACACCAGAACTATGTGTTTGATTGCTGATCTTGCTAAAGTGACATACATCTTCAGCTCATAGGAGTCTCCTTCATGACTTGAGAATAAAGATACTAGGCAATGTAGCTGGTCACAAAATCTCAATACTTATAAACAAAGACTGCTATCTATCTGCCCTTATGATTACTTGGTCTAAAACACAACGATTACTCAGTGAAATTGGAAATTACAAACCTGTTTCAGAACAAAAATGTGTTCCCTGAATGGATACCTAATGTTGGGTTTCCTCCAGATAAAGAAAGAGTAAAATGGTAAAAAGACAACCAGGTAATAGCATGGCAGGGGAGTTAGAATGACAGACTGAAAACAGTTAGTGAGTTGGGGCCAGGTGTTGTTCCAGGTAAGGTTTGAGTCCTAAAGCAGAAATAAAACAACTAATTAGTTTATTTTTTATTAAATTTGAAGTATTGTATTGGGAATTAATAGAGTCATGTGTGTATAGTGTACTGAGTTAAAGTTCATCTTTAAAACATGCAGCTTTTTTACTTTTGTAAAAAAAAATTAAAAATTTAAAAACCTAAAAATTGGTAACCTACCCATAGGGAGTCTTTACAGAAGGGTCGCATTTTTTTCTTTGATTATTTTTCATCTCATCTGTAATGTGAAAGTAATGTCTGTATGGATGTTGTTGTAGGAAGGATAAATTAAATGTGCCAAGCTTCCTCCCAACATTGCTAATATAAAATCACAACATTTAGTCAATATATGTTCCATTTGACTTTCAACTGATTTATAGAGTAATTCTTTTTGTCACCATAGAAGTCTACACTAACACGAGAAATAGATTTTTGCTCAGCTACTTGGTTGTTGAAGTAATGAAGTAGCTTACACTTGTCCATTCATATAGTCTAAACAGTAACGGTAACTCTACCAATAATACTGATAAAAATGTAAACTAAATTATAAACGAAAAAAAAAAGGATTTCTTATTAAAATATAAATTTATTAAATAGGCCTACACGTAAATTAATTAAATAGATCTACTTTTTACTAAAATTTGTAGTAGTTTTTCTATACCTAGACATATTTTATTATAATAATTTGGGATCAGGTTGATTACTACAATACTACTGGACTTAAATAAAGGGATCTAGATTAGAATTTAGCTAGAGATCTACCTTACCGTAGTGTTTTGAACAGATAAATGCAAGTTAAAGTGTGATATATTCAAGTGTAGGCCTAACTACACGCTATCATTATCAATGGGAATTGACTACTAATACTATGATACTTATTATCACACGTTCTTATAGTAAAACTTTACTAGATCTAGCTCATTCTATGGTCTTACAAACTTTATCTTCAAAGGTCAGAGGTGAAGAAGTTGAAGTATCATTCATATTGCCCGCAGAATGTTTCATTTATAAACCAACACGTTTAATGACCACTAATTAAGTAATTAGATCGACAAAGTGTGTTGTTTTTGTTAAAGCCAAGGCTATTCAACCTAAAGTCTAAAGACAGTGACTACAGGAAAATACTGTAGGTTGGGGGTAGACACGGAGTAGCAATGCGGCATGGTAAAATAAAAGTATTAAAAGGTTAAGTGGTGCGGTAAGATAGGCTAGACTGAATTATAAAAAAAAAAAATTGTTCGCCTAGCTTTATTAACTATATCACACACAGGTCTATAGTAGGGGCGAGGGTCTGAATTTTTCGTTAAGTTTTGCCACATTGCTAAAGTCGGAAAGGGGGGGGGGGGTAACCAAACATTTAGCATGCTCTAACTCTAAATATAAATCTCAGAATGAAAAACATTTTAGTAATAATTAATCATCATAATGGTTTTTTTTTTAATTGTGTGGTTGTTGTTTTTTTTTCTTTAATTTTTATGTATGCTGATATGAGAGTAAAGACAGGCTGAAATTTCTTGTTGCCATTTATAGATGCTCACTATCTTGGGCCTAAGCTTTAAAGGATGATTTGTGAGAGGAAAACTTTTGTAAGAGTATTATGTAAAATACTAAATTGAATAATGACATTCAAACAATTTATAAAACAAGCACAACCATCAACCAATAAATGAAATTTAGTTGCTTTCATAAACATTTTTTATTGAACATTTCTGTCACTGAAAGATTTTGTAGACCAGAATTAAAATGGAGATCCAGCTATTAAAACCTTAACTCAAACATCACAATATTTTAACAGTATGGTTAATATTGTAGGTATATTAAGAACAAATAAATTACTACATTGTAGTTAGACATTTTTGTGCTATAATTTTTAGTGCACAAATTACAATAGCTAAAATGTACAAGAATAACATTCTTGGCATCATAAATAATTTCTTTGCTTTTTTTTGTAAATGTATAAATTATTCAAAACTATAAGAATAAACACTGTAAAAGTAAATTTTAACATTTTCTAAAATAGGACTGATGATTTGCAGTATGATAATACAACTTTGTTGGTTAATCTTTGACCATAATAAAACTAACCAAAAGTACAATTAACAATAAAAATAATACATGTTCTGTATTACTGTATAGCACACATTCAATCTGCATTAATAACATTAAAAATGTAATACAGAAGTTTATAAATAATGTGTAAAGATTTTTTTGCAAAATGGCAGTTTAAATGACTTGTCAATGACTTGTCTAAAAGTTTAAACAAATATAAATAATAAATACTTGAATAAATTATTTAATAAATGCCTACATTCTTTGGTTTTTTATGCTTCCTATTAAAATGTTTAGAGTAATAGGCCTATATTTAAAAAAACTTGAATGACGAGATAAAAAGACAAAATAAAATGGTGAAAGAAAGTATAAATTGTGTTGCGTTTTCATTTAGAATAAAGTTAATTTTATGTCTTTTTATTTAACAAACATTATCATGTATTAGAAATAACTATCATAATATAGGCCTACAGCTTAAGTCATAGGCCTTGTGTAAATTTATTGGAGGTTAAAATAAAAGTGAGTTACTTTATACTAGTTAAAATACTTTACTTAATATCTTTATTAGCCTTTTAGAGACATGTAAGCATTAATAAGGTTATGAGAGAAGAAGCTTGTGTCTAAGAATTGTTTAATCTCAATGCTTGTGACTCTGCTGACATCTTGTAAAACAAAGAGTTGACATCATTCAGTAAAACAGCTGGGGAATCAAACTCTGCTACTCTCCCCTTGTCTAGAACCAAAATTCTGAAGATGAAAAAAAAATAGTTTATTAATGTGATAATAATGAAAGTAATGAAGTCATAGTTTTTTAAAATTATTTTTTGCATTCCTTTTATATTTAGGTAAACTATTAATAGCTTTTCTTCCACTATAAATTAATGATTTAGCAAAAAATTTCAGGGTTATTGCCATAGAAAATTATTGGGTAAAATAAAAATGTATTCACCTGTCGTAATCCATGACAGTGTTGAGCCTATGTGCAATGGTTAACACAGTACAGCCCTGGAACTCAGACCTGATTGTCTTTTGAATCAGTTCATCTGTCTCTACATCCACAGCTGCTGTGGCTTCATCCAGCACCAAGATTTTTGTTTTCCTTAGCAACGCCCTCCCCAAACATACAAGCTGTCTTTGGCCAATACTTTAAAAAAAAATGAAATTATTAAAATATTTTTCTTAACATATCTTTAAAAATATAAGGATTTCTATTAATAACTTACAAATTAATTAAATTAAAGCAGTATATTTTTTTAGATATATAGGATATATTTTTACCTCAAATTTGTACCTCCTTCCCCAACTTCATAGTCCAGCCCTTCTGGTAAGTTCTTCACAAAAGATTTGAGATGACAATGTTCTAGTGATGTCCATATTTCTTTTTCTTGAAATTCATCAAAAGGGTCCAAGTTTGTCCTCAGAGTACCAGTAAATAACACTGGGTCCTTAAAAATAAATCATTATGTGATTCAATGTAGAATAAAAGTTAGAGATGAAATTTAAGAACAAAAATTCTTTGAATTCTTATTATTTCAACAGATAAAGCCAAAATCTAAGTTAGCAATTCGACTTAGCTCAACTTACCTGAGGTAAAATAGTTAACTTCTGTCTGAGATCATAGAGACCAAGTTTACTAATATCCAAACCATCAATAAAGATTTGTCCATCACAGGGCTCTACCAATCGAAAAAGAGTTAAGAGAAGGGATGATTTTCCAGCACCTGTTCTCCCTACAATTCCTACCTGTTAAAAAAGTATCAGTCATCCATAAACCATTACATTAGCAGCAAAATCAATGAAATCATACTTAAGTTAATGTAGAAATAATTTTGAAAAAGACATATGATCGAAACTTGATTTTTTTTTCCTAATTTGTTAAATTTTTCTGCAATGTCCTAATACAGTAACCTACCTCAACATTTTATCTATTAGTTTAGTGTCTGGTTTTTTAAAAAAAAGACTACATACACACCTACTAATTATCATTAATATGAAAAATTATATTTGACGTGTTAAAAAAAATTGCCTCTGTTAGATACATACCTTTTCGCCATCTTGAACATGAAAACTTATTTTCTTCAGAACCAAATCCAAACCCTTTCTGTATTGTACGCAAACATCTTTAAAGATTATATCTCCTGTCTGAGGCCAATGCTGGGTGTAACCAGGGCATGGCAAATGGCGAGGTGCCTGTAAACATTCACATACAATAATTTAACCACAGATGCGTTATGCATTATTTGTGGGATTGTAGTTTGAACAGTTATAATATTTTAAAATGGAGATTTAATGTTAGTTTAAATTATGTATTCTTTAGAAAAGTGTATTAAATACACATGATCTTACTTCAGATGGTAAATTAATGTATTGAAGAATTCTCTCAACAGAAACAATATCCATCTCAAGTAGACTTGCTACTCTTACTTGCAGCTGCATATTTCCTGTTACCTAGGAATGACATAGTTGACTGCATCAATAGAAAGCATTATTTAATTAACTAAATGACTATTCTACTTTTAAAGAAATAAGTTGTAAAGAAGTAAACCTAAACTTACTGTTAATGCCATGCTCATTGAAAGACCAATGAGCCCAGGAGAAAGTTGATCACGATAAGCCACACAGAGTATCCCAGCAACCAAAACTAAGACATCACTTATAACACCCAAACGCATTGATAGCCATCTGGAATAATAGATAAAAGGTCATCATTTTCTAAAAAATATGTGTCTGGACAAAATTTATATGTCATTATTTACCAAAAAATGACCATGGATAAGTAATACAAATCAATTATATGCACCCAGAAGAGGAACTATTCATTTGGAACATTTGTGTGACAGTTGAAGGCTCTAGTCCCCCCAATAGGCTTGAAAAGCTGGTTCCAAATGGTTGTTGCCAGAAAGCATATTTTTCAACCAAAATTTAATATTTTATAACATTTGAGAAATAAGTTCCAAAGGACTTCCAGTTTTATAACGCTAGAAATATTCAAACAAATAATAATAGTATTGTAATAGTAAGTTAACAAATGCTTATAATATTTATATTTTAAATTTCGATTTGTAGTAAGTTTTTTTTGGTGATATATTGTTTAATATATATAAACTGCTAGGCTATTCCCCATTGATCGCTATTGTGTATTTTATCATGGAAATCAATTGTTGTGTTTTCATTGTCCCTGACTACAGGGAGGGGTTGAGGGCGGTTTTTAAAAAAACATTTGAACAGCTTATATATTCAATACAAAAATATGAAAATGTGTGTAATCACGGATTTCCAAACGGCTTTAAATTTTTAAAAGTAACTATAATTTTAGCACTTGCCATATTTTTTAAAAGATTTTTTTTAAACTTAGTATGATTACATAGACTTTTTATGCCTATTGTGAAGAAAGGTTTGAAAAAGTTTCATTGCGTTTTTATACTTTATATCACCTTTTGCTAACGGCTTACTTAACCCTTAGCTCCTAACCTTAAAAATAACCGTGACCCTGATCTCCTGAGATTAAAGTAAACACAACAGACTCAATAAAAAACAAAGACAACAAATTCAACAACAAATTTAAAGCCAATTTCCCAAGCATGACTTACCTTTCACAAGCCATACTTGAATAAGTTTTCTGCTGGAAAAAGTCCACCTTCTCCTCAGCTTCCTTGATGAATCTTTCCTCTTCTCTGAAAGCACATATAACACTCCTACCAGCAAAGGATTCACTTGTGTGACTTAGGATGGGTGACAACCCCTTTCTCTCCAACCTTCGTAACTGGCAAGATGTTGGCAAATAAAGTTTCTGAAAAAGATATATATCTTTAACTTGTCCAGACATAAATTTATATAAGGGCATTTACTGAACAAAAACAATTTGTACTCATTTCAAAATTATTAAAATTTATTATTTATTAAATATAAACAGGCGCTTGATTTCAAAAACAATAACTGACATATTCCAGACTTTCTTGTTTTAATTATATTATTACTGATATGTAATTCACAATTTACTGTAATCCTAAAATTTACCTCAATAAAATAAAATAGGAGCACAACAGGAATTATTACAGCAAGGTAGACTGGCATATTGATAATGATAGCAACAATCATACACAAAATGGCAAAGATTGAATGAAGCCAGATTTCCATCCACAATACCAGAGTCAGGTCAACTACACCCATATCCTTAGAGACTCTAAAAATAGAACAATGTAATAAAATCAGTCACGTAGTGTATTTTGATGTTGATATAGAATTTATAATGGTAGGGAAATGAATTCTATTTTTAAGGAATCAACTTAAGATATTCTAGATATAATAGCATATTTAAATAATTCTATTACTATTAGTCTAAAAGTTATTAAAAATATGTCACATGTGAACACATTTTAAAAAATGAAATTAAAAATAATATTCAATACATCAGTAAGGGGACTTTTTAACATTTTATTTTCAATTATCAACAGTTCTTTTACTGGAAGCAGGCTTTAATGAAGGAAACAACTAAGTATTATTTTTTAGTTTTGGTCACTACAAAGCTTGTACTTCATTTGGCTAATATGACAGTTGGCATACCTTGACAAGACTCTCCCAATTGGTGTGGTATCAAAAAATTGAATTGGACTGGTCAAAATGCTGCTGATCAACCGCTCATAAATGTTTTTTGCTACTCGTCTTTGTCGAAATGCTTTTATTATGGTAAATATAATCACCACTACAGCTGAAATAGACAGATATAAAATTCATTATCATCTAAATATTTCACAGTTAATATATTCAATTTATAGACATGTTTCAGAGGATTAAAAATATTTCAAATTTTACTGAAGCACTACTTACTCTCTAGTATGCCCCATATGCTATAAATAGACACATAATAGATATTCTCAGCATGCCTCTCTGGGCTATGAGCAGGTAGAGAATGATTGTTGAGTAGTGGGCTGTCCACCCAGTAGGATAACCAAAATCCAGCCACCAGTTCAAAAACAAAACAGGAGAGGAACAGCAGACTCATTACAGAAATAGAAAAATAGCCCATGGACTTCCAGAATGATGTGTACACTGACCAGCTCACCTAGAAAACACATATTTTTTAACAATCAGGTGCAGAGAAATATTACAACAAAAATAATGACAAACTAGTTTATGATGGGTCATTGACAAGTGTAAGAAAATATGAAAAGTTTTGTAACTACTTCTTGCAAAAACATCTAAGTAATCACAAGATGGAATACACAAAAAAAAGGCATTTTATTGAATGAAATAAGAAAAAGCCCTTATTAAAAACATGCACACTATAGTAACAAGAAACTTTCAAATTGGAAAAATTAGGAATAAATAATGAATGTTTTATAAATATTGTAATTTTTATTTTGTATTTCCTGATGCAAACCCAAAAGACAGCCATGTTCGTGCAAAAGTTATAGTTATAAAAAATTAAATTTGAACAGAGATCTAAGCTTATCTCTCTTATACTGTTCATAAGCAACTTAAATGCATTCTCCTAAACATAAAGTTAAATAAAAATTTTAATCACTATTACCCTGCCACTTGCAATCTCTTCCTCCTGGATTAGTTTAGATGATGCATCAAATTCTTCAGCTTCAACAACTTTCATACTCTCTTGTTTGACAAACTTGGCTTGCTTGTTTTCTTCAAAATGCCTATTTTAAATTTAAATATGCATTTTTTAAAAATCTATCCAAGTGTAAAAATTTTTAGAGCAATTACATCGAGCTACATTTTCATGAGAGTGTAATTTTTCATTGGTAATGATGTAATTTTTCATTGGTAATGATATGACTAACAATTGCATCATAAGTTTAAATGTAGCAAAATGTCAGGACTTGCATCTTTATGACATCCCTGAAGAATCCCTAATGAGGATACCCATAATAATATTAATTAGGTTAATTATAGCATTGTTTGCCATAAAAACCTCTAGTATGCTATGTATACAAATTGATCTGTATTTTAACATTTTTTCCTTCTTAAAACCTACTTTTTAAGCTCATAGTCATTGTCAGTAATGACATCACTTTTACATGACTCAATAGAGACCAGCCGTTTAAAGATGTCTTTTCTAGTTTCTTCTGAAAATAAATAGAGTTTATTAAACTGGCTATTGAAATTTTTTCAACATTGTAGGCCTAAATGTTTTGCTTTTGTACTATGTAATGAGTATGATTTAATATACGTTATTACCATTTTCAAGTTCATTAATAGAGATTGATTCTTCTTCATCTTTCAAGTTTACATTTCCATCCCTGATTTTAATCCCCTCTGTTTGTGCTTGCTGTTGAGAGAGATACTGGGACAAGAACTGAGAAAAGGGGCCATTATGTGACATGAGTTCCTCAAATGATCCCTGTTCTGTACACTGCCCATCTGTCATGACAAACACTCTGTCAACTTCTGGCAACCATTGCAATCCATGAGTTACTAGAACTCTTGTCTGTTGGAATTGTACAGGAATATGATTTCATTGTCAAACATAAAAGCTATATTATGATTTAAAAAGGGATATGCATTGCTTAAGGTGGTGGTGAGGTGTCATAAAAAATAGTTGATGAAACATTGCAAGTAGTTAGACTTTAATGCATTAAATAGTTTTGATAATTTTTAAAATTATTGTGGAAACTGATTTTTATACATTAGATTTTACACAAAATAATCATAACAGCACATCTATTCTTAAATAGTATAATTAATTTGTAACATTAACGTACCTTATTTTTTAGAAGTCCATTTTTACCAATCACATGGTCAAATATGTGTCTGCCTACATGACTGTCTACAGCACTGAGTGGGTCATCTAGAAGGTAGATATCACTCTTGTGGTACACAGCTCTGGCCAGGCTGACCCTCTGCTTCTGACCTCCACTCAAATTTATGCCCTGCATGTAAATTATCTTTAATTATTACCTTAATGATGTTTAAAAAGTTATTACTTTTGACTACAGCAAGTACAACAAACTTGATTGGCGTGGATAACTTTCATATCAATAATAAATTTTCCTAGTAATTTATCTGCTGCTTATTAGATTTCTGAACTCACTTAGCAAGTAATGCTATAAAAAAAAAATTCTTATTTTAAATGTAAGCATATTTTCAAGTTTGTTTTTATGTATTATTGACTGCTAACAATTTTTTTTTATAGTGCTGTCTTACATTTTCTCCAATTTCTGTGTCATCACCAGAGGGAAGAACCTCTAGGTCAGGTCCCAAGGCACATGCCTTAATGACTTCAGTGTACTCATCATCTCTCATCTCAGACCCAAACAGAATATTTTCTCTCAGTGTGTTATGTTGTATCCACGCCTCCTGCGGTATATATCCAATGGTACCCTGGTGATTAAATGTAACTTATTGAATCAGACATTTTTTACAAAAGTTGGAAATTCCCAGAGTCAATATACAGTTTCCTCAAAATTTTTAAAGACAAGCAAATTAAACAAATTCACTTCAATTTACTCTAAAGTTCACTAAGAGTACTTATCACCACGTGCATGTTAAGAAATTAAAGTTACAAAAAATTGTTATAAATATAGAAATGTATTCCTGACCTGATTGTTAACATGTCCACTATGTACAACCATCTCTCCCAAAATAGCAGACAGAAGTGAAGACTTGCCACTTCCTACCATACCCACAACAGCTACAAGACTACCCTTTGGGACTTGTAAACAAATGCTGAAATCAATATTCTCAGACTTTAAATAGTTGTTTTAAAGTAAAACAATGACTAAAAGTAGTATCCTCTTAAAACCAACCACAATAGAAAAAACTAGTTGATCAAATTGTAGAAAAGAAAACAAACTTACTTTTTAAGGGTAGGTTCAGAATTTGATGTCCATCCAAAATTTCCATCAGTTATTTCAACGGCGTCATCTGAAATAAAGTTTATTCAATTAGCAAGAACTAGATTATTTAGTCCAGTTTTTTTTCCTTTCATATTAATATATTACTCATGTAAAATAATGGCTAATTAGTTTAGCTTTCTTGTTACTTAAAAAAAAATACATGTTGAAAAGATTTGTTAAATACACTGTTTAGAGTAGGCCTACACTGACCATTTGCCATGTGAGAGGAAGCTTGATCTGCTGTTGACTTTTCAATATCTTTAAAATCCAAATATTTGATCAGACGTCTTGAAGACACAAATCCCTATAAAGGTAAATAATTGTAAATTAAAGAATCAATTATCATAAACCAACAGACTATGGCATATACAAATAAAGCGGGAATGATCTCCCCTAAATTTACTCATATCTTCTTGTATAACACTAAGGGTTGTAATTATAGCCCTTCCAGTGAACTTGGGCTATAGAAATATTTAAGTTGGTGACAAAACCTTTAAGAATAAACAAAGACAAAAAGTTATTTGAAACTATGATGCTTTAAAAACTATCATATAAAACTTTTACCAGATATCACTCAAAACTAGAGAGAGACCAGTGCATAAGATCTTATCTATAAATATGAGATTTTGTCGACCTAACTGAAACAGTATTTAAGTTATCAGTATTTTAGAAACCAGAAATGGAGTAAAAAAAAACACTTCTGCATATGGGGTGTCACTAAAAAAGTTAACGTAATCTAAGGATAAGATGTTAATTGTTATACATCTATATTTAATTTCATTTACCACACTAAAACAGTACTAAAGTTATAGTGTTTACATGGAAGTAAAGAACCATTTCCAGTTATAGAAAATTATCCAAAAGTTGAGTGAAACATGCACATACTATTTAATACTTGTATGAAATTTCATCCACTGAACTAAAATGGTATTAAAGTTATCTGCTTTTAAAAAACAAGAAGTAGAGTAAGTTCCACTACCAGTTACCAGGAATTGCTCAAAAGTTGACAGAAACTACAAATTATATAATATACATAGCTGAAATAGTACTCAAGGAGTTGTAAAACATCGAGATTTATCAAAATCACAACTTAGATTTCTTCTACAATTACAATACATCCTCTACACTTCATAGAGTATTAAGTAGGGAGGTGTAAAACTTAAAATCTCATTTTGATTTTTTTACAAGACAATACTTCTTTACTCTGTATAAGAGAAAAAATTGTAGAAAAATGTTGCAATCAACCTTTATAACTCAACACAAAAAAAAAAACAGTTTCTATAAATTATCAATGGAATAAGTTATCTTAGGCTAATAAGTAAATTACTCACAGAAATGACATAGTCCAAACTGTAGGAGAAACAATTACTTGCTCTACGAACTATACCAAGGTATGAAATAGTGACAAACACCACTGATGCATTTAGATGATTCTCTTGGTCAACAAGGACGTAGGTCAGGAAAGTGAAGAAAGTCAGCTGGAAATGTAAAATGAGATTAATTAAAAGAAATCAAACTAGACTATTATAAGAAATTATTAAAGTGGATGCTCTAGATCAGGGGTCTCCAAACTACGGCCCGCGGGCCGGATGCGGCCCGCGAAGTCCTCTCATCCGGCCCGCTGAGATCTTTTTGTCTAAGGAAAAATCGTTTGTTGGTGAAAAAATCAGACATGCCTGGGAGAAACTGGCCCCAGAAGTGAAATGTGATAGTTAATGCGGCCCTCGGACTGAAAAGTTTGGAGACCCCTGCTCTAGATCCTAAGAAATTAAAAAGTGAAAGTTTTTATTTCAAGAAACGAACCCAAAAGAAAGCTCCAGTCCATGCAAAAGTTGTTGCGAATCTTAAGAAGTTGAATTTGAACACAGCTTTTAGTTCATCTCTCCTTATATCGTTCATGCGGGACTTAAATGCTTCTTCCCAGGCATAAAGTTTTAAAACCTAAAAAAACATTTGCTTGATTTTTATTTTAATATTTATTATTCACAAACAAAAAACTGATGTAATATGTAATTCTTCTAATCAAAGTTGTAAGTTTGAATTCTAGGTGAAGTAAACTTCAATGATTAAAGGAATTATTTCATCAACAATATGACCATTTTAACATAATTTAAACAATTTCTTCAGTGCAAATTTAAAATCATACATAACAGATTACAACTGGTAAAATGTTGATAATCATCCAGCTACTGTTTAGTCATATAATTTACCTTGATGCCAGCAAAAACTTGGGATGTTATTTTCATTCTCCTATCTGCTGCCCCCCTTAATTCTTCCTCGCACTGAAGTTGTAAGCGGGAACCAATCAGTTTTAGAGTGAAGAGAAAAACCAATGTAGCAAGAGCTGAGGATTGGTTTTAATATTGTTGTATGACAATTGTTTTTCAAAATCAGATAAAAATTAAAACATTTTTTTAAGAACAAGCGTTTTTCTATAATAAGTTTTAACTATTCATAAAACAGTATGAGCTTATAATAGTAGTATTATTTAAAGAAATGTTAACATAATAACTTTCTAAAGAAAAATAACAAGTCCCATAAAATTTTTATTTATCTGACATTTATTCGATGGTCTTTAGAGAAGTTCAATTTATCTACAAGAAATACAACATGTAATTATACAATATTTTTGCCTTACATCTATTCTGGCAATTATCCAGAGTCTGCTAAATATAAAGCCCAGAATTTTTACTGCTGTAAAGAACACAAAGATTATTTTAAAAAATAATTTTACTAGAAATAACTATTTTATTAAGTAAACAACTATGTTACCAGCAAATACAGCAATGCCAACAGTGTAGTAGATCATGATAAATCCAACCAAAAGTTCTATAGGGGCCTCAATCAAAAGGAAACCTTCATCCAGCATTGTATATACAGTGTCAACATCTTTTGAGATCAGTTGAATCACCTCCCCTGAAGACATAGCTTGTCTTGCTTCTGTGCACAGTGACAAAGTCTGAAATAATAATTTTAAAAACTTAAATGCATCTGATAGTTATCTGAATATATCTAGTGTTTTTTTCACATACTTTTAAGATGCAACAAGTCAATTTAGTGAAATAATGTGGCAGAGCTTGTCTTTTACAAGCACAAATGTAAATTTGATGAGGTCATTGAAAAAAAAGTGTTGGTGGCTATAGTGCTGACCATACAATCCTTTTCAAAATACAAAGCCAAATCTACTTTATCTGCCCCCTATGAACTTAATGTGTCAACTCTTTTTCTTTACTCAGGCCTACATATCAAATTTAACTTAAAAATGAATCTAAATTTACAACCACACCTTCCTATAAATAGCAGATACAAGAGCTGCTCTAACTCGTATTGTTGTTAGGTTGCATTGGAAGATGTAGCTCTCATAGATGATTTGTGACAGAACTGATGACAAAAACAGAGCTGTTGCCAACAAATAGCCATGCCAGACTGGTTCATCTTCAGCCATTGAAAAATCTATAAACAACCTAGGGAAAAAAATGCAACTATCATTTTTAAGTGTTTGACCTTAAATAAAAAATATTTTTTAAAAAAGACTGGTATTTTTTTTACAACCATTAGTATGAGATTGTAGCACCTTTATGATATATAAAAGCTTTGACAAAGTTCAGAATTAGAGAGCACAACAGCTAACATAAAAATCTTGTGTAGGGCACAGCGACAAGTGAACTTAACTTCATCTGCCATATTGACTGTAAGGTCCAAAATGGTAACTTTATTGTAGCTGGCTTTTAAAAAAAAATTACTTAATTAAAAACATCACCTCATCATTATCACACATCTCATGTAAAAACTGGCAGATAGAAAGACTTACTTAAGAAACACTGGACAAAGAAGAGTAAAAACTTTAGCCAGATGACTCAGCAAACAGCATTTTAGGACTTGCCTCCAAAATGTACGCAGGATTACCTTTGATTAAAAAATCACATATAGGGGTCTACTTTCAATTAAAATGTAATTGCATTATTTTAATTATGATTACCACAATTGCAAAGCATAAATGTACTTGTTTTTAGCTTAAAAGTCTAATCATTGCTATTTGCTAGGTGTGTATAAAAGGCTACTATAATCATATAGAAAATGTAATCTCTTCTTGTTTAAATTAAAAGCTCACCTTCCACAACACAAATCCAGATCCTTTGGTCTCCAGAGATTCAGCTGAAGGAAGGAAGCAAACCTTTTCATTTTGGAGATCAGAGGAAATGTTAGCCTCGCTAGCTTCTGTTGTCGATAGTTTGCATTCCAAAGTGGAGGAATTGAATGTTCCATCTGTTTTATTAACTACTGTGTTCTTGATCCCATTTTCTCTTCCCTGATACTTTCTACTAGATCTAGATCTAGTACTCACAATTGGTCTAAGTCCAGAAAAAAAATATTTAAGTTATTTTTAACATTTGCGGCAACTGAAAATACTTTTAACTTTTAAGAGTTCAGTTAAGAGGCTCATATAGAATCTAGAAATCTAATAATTTATACATATTATAGTAATAGAAAATCTATTCTAGAGTCTAGAGAGAATCTATATAATTCTATTAGTAGTATATTAGATACAGAGTTACTTCCAGGCAGCCCCCCCCAAACAAAGTATATCACCCTCCTCCCACCCGAACTAAATTTCTATAGAAAACATACTTTTACCAGTGTCCGCCCCCGCCCTCCCCCCCTGGAGAAAAAAGTCTGGATAAAACACTGATTTAGTCGATTTAGTCTATCATTCTCTTTAAGTAGCTTAGATAGATCTAAATATGATGTAATATCTACTGACTACTGTCTAATATTATTAGACTATTAGAAATATAGTAATACGTCTAATAGTCAGTGGCGGAACTAGAAAAAAAGGGCCACCCCGCAAAAAAATTTATATATTATATATAATATATTATGGTCGTCTACGGGCCCCTGAATGGCGTGCCCCCCCCCCCCCCCCCCGCATTGCGAGGTCTGGTGGCACTGCTGTAGTTCCGCCCCTGCTAATAGTAGTAATAGACTAATACTAACTAATAGTAATACTACTAATACTAGAGATTCTAGATCTAGAGTATTCTATAGCAGTGGCGTAGCGAGGTCGGGTGTCACCTGGTGCGGCACTTAATGGTGTCACCCCCCCCCCCCCCCCCAGAGGCGTAGCGACCCTTCCCGGGGACAAACTTTCAAATTTTCGATTTGCACCCCCCCCCCCCCCCCCTCAAACTTTCGATTTGCACCCCCCTCAAGTTTTTCTCTATATAATTTGCTATTTTTTGCCTTGGTGTCACCCTCCCTAAATGGTGTCACCCGGTGCGGTCCGCACCCCCCGCCCCCCCCCCCCCCTCGCTACGCCCCTATCTATAGTCTATAGATATTAGATAGGGCTGGTCTGGTAAGTACTAAGAAGACTAACTAAAAAGTAGTTAAGTAAAGTAGGTCACCAAACAGTTCTATAGATTCTATAGCTCATGCAGGTTTTATTGAGCCGTATAACTGGTTGGTGACCTGCTTACCAGCCCTCTAGTCTCCTATTCTATTCACCAAACGCTATATTAATCTAGATCTAGATTAGATCTAGATAGATATCTAGAATCTTGATTCTAAATGTTAAAACTTTGAATTTGAAAATATAAAAAGTACCGTCTGCTATATTTCGAAACATTCTTGAGAAATAAATGTACAACTGTTCCAGATTTTTCAGAGTTTTTAAGTGAAAATACTTCTTTGTCGGTCAGTGGTTTCTTGTAGCCTTTGATTACTAAACTTTAAGAATAGATGTAAATAAAAAAGTAAGTTAAATTTTTAAAAATAAGCATATTAAAAACAAAAGTAATTAAAGTTTAATAGTAAAACGATGTATTAGGACTTGTTTCCTTATTCACCAACACGTGACTCAACTAATGTGAATGTACATTGGCCTGTGATTTTTTAAGATCTTTCAATTTTCGTAGTATCGACGATAACTGACAAAAACAATGATTTGACTAAATCCTAAACTTGGCCATGAAAAATTAGCTTCCGAGTCAACGATACCACCAGCTATTTAAAGGTATGTATATGCGTGTGTGTTGCTGAATCAAAGAGATACTAAGACTTATTCTTTAAAAACATTTCTTTAAATAAAAAATATTCATAAATACCTAGTCACCCAGTCTAATGTGAACTTAGAAAGCAATGGAGCATCGGCTTCTTCTGATGAGGGCTGGAGAAAGAAATTAAAGCAAAATTTAAACAGTAGTTGTTTATATTTAGTAATATTAGTAGGCCCATATTAACAAAATTACAGGCTAAATTTGTTAGCATTCCCTAACTATATTTATTCGTTGTATTCACCAAAGTGAATAAAACAAGTAATTAAAAAAAGTCTAGTGACAATTTTAGCGCAATTTCCTTGTGTTATCTAAAAATAGCTCTGTCGTAGCGTAAATCAAGAGCAGGGTTAGTAAAACCATTGGTTAGTTATTAAAACGTTTTTTATTAATTTTTTTCAGTATTTTACATGTTTTATTTACAATAGAGTAACATGACTAAAAACCATTGTGCGCCCAGCTACCGAACGTGACGTCGCAGCCATTGAACGTGATGGCGCAGCTATTGAACGTGATGACGCGTGTGGTGTGGTTGCATAAAATGCCTACTAATTCGGTCCAAATTTTAATTAATTCAAAAAACATTTTGTGACCAAACGAAAGGATATTTTTGAAAACTTTCTTCGGCAATATTGTTCTAAATTATGGCAGGAATCGATTGGTACATGTTTCAAGTCGCTAAGTGGTCTGGTTGCCGAGTTATGGGCCAAAAACTACATTTTTTCGAGGTTTTTTGGCTTTTCCGGGAAATCCATGAAAGAAACCCGGAATTTTTATGGCCTATGTTCATCCTCGTAACTTGCTTAACACAAATGCTTTTGGAACTAGTCCTCGATATTGCTTCGTTGAGGAGGAGATACGACTTAAAGCTGCGGACACACATTCATCCATCCATTCATCCATTCATTCCCAGAAAAGACGAGTTAATAAACGCAATTCTCCAGAATGGAAATTGCGCTAAAAATTCTTTCAAGTTAAATACATACATTACCTTAAAGTTTGGATGCTTATGATTAAAGCCATAAAGAACCGATGCACACAAAATAGCACCAAAGTTAAAGTAAAACAAGACAAAAGACACAATGCTCGTCTCGTATTCCTGGGGAAACAACAAAGTGATGGATTTTCAATTACTTGAAAAAAAAGTCATTTTCTAAAGTTAACCATGTCTTTACTTGTTGATAACATATAGAATCTAGTTTCTTTCGGGTATCTTTTCAGGAAGGGAGGGAAACAAGTTTAAGTGTCCTATTGCCTCTCCTGCACAAACTAATCAAAATGTGTTAAAGAAACCCTGATCATAGTAATAGATTTCCTAAAACTAATGATAAAGTATTAGCGCATTAGGAATTGATGGACAGATAACTACTTATTTTAATAACTATTAAATTATGAAAGCGTATACTTTCGTTCAATATTTCAATCATGCAACTCTTTTCTCTTTTAACAATAACACTTCTAGCAATTTACCTGTAAGATGATCCTGGAGTAAAATGGAACAACGTGTGTCAATAAGAGAAGTAAGAAGAACAGAAATAACAAAGGTGACTGCAACACAGAACATTTTTGTTCTAGGATGACTGTGAGCAGAACTAACACCTGTATCAGAAAATATTTTCGTTATGGGAGAACAGATATTATGGTTATGACAAGTGCTAACGTTGAGCTAGGTCAGTAGTGCGTGTTCAGAGTCTGTGGGTGATCTATAAATGACGACACGCTTTTTTTTTTGGCGATTTTAACGCTCCTCCTTCTCTCTATCACACATCGACAGAAAACGCCAGACTCCCCCCCCCCCCATACATAAAATGACGACACATCTCAGAATACAACACCCCTAACGCCAAAATAGCAGTTTTCTTTTTTTAAAACATCGATTTTGCTAATAAATGGTGATAAAATAGAGTATATTAATCAATATCTATTACAATTTACTAAAATAGGTTTCTAAAATGAAAAAACGGCTAAACTTCAGTTTTTACTCTTTTTTAAATGCAAATATTCAATACTGGATTATTGCTTTATATTCTATACTGGAGTATTGCTTTATATTCAATAACACATTTCATTTTAATTAAATTACATTTCCTAACCGGATGGTCCATGTTGAAGTAGAGTTCACCTGTTCCGGTGACCTGGGCATATGACGGGATAGCATGACCAGCCGCATTTTATTTTCCTAATGTGAATCATGTGCCCATCATAACAGGGTGGGCTCAATGACTTAATAAGGACTCGATTCCAAAATCCGAACTCTAAACTTTCTGGTTAAAAGTCGTACACTCTTCGACTGCAGAACATCGTCTCATATCTTTCATTATCATACACCGAAGTGACACGCTAATAGTAGCTCCTGAAAGGTTACTGACCTAAGGTGGGGGGGGGGGTGAAAAATTTACGTAGGAATATATATGAAAGTGTGGGAAATTCTGGATTAAGTACTCACATATGTTGTGCATTTGATTATACTGAGGTATAAGTCAGAGCCAAGTCGAAGACTCTGAGACTCTAGAAAACACGGAACAATCTCTGTAGCTATAAGCAAGCTACAAACAAACTATAAAAGAAACAAAAATTAAAAATTAACTAGGTTAAATTGTTCTCTATATATTTTACTATTTTTTGCCTTGGTGTCACCCCCCTAAATGGTGTCACCCGGTGCGGTCCGCACCCCCGCCCAGGTTCATATCCCCCCTTCTCCAATACACACCAAAGACAATGGGTTAACCAGGTTGGGCTCCTAAATCTATAAGGGCACATGAAACGTTATACTGAAATTCGAACAATATAATTAATATTTAAAAAAAAAAAGACCTATCAGTATGACAACACACGGACAGTAACATAAAGATTCCCCGATAGTTGGCCCCGTTTAATTAGATTTTAAAATATTTGAAAAAAAAATTCTTTACTCTTCAAAGAGCGTAGGGATATTATAAAACTTTAAGATACCAATTCTGAATACATCTTGAGTGAAAGTAAATAAACTGAACTTACCAGTTTTAGAACAAACATCAGATCCCAATGCACACTACTTGGCTTTCTCCTCCATAAACAACAGATATACACAAACAGTGAGAAAATAGCATAGTAGCATGGAAGGGGCAATAGGATTGTGTTCTGGAAGCATCGCGTCGTTTGAGGCCATGAGTTGTTCCAGAATAGGGCAGAATCCTAAAGATATATATATATATATATATATATATATATATATATATATATATATATATATATATATATATATATATATATATATATATATAGGTATGTAGGCAATATATACATACACACTCTCTTTTTCTCAGACATATATTATGTGTATATATTTGTGTGTACGTGTGTGCGTTGGGTTGTCCTGGTCTATGTCCCACTATTTCATTGAATAATGTATTCCTTAGCTCATGTTTTTTAAAAAGGGTTCTGATAAAAAGATCTCCGGCAATAGCCTTCTGTCAGCTACGCGGAACCACCAGCCTATTTGTTGGGTGTTGAGGAGAAAGCTGTGTGTGTATGTGTGTGTGTATGTTTGTAAAGCGCCCTCAGACTAAGAGGAAGACAGATTATAGTGTCTAAAATTAATTACATTTTACATTAAATTAACAATTATTTCTCGTGCTAGGACTGAATAATCATTATGGATTTAGAAATGTAGAATTCAGACTAAAAATGTGGATATATTATATAACACAAAAATATTTATTAAAATTCAGTACAATAACATAATTTGACTGTTTCTGTCATTTACTTTATTTAATAATCAATACAGGATTAATTTCATTATCTTAAAGGTGTACAAAGATACATATATCACATATGTTTTACATTTTAATGTACTGTAAAAAAGTATTCTAATTAAGAACAACAATCTAAACAAATGACTATATGATTAATTTCATGGTCTTAAAGGTGTACAAACATACATATATCACATATGCTTTACATTTTAATGTACTGTAAAAAAAAGTATTCTAATTAAGAACAACAATCTAAACAAATGACTATAAAATATTACCCAAAAGGGGTTATCACAGAAGGTAGAGATATCCCAGCTTCGTCCAACGCTGCTGTTAAACATGGTTTCGTTCAGCATCGCAGTAAGAGTGTCACTGGTGAAGACTGCATATAAACGTACATGTAATATAAATACAGATTAAGTTGGATGAGACTCAATGTTGTTGCATGATTTTTTTATGTTAATATGTCAATAACACAATATTTTCTGCTGGGCATTGAAGGATATATCAAGGCATGAAGGATTAATTAGAAACATGTAACGCTGACAATGTCCAAGAGAATAGCAATGAAATCACGCAGACCTCGCAGGGGTGCTCATCATTTCTGTGAAAAACACGGAAGATCCGTTAAGACGCTTAGCTGACTTGATCATCCCAGACATACAGAGGCGCTTGATAGAGTTAATGGACGTCGGCGTCTTGGGCAGATTGAATATGAGATTAATCCCTTGAAGTTCCAGACTCTAGAGGACCAACAGTTCTCCTCCACGAGAGTTTAGGCCGGCCTACTTTTCTTTTCCTTTGCCAGTCAAGTCCAACGCTTGCCTCGCGATGTTGACATATCTTCTTTTCAGGGCGTACTCGATTATAATTCCTATTTGCGGGCTTTAATATCCCTGTATATCGGCAGTTGTGTTGTGATTCGCGTAAAGTCGTCATTGGGAATTTTTCTGGCATTATAATTTTTAAAAATTGTCGAAGGCATCTTTTTTTCAAGAACTGCAACCTCTTGGTATCTGACTTTGTAAATACCCTACCTAGCCATTCTCAAGCCAGAATACTAATGTTATATTCAAACCCAAATTCATTTAGACATACACTTGCGCTCTTTTTGTAAACCCAGACCCCCCTCCCACCCACCCCCAAATATAACTAAAATAAAACTACTTGCATTTAAATTCATCTAAACTTCTTACATTTCAACTTCTATAAATCTTCGAGCTAGGTAAGATTATGTATAAAAACAACATGCATAAACTTGATGTCATGTTGTTAAACATTTTATTACTAGTTAAAATCGATTTTTTAAAATAGTAAATAACCACCACGCAGGGGCGTAGCGATGGGGGGGGGGGGGCGGGGGGTGCAGACCGCACCGGGTGACACCATTTAGGGGGGTGACACCAAGGCAAAAAATAGCTAAATATATAGAGAAAATGATAATTCCACTTAATTAAGTGATTAATTCGAGTGTTAAATTGTCTTTTAAGAGGTGCAAATCGAAATTTAGAGGGAGATGTGCAAAGGGAAAATTGAAAGTTTGTCCCCGGGAAGGGTCGCTACGCCTCTAGGGGGTGACACCATTAAGTGCCGCACCGGGTGACACCCGACCTCGCTACGCCACTGCCACCACGATACATATCATGTCTGTTCATTTCGATGTGTTTAAGTTTAATAGAAGTACTTTCGGATACACTTAAGTTAAAGAACACACGAGTGAAAAAAGTTGTAGGCTACGCTACTGATAACAAAAAACAACTCCGGTTCAAGTTGCCATTTAATGTAGGCCTTAGTATACTGTCCATTTCTCTATGATTATGTTAGGTGTGAAGAGATCAACACACGCATCGGTGTGGTGGTGGGAGTTTAAAAATGTTCCGTTAAAGTATGCATATTGAAATAAGATAGTTTTAACAGCCAAGATACGGATTTGCCGTATTTGCAATCTCATGCAAGCTTTGTCAATAAACTTAAACTTTTTCACACACACACACACACACACACTATATATATATATATATATATATATATATATATATATATATATATTTTTTTTTTTTATATATATATATATATATATATATATATATATATATATATATATATATATATATATATATATATAGTCCAGAGCTACAAATACCGAAAAAAATTCATATTATTTATGCAGTCCTATGTAGAAACCCCTGTTTTTGTAGACTTTACTCGTGCAGTTGGTAGCCTATTGTAGGCAAATAGACTTATATAACTTATAGTGTCCGACTAAGTAGCTTATATTCATTTTGGTTAGTTATACACTCATAATTCAGTATCATCAGTAAGATAATGATAAAATAACGCAACGTTAATTATAAATATCACAATAAATATTAATAAGTTAGATTCTCGTAATACAATAAGTAATAAAAACATTTTTAATAGAACAACTAAACTTACTCATTACCTAGTGCGGAGGTAGTTAACTATGTTTCTATTAGGTTGATAAAATCCTAACACATTTCATCTTTAAGAACAGTAGTTAGAACTCCATCTTCTCGAGCTTTGAAAACTTTCTCTTTGTCTCCGTTAATATGGAATATTTAAAGTTACTCAAATTGATTGCACAAGATGAAGAAATGAAAACAATAATGCGATATTTTTAGATTCCGTTTAATGAGTTATCTATCTTGAAATAGGGTGTGGGGAAATTGCGAGACGCGAAAAGCGAAATGGCGAGGCGGGAAAATGCGAGAAGGTAATGCGAGACATACCTGCGGAATTAAGGGTAAATAGCGAGACACTTTTTGCGAAAAAAGTTTTTTCCTTTTTTTTCCATCTTTATTTATTTCAATTATTTTTTAAAAATATTTTTAAAATAAACAAGCATTTAACCATACCCTTTAACACGAGTGTTGTATGTTGTTATTTTTTATCTAGATACTAAGAAGATAGATAGATCTATATCTAGATCTATTTAAAAATCCTAACATCGTTGCTGTGCTACTGTCATCGCCCGCTCTTGTTAGCGAGAGGAAAATCCCGTCTCAGTCGGCATTAGGCCTAATTTAAAAATCTAGCCCGCTCATGTTTATACACACGTGAGCTGTGTCATTGTGAATTGGTATAATCTTGTCAGCAGGAGAGATATTTTGCAACATCTATTTATGGATTTTTGTACTTGCAAAAAGTGTAAAAGTATAAACAATTCTAAAAAGTGCAATTTATTTTTTTATTAAGTAATTTTAATTACAAACAAAATTTACAAACAAAATCTTCTGAAACAGTCCTCAAACACACCTCGTGACACCATCTTTCACACATAGTACACCCAACCCAGTTCATTAGACTCCCATTTATACATTTTTCTTTTGCTACTTCTTCCAATCCACATTCACAACATTTCACATTCTCATCACAGTTGACCTCCTCGTTCATCCCACAAACAACACTGGCACCCATGTTCTCATCATCATCATCCGCATGCTCAACATCTGTTTTCCGTTTTTTATAATTTGTATTTTTTAACATTTCTGTAATTTTGGCAATGTCTTGCTCATTGTTGTCACCAGCAGTTGAGTTTTTTTTTAAAACATCGATAGTTTCCCAAAATCTTGTCTAATTTCGGTCAAAATAGAGTATTTTAATCAATTCCTATTACAATGTATTAAAACAGTTTTCTAAAACGCGAAAAAACGTCTAAAATTCTTTTTCTAACATTGCTTTTTTATAGTGTGACTTCACATCTAACCCCCCCCCCCTCCTCCCCCTCATCACACATCGTCATAAAATTACAGACCCCCCCCCCCCCTACGAGTGTGACGTCATTTATGGAAGACCCCAAATAACACCACCACCAAAACCAAAAAATTCAGATAAGTTCAACTTGGTTTTAAAAATATTTGAAGTAGGCCCATAGCTTACGATATAGCACGAGCAACTGATAATATCGGTGACGTCACTTTATTTTGTTGTATCCAAATGATGTAGGCATTTCCTTGTGCTTAGATTTATATGGTTAAAAAAAGCTAGAAAAAAAATCGTAGGCGGCGGCTATAATACAAAATTTCTATGCAACAATAGAAAATATGTTTGCGGCGGTAGCGGATCCGGGCACGGCGATCTTCAAAGACGGTAAATCAGGCGGCCTCGGCGTTCCACACAAAAGACAGAAGTTGATCTATCGTCGGCGGTATTTCCGTCGGTTTCGAACAAGGTGGTATTCTAAGTCGACACAAAAGATGGGGGGAGTTGACAAATCATCAGTATGTCTAGCGACGGAAAAATCGGAAGTTTTAACAATGTAAACGAAACGTCTTTGAAGTCTGGACCAAATACCACTGAAAATCGGGTGCGGTAAAATTTTCGCAGAAATCTTCGCATTTCAACACCACCCAGCGTAAATATCGGCTTGTGGTAAAATGCGAGACAAAAAGTCACGTGACCGACCGTTTTCGCGCCCTTCTCGCATTTTCCCGCCTCGCCATTTCGCTTTTCGCGTCTCGCAATTTCCCCACACCCCTTGAAATAGGTCTAGTGTTTAGAACTAGGCCACTAGGCTAACTGTATTTAGGCCTATTTTACAAAACAAAAGTGTGAAATTTAGGTGACGTAATCAATTGAAAGCTGAAAACGATATGCGAATTATATATTTAACTATACTCTGTTAGGTCTCCTTGTTTTAAAAAGAATCATGTTTTTTTAAGTTAATAAATATTTGGCATGGACATGCCAGGCTGGATAAACATTATTATTATTATTATTATTATTTGTTTGCAGATCCAAGTTATGAATTTTCTACCGTGATGGAAAAAAAATATAAATTATAATAATAGAGTATGCATAGGTCTAGATATATAATATAATATATAATATATAATATATATTACATAAGCATAACTGTTAAAACATTTGGTAGTCTATTGTTTTACGACTTAAAATCATAGTAAAATCGGCCTAAGCTTGTAATGCGAAAGAAAGCGTGCGGCGTCAATTCGGCCAATGACGAAACGGCCCCGTCAAATCGACCCCGACAAAACGACCCCGTCAAAACGACCCCGTCAAATCGGCCCCGTCAAAAGAGCCAGCGACATATGGACCCCGTCATATAGGCTCCCGACAAATAGGCTCCCGTCATTTAGGCTACCGACAAATAGGCTCCCGTTATATAGGCTCCCGACAAAAGGGCTCCAGTCAATAAGGCTCCTGACAAATAGGCTCCCGTCATTTTGGCTCCCGACATATAGTCTCCCGTCATTTAGTTTTTTCCACAAAACGGCCCCCGTCATTACGACTCCCGACAAATAGGCTCCCGCCATTTAGTTTCTCCACAAAACGGCCCCCGTCATTACGACTCCCGACAAATAGGCTAGCGTCATTTTGGCTCCCGACAAAAAGGCTCCTGTCAATTTGGCTCCAGACAAAAGGACCACTGACACAGTGGCGTAGCTACCGTAAAGCTAGCGTAAGCAAGGCATGGGGGCCCAAGGCACATAGGGGCCCTTTTCCCTCATAAAAAAACTAAAACTTTTACAATGGAATTTTAATATTTGTTACATATAAATAATTTAAAAAAAGAAAAAGGTTAAAAGTTCCAAAAAGCCCCCCCCCCCCCCCCTCTCCCAGTGGGGGGAGGGGGGGGGGGGGTGTTTCGGCAGTGGGATTCAGTGTTTGTGGGTCAAACAGAGCCCAATCGTTATAATAACACTACAGGCTATATCACTTTGTCGTGCAAGACATTGAGAGAATCAGCCTATAAATAAACTTTTTAGCAGTAGTAGGCAAGCATAATAATATAGTATAAATACAAAATCAGGACATATAAAATACAAAATGTTGCCTTCAGAATATTTATATATTAAAAAATATCCATCGTAAGTAGAAGTTGATCTCTTCGTTTAACTCCTCTGTAGCCTAACGCAGAGGCGTAGAGAAGGCGAGGCGGGGGGTGCGGACCGCAACGGGTGACACCATTTAGGGGGGGTGACACCAAAGGCAAAAAATTGTAAAATTTATAGAATGAAATGCCATTTTCCAGATCCATTAGTTAAAGTTAAATAGTCTTTGTCACAGACTGTATAATTATGTATCCTTATTATATTGTGTTTTGCATGAATGAAGAGTACCTGGCTAGCGGAAGGACTGTCTGAGCGATCGTCATGTGTTGTTTCATGCTTTTGGGTGAGATCGCTCATGTACGTAAGGGGAGAGAAAGTGGTGAATAAAAGGGAGAGCAAAAAGGTGAACGGGTGTTGTGTGCTAGAACTTGAACCTGAGGACTGTGGCTGTGAATGTAGGATGTTACTACGACACTTTGTTTCTTGACTGTGATTGTACTTATACCAGTTGTGACCATGGATTTACTATGGGTCTATTAATTCTCTGTACAAAGTGTAAATAAAGTTATTGTTTCACAACTACTGTTGCTCGTATGAGTATATTGAAGAACCCACAATAACAACAAAGAATTCATGTTGTTACATATGGTGTCAGAAGTGAGCGTCTACTGTTACATATGATGTCAAAAGTGGTTGAAGAAGTGGTGCTACTGTTACTGATTCTACTGTTACATTGTCAGAAGCAATTGAAGAAGTGATGTTGTTACATTGGTAAATTATATTGAAGTCTGAAATCGTCAACGAAGTTACAGTGTTACTACAAGTGATCAAGAATTGTCACATTATCATTGTAAGCAGTTTTCAACGTTTTTGAAGTGGTCTTCCACTGTTTACCAAGTACGTCAAGTTCTTGAAAGTCATCTATCTACACTCAAGTCAGAAGGGTTGCTGTAGTCAAGTCAGACGTCTTGTTCAAGTCAAGTCATCAACGTGATAATTTTTATCACCTTATTTCGATATTGTCTCACCAATGTCGAGTAAATATCGTCTGTGTGTTTTTTCTGTTTGGATTTAGCCGATCAAGTCTTAGTGTTTCTTTTCTACTGTTTGGATTTAGCTGTTCAAGTTTTTTCTATATGGATTAGCTGTTCAAGTTTTTCTACTGTTTGGATTTAGCAGATCAAGTTTATTTTTGTAACTGTTCCTAAACTGTTCCTAAAGATGTCTTATCTAAAACTGGACAAATTTCTACTCTGTAACAGGCTACTAGAACTATTTTGAATTTTTTCAACTTTTTGGAATCAACAAAGTGAACTATTTTTGGACGTATTTATGTACTATGAACTTTTCTTGGATTACCAGATGTCTGTAATCAACTAAAACAAGCCAGAAACCAAGAAAGGGTATTGTAAATTAATTAACATTTATCTATTGTCAACTAATGAATTTATATTTTATGTCATAGAAAATATATCAAAATGTCAAATTTTGAAACATATACAGCACTTGTGAAGGAACTTGACATTCCGAAGGAAGACAGGTTGGCATTTATAAAAGAACTACTAAAGAAAGATGAAGAGAAAGCTGCTAAAGAGAAAGCTGAGAGAAAAGAAGAAGAGAAGGCTAGAGAAGAAAAAGCTGCTAAGGCGAAAGCTGAAGAAAAAGAAGAAGAGAAGGCTAGGAAGGCAGAAGAGAGGGCTAGGAGGTTAGAGGAAAGGAATTGGAAAATAGAAGATGATGAACGAAAACACAAG